TTTAGGGGGCTTAGTGGATTGAGGGGTTTAGGGTTCAGGGCTTTCCGGGGGCTTAGTGGGTATAGGGGTTTAGGGTTTAGGGCTTTTCCTATCCTCACTCTGCTTGGGGCTCTTTTTGGCATGGGAGCGGTTTGGGGGCTTTGGGGTAAGTCATATGGTTGTATAAGGGATAGAGCTGCCGTGCAGGGTCTTATAAGATTTTTGTGATGGCTTGATGTGTAGAAGGTCTGTATGCAGGTTCCATACGGATGTTGAGAATGCCTTAGAAGGGAATATCCACCCTGGACCCCAAACACACCTGAACTTTAAACCCCAATCCTAAACCCAACCTGGACCCCAAAGAACCTACCTTTTTGGGGTTACTTACTATGATTTCTTTACATAAGTCCCTAAAACTGTAGGTTGTTTGACAACCACCCATATACACTATTATGATGGAATTAGGCCCTGACAGACACTGACAGACCATCCCCATTATGGTTTTGGGGACCTAATTCCGTAATAGTAGTGTATATGCACCCTCTAGGTAGGTTATCGGGGGGTTATATTCTATTGTAAATATAATATTAAGGAAGCCACCAAAGTATCATAGGTCGTTATTACCCATGGGCCCCAAAGTAGTTCCTTTTTGGGATTACCTTATAGAATTCTATATATATGAACCCCAAAAAGGAACTACTTTGGGGCCTATGGGTATGGCCTTTATAACCTACTTACTAAGTCCCCTAGACCCTAAACCCCATAGATCCCTTTAAGGAACCCCATAGATCCCTTTAAGGAACCCCATAGATCCCTTTAAGGAACCCCATAGATCCCTTTAAGGAACCCTATAGATCCCTTTAAGGAACCCCATAGATCCCTTTAAGCAACCGTATAGATCCCTTTAAGGAGCCCCTTAAGTCCCCGGCCCTTCCAAGTATGGCCTCTGAAGAGTAGTGATCAGCACACACAGGGTTCAGGGTTTCGGATTGGAGGCTGCAGGGTTTTTGGGATTTTAGGGCCTGGCTCAGTAGGGTTTAGGGGTTTAGGGGTTTTGGGTTTTGGGTTTAGGGTTTTGGGTTTTGGGTTTAGGGTTTTGGGTTTAGGGTTTTGGGTTTTGGGTTTTGGGTTTAGGGTTTTGGGTTTAGGGTTTTGGGTTTAGGGTTTTGGGTCAGTGTTTAAGATTTTAAGAAGGTTTCTTAGGGTTTACTGGAAGCTCGCGGGTCCTGGGCGCCATCTAACAACACCTAAATCCCGAGCCCTTGAAGCCAGAAGACCTTCAAACTATGGATTTGTACAGCCCTACGCCCTAAACTCTAAACCTTAAGCCCTAAACCCTAACCCCCCAAACCCTTGCCCCCTAAGCCGTGAACCGCTAAACCCCAGACCCCAAGCCCTAATAGACCCTCAAGCCTTTCTCCCAAGGCACCAGATGCCTATTGAGTCCAAATTCTTGGAGAACATGGCGAATGCGCTCAATGCCGAGATCGTCCGCCACCTAGGGTTTTGTTGTCTAGGTTCTTGAACAGAATTTACAGGGTTTAGGGTTTGGGGTTCCTTAGTAAAGGGTCTTATAATGGATCCTTATAGGGTTCGATAAGGGATCTATAGGGGTTTAGGGTCTTTAGGCTCCGGAGTAGTACCCATTTGCCATTTTTTCAGTGTCCCCTTAGTAGGACTGATGATAAATTATAAAGGGGCTACTCAGGAACTTAGTTGTTTGGGGCGTAGGGTTTCCATTAGGGCATTGGGGATTGTTTGAAGGATTCGGAAGGCTTAAAGCTTCGGCTTTCTGTGTTGTCCCTGAAACGTAACCCCTACCTAAACCCCGAATAGCCTACCTTGGTACGGACTTATTTTCCGGAAATCATAATAAGGAACCTTAGAAAGGTAGGTTATTCAGGGTTAAGGTAAACCCTCAACCCTTGAGCCCAAAGCGTGTCAACCTTAAAGCCTCAAGTCTGAATCCTCCTAGATCTGAAATCGCGGGGGGTGGGGGGGGAGGGGGTGTGGATGGATGAATGACGCATCACCTTCCCTTGAATAGGGTTTAGGCCTAGGATTTGGGGCTCAGTTCATAATGTTTAGAGTTAACCCTAAACCCTAAACCTTTAGGCTTAGGTCTGGGGTGTAGTTTAGAATTCAGAGTTCAGGCCGAAGGGTTGCTAGAACTGATTAAGTTTCAGGGTTTAGGGTCTTAATAGGGTTTAGGGTTTAGGGTTCAGGGTTTAGGGTTTAGGGTTTAGGGTCTTGATAGGGTCCCGGAGCTCCAGGAGAAGGGCTCTTTGCAACGAAATGTGGACACCTCGATTCGGCTTGATGCTACTTTAGACCCCCCCATCACAACTCGCAAAATGCTGGCTTAGGCATGAAAGCTCCCTTCCTTAAGAGAGCTTTTAAGAGAGGGGGTCTTCACGCCCTTCGAAAAAAGGGTTTCTTATGCCAGGGTCTGCATCAATCCTAAATCCACGAGGCCATGGGCAACGTGTCGTCTGAGAAGGATGCTGCGGACTGGCTGCGTTGTCTCCTCAGTGCGATTGCTATCATCGCTGCTGGCATGACCCTGGATCGTTACCATCATCATAGTCATCAGAGTAAGCAGCAGCATCATCATCATCATCAGCCGCCGCCGCCTGACCTGCAGCATCCTTAGCAGCGGTTGATGAGCATGACCTTCAACATCAGCATCGTCATCTCCGTACTTGCTGCTCGTCTAGGGATTCTTCGAAATTGGCTGTGTTGGCTTTACTTGTTGAGGCTGCCGAAACCAACACGTGCAGCAAGACGGAGTTTGAGCAATACAAGCGGACTGGATGGAGAGGGCGGGTTCAAGAATCGTTATGCAATACTCCGTACTATTCCTGACCGCCCATCCGCAATAAAACCCGAGCCAGAATTCCGGAATGCTGCTGCCCCTTATAGCGCTCTGTAAACCATACAGCTCTACAGCCTAAATCCATGCCCCAAAACCCCAACGCCTTTCAGTGTATTTCCCTCGGGGCAGCACTGCACGCTCTTGCTGTGAGTAAAAGGCGTATGGCACTTAAAATAAACCCCATAGAACCTTCAACAAAGCCTTAATATAGGGGCCTGTGTAATTAGAATCGGGTTTTGGACTGAAATTACCATTTTTATAATATATTTTCATGAGGAACACCGCAAAAAAATAGCATGGGTAATTATTAAGTCCCCTACACGCGACTCGAGACGTCAATACCCCTTAATTATGGAATATACCCTACATCATATTAGGGATCCTACTATAACTTAGTAAGGTATGTTTCTTAATTAAGGGATATACCTTACATCATATGAGGGATCCTACTATAATGTTAAGGTAGATTCCTTAGTTAAGGGATATTGGAGTCTCTGGTACCCTAATCCCTATAAACCCTATGATCCCTTAAAGGAACCCTGAAGGGATCCCTTTACAGGAACCCTAGGTCCCTAGGTCTATTCCTTAAATTAAGGGATTGGAGTCCGGGGGACCCGAGACTTGTTCAGGTTATTCCTATCTCTTCGTGCGCTTCTTCCGCACGCCGCAGAAGTTCGGCATCACTCAGCAGGACGCGAGTTGAGAGGCGAAATCCTACCCACAGGCTCCATAGTAGTCCCTTTCTGGCATTACCTCATAGGAAACTATATATGAACCCCAAAAAGGAACTGCTATGGAGCGTAAACCCTAAACATTAGGACCAGGACCCACCCAAGTGCCCTTTAGTAGAGCCCTTTTCCGTGGTCCTTAATAGTGGGTACTTAAGGTATATTGGAGGGTGGTTGGAGGCTTAGGTAAACACTAGACGGGTTTAGGGTTGCGGGTAACAGGGCGCCTTTTTCGGGTTTAGGGCAACAGGGCGCCTTTGTAGGGTTTAGGGTTACAGGGCCCCTTCGGGGTAATAGGGCGCACTTTTAGGGTGTAGGGTTTAGAGGAGTAGGGTCACTCACCCTCTCTTAAACTCTTGACCCTGAAGCCTTTTCGGGTTTAGGCATTGGGGCACCCTCTTAGGGTTTAGGGGGGGTTTAAGGCAATAGGGCTACCCTCTCCTAAACCCTAATGTAGGAACCTGATTCAGAAACCCTGGGCCTTTACCCCAAAGTCGTAGGATTCATATAAGGAGCCGTAATAAAGGCCCAAGGTTTCTTGATCAGGTTCCTACATTACCCCCCAAAAAACAATTGTAAAGTGCCCTTAGAGTATCCTTTAAAGGAACCCTTGTAGAACCTAAGAAAGGCCCAAGGTGTAAACATTTCCCTCTCCTACACCCCATCCCCTGAAGATAAACCCTAAACTCTGAACCCTGAACCTAAACTCGGCTACATTGCTTAGCCCTCGGGCTTCTGTTGTTGTAGGGGTATGGGAATCGAAAGTAAGAGCTTTCGGGTTTAGGGGTTAGGTGCACGGGTTTGGGGTTTAGGGGTTTGGGGTTTAGGGGTTAGGTTTGGGGTTTGAAGAGTTACAGCTAGCATCCCTTGGTAATTCCGGTATGACTATTTTATGACTATAGTTTACTATATTCCCTCCTCTTGCCTCACCCTAAGGCTCCTAAAGGGGTCATGGGCTTTCTGGGGGAAGGGTTTGGGCTTTGGGGGCTAAGGTTTGGGATCTCACTACGAGGGTCCAGGAGCTCCAGGGCAAACCCTATAAACCTTAAACCCTGAACCCTAAGCCCTATAAGCCCTATACACCCTAAACCCTAAACTCTAGGGTCCAGGAGCATTATGGCAAGGCCTTGTTCTTACAAGTAAGGCCCTTGGTCTAGCGGACCCTCAACGCGAGGACTCTCTGAGACCCAGGAGCCGAAGGCTCGATATACCTTCATAGTAGTTATTTAAGCCTCAAAGGTTATGACAACCGCAAAGCCTAAGGATAGGTATCTGGTATTTAGACAACAATGGATGCTATAAGTAGTTCAGGAATGGACAGGCGACAAGAATGCATGAAGCAGATGGGCGCGAGTTGCATGTGCCGAAGGCGGTCATCAGGTGAGGTTGCCTGCACATGTGTGAGCCCTGTCGGCCCGATGTCGGTGGGTGACTGGGATGATGTCCTGGTGTCCCTGGCAAGCAGGGATAGCTGGGATACAGGCATAGATAGGCTAGCTTTAAACAGCCATGAGACGGAGCTCAAGGCCCAAAATCACAGTGTGGGCCTCTTGCGCTCTGTGACAGCCGAATACATGTCGGATTCAGACGCTGCTGCATCGGGCCCCCTTGCCAAGCCCGCCAACTTGAACTTTAGAGTCACCAGCTGGTGGGGACGTCTTTTGAAGCTTCACACGCAAGAGATGAATGTGTGCCACCAACAATCATTGAATGTGAAAGCAGTGATGTCAGCATGTACGGGAATCTTCTGCGAAGGCGAGGCACTCCGTGTGCCTAGACTTCTCCAATCACCGCTGTTTTTTGGGTGTGCCAGCTGGCAGTGTTTCACTGTTTCAACTTAGATATTCGATCCTGTATAATACTCCGAAGTCAAAAAAACATGCATTCCAACATAGACCCGAGAAGTGCACCCGCATGGCGTAGGAAGCAATCATTTCATGAAGCCTACCGCACTAAGGCCAGACCACAGTAGAGCCCAGAAAGTTGGAACATCATTATCTCCATGCCCTTAAGGTAAAGTATAAGGGATCCTAGCACTAATCCTCCTAAAACCATGTTCCAACTTTCTGGCTTCTACTATAAGCCATACTAGAGTCACTAGAGTATAAGTATAAGCACTGTTTAAGACTTTAAGCCTTTGCTCAGGCGCTTGGTATCCCGTTCCGCTGTTTGGCAGGGGCTGAGAAGGATCCTCATTTCAGATCCATTGTAGCAGCCAATCACACCGTGGAGCACATGTACGAGAGCTTGGAGAGCATGCTTAAGGATCACAGCACCAAGCATGCCATCAATTTGGCAGTGACTGGGTCACCTTGTAATCCTTACAGTGTAATGCGCTGCAAGCGCTTTTCCGACGGCTCGGTGGCGAGCCACAGCATGCACGGCACGACCATGCAGTCAGTCGTCGACTTCTATCAGAAGTATGAGCCTCATGTGGGAATCACGGAGCAAGTGGCGGGATTCGGCCAGCGAACAAGCACGACGGATCCTACGAGTCCTTACGAGAGGCCACGTTTAGTCAAGAGTCAGGTTTGCTCATTGAGCTCGATGTTTGTTGCTTGTTGTCGCGTTTCGGGCAGCATGTTTGTGAGGGGTGGGTGGGTGGTGAATCAGTTCAGTTGGAGTGCAGGATGCAAACCAGCAAACCATGCAAACGTTTCCGCGAATCGTACGGGTCTCCCCGCGATTGGCTTGCTTGCTTCATTCTGCCGAGTCTGTCTGCTTCTCTTCTTTGCAGCTCTGTCGCATGCTTACATTGGCTTGCATCTGATTCATATCTCGATGCGTCTCGCTTTGTATATCTAGAGTAGGACATCTACACATTTCTTGGATGGTTCTATTGTGCTGCACTTTCATGCATCATGAATTCATCGCCCTCCCCCTCTCCGCCTCTCCCTCTCCCTCACACTCTCCCTTTCCTGTCCCTTTCTGATTCTCTTTGTTGTTGTGACCATGACCATTGCTGACCTCCATGTGCGGTCATCTCGCATCAGACGGTTGTAGCATTGTAGAATGTATGAGCAGTCAGTAAGCCTTGGCTGCCTTAGCTAAAACCCACATCTACCTTTCCGCCAGTCCAACCATCACCCGTATGCACAGGTTCATGGCTGCAATGAAGGCAGTCCCCTTTCGGAAGGGTGGCTACTACGTGGCCCGCCTGGACATGGATGCAGCGGACTGGATCAAGATCCGTCGGCCGAGGCCGGTACTAATATGTTCGGTTGCCACTTGAGCCGTTCAAGCGCACACAGTTCCGTGTCTTGGTCAGTCTTGAGAGTCTTGGTTCTGCATTGCAGTGGTCATGTTGTCTTATGCATGGGCCGAGATATCGTAGCAGTCAATCCACAGAAGCTCCGGGGCGTCCTAGCTATTGGCCCGAAACAAGAGCATGGAGGATGAAAGCGTAGGCGACTGGGACGATCTGCTGCTTTCCTATGCAGTAGATTCAGCTGCAGCAGATGATCATCCGTCTCTGGCAGCGGACGACGTTCAGCCTACTGCATCTGTACATGTAAATGCTGCTGACGCAGACTATGATTCCTGGGACGCAATGTTTCTGCCTGCAGTCCCTCCGCCTGGTCATGCAGCACAGATGGAGGCTGCAGAGACCGATAGAGTGGCCGTCCCGGCCAATCGATTGTATGGGAACCCCAGCAGTCTGCAGCACATTGGGACACGGCTGCACCAGAGTTTGTTTAGCTGGTTTCGCCAAGCACGCTCGGCTATGCAGCGGCAGCTGCAGACCCAGGGCGTGGATAGAGAGCATGAAGGACAGGAGGCCAACGAAGCTATGGTTCCGGCTGAGGCGGGCCAGACATCTTTGGAGGCTGTAGTGCAGACTTATGTGACAGAGCCGAGCTTTGCAAGCTTCCGCGCTGCCAGACGAGCCACTGGTGTGCCTGAAACCAGCATGAGACGGGAATTGGTCCAGTTCGCTTGTGCGCTGCTCTACAGCACGACCTGGCTGTTGGGAGCTTTCTTCCGGGGCTGGTTGCAAGTGTACCGTGGCCCACGGTTTCGGCCATTGATGTTTGTGTCCAAGGTGCGTTATGATGAGACGCCTTTGAAGTTGAAGGTGCGAGATGCGAAGTCTTTCCTGCATGATGCAAGTGCAAGCAGCGACCAGCCAATGTCACTGGCGACTTATCATCATCCACCGCTCGGGCAAGTTTCGCACCTCACTGCAGTTGGCGACAAAGCGAACGCAGACAGCTACACCCATGCCAAAATATTTTGTGTGGAGTGGACACTTGGCAGCTCGGCTTGATGAGTAACGGTACGCCCAATCAATCACTAACAAGGACCCAGTGTTTGCACACAGCGAAGACTTGTGACTTGTGCCAGCGCGCAGATAACTACCCGGTACTTGAGGCCCTAGGGCCCTAGACCCTGATTAGACTCTAGACTCTAGACTCTAGGCTAGACTGAGTCTCTCGCCCGCTGAGGTTTTCTCTCTGTGGATGTGCAGAGCAAGGAGCATCACTTCGTGACATGTGAAGTTCCTACGCACTTGTACTGCATAGATCGCACCACAGGCGAAAACCAGTTAGCAGTGCTTCAAGACATTGAGAACAAAGTGCCCGAGCTGCGGCACTTCCGAGAAAAGCACCCTTTGCAAGTTCGGCTGGCTGTCGCCGATAGGTATTCAGCTAACTTGGTGGCTGAGCGTGAGATCCAACGCCAGAATCCAGACCAGACGACGGGCTTGATTGGTTGCAGTGTCCACAAAGCTGCTTCCTCCCTGAAGTTCTCAACCAACCTAGAGGCCAAGACCATATCCGGAGTGGTCCAAACTGGCCTGGCTCTTGAGTCTGTAGGCTCTGCGCAAAAGCTGCGCAAATGTCTGCAGCAAATATTTCACGAAGAGCTCGAGATCGTGTTCGATCTCCCTCCAGGAGGACAGATCGCAGCTTACCGGAAGGAGTTGCTTGATCTGTTTGTGTCAACACGAGCAGTTGGCGCAAGTCCGCGCATCAATGCCCAGAGACAGTTTGTGCTGAATCAATACTGCAATTCAGACTTGCAGTCGGCTCGAATTATCCATTACTGTGGGCCCGGATGTTGCTCATCGCCTGAGCAAACCTTCGAGATGTTCCTGGGATTTGTGTCGTGGTCTTTGATCCCATCGAAGTGTGGCCTGCTGTCAAGAAAGGCTTGGCTCGGAGCGGACCGACCAGTAGATTTCATCGGTCTCCTTTCCTGTGTGTGGCAATTGTGGCCACGGGTGCTGTCCAAGTACACAGGCAAGCCTCAACCTGGGCTTGTCAACAGTGCCAAGCAAGACGACGCCGATGAGAACTCCTGGGACAGCCTCGAGGCTGTAGCGCTATTCCGCCGGCCTGGCTCGGCCGACGCCTCGCATGATTGCGAGAGTGGGGCGGTTGAGGAAGCAGCTCCTCCAGACATGCTCAATGTTGATGCAGACACTTGGGCGCAGATGAACCAGAAGAACCGATCCGCAGCTATGTCGTTTGCTTGCTCGGCAAACGTCGCCGAGAGATTGGTGATCCTGCGACAGACCATGGAGGTGGGCTTGCAGCTACTGTACCACATGCTCCATGTTGCAGGGCCACAATGGGAAGCTGAACAGAAAAAGAAACAGGCTGAGACAGGGCAGCGCAGCTACAGGGTGCTCGACGCAGCCACCGGGGAGTACTTGAAAGGCTTCTTTCAACAAGCGTCTCAGATGATGCTGAGCGCGCCGAGAGCATTGGCCAAGTCTTCCTACACCCGACGATCTCGCGCCACCATGTTTCGACTGCTGGCCAGTTTGATGGCTTGTATCTGCTACTTCCTGCAGAGGTGCTTTGAAGGCTTCCCGTACTGTCTCTTCAAGCTCCTCATCGACCCGACGGCAGCAGATGAGATTCTGAACCAGCGGCCTGCCTGTATGCGGGACAGCCTCTCTGACAACTTCCTGCAGAAATACAGTAAGCCGTCCGATCCCGAGGCACTGTGTGCCTTGCACGCATTGGCGATTCTCCTCGAGCTAGACATAAGCGGCGTCGAGTCGGGACACAGCTCTGTGAGGGAGTACACAATGAGCAGAGGCAGGGGGCATACCCCAGACCTTGCTCAAGTATCAGCCAAACGCCTCTGTGCGTGGTTCGGCCGTAAATATGTGCATCCTTCTGATCGAAAGCAGAATGCTCAGCAAAAGCGGAAACAGCGCAAGGAGAAGAAGCATGCGCGACCTGGTGGCGCTTGGCGCGCGTTTTGCTCGGACAGAGCGAAAGGGCAGAAGTTCAACCGCGTCCTGCTAAGAGCTCTCTCTGCCGAGTACCGTGGGCTCTCCCAAGACGAGTACGAGATGTACCGGGAAAGAGGTGTTGCAGCAACCGCTGCTGCACGTCTTGGCAACAAGCGCCCCTTCAGCTTGGTGGACCAGCCGGACCAGCCGTTGCAGCTTGCTCTACGCCCTGCCGAGGTTCTAGAGAAGCACACAGACCTGGTCCTCAGGCTGCCTGGCAGTGACTTTGAATCCCAGTTTGAAGTTCTTCGGGCCCGACTTCGTGCTGGTCACCGAGCTGACAAGTCCCGGGCGGCAGTTGCCCCCGCCGACGTTCCCCTTGACACTAGCTTCTTGCAGCAGGCCCTTGACCGAGGTGGAGGCCCTGGCCTCGTGGAAGGTGTTCGCACCCGCCCGCACGCGGCAGCAGTTCCCAAGTTGCAGCACCACTGCTTCGTTCCCCCCGCTGTCGGCTTTGCCAAGGCCGGTGCAGCAACAAGAGCCGCAAGACGCCCACGTCCTGCTCACGTATATAGTGAAAGTGCTTTCTTTTTGCAGTAATTAGTTACGTTTACTCTTTCCATAGCACTGTAGCCTGTAGCGCTACAATCCCACTTGTGCCTCTTTCCTGCGCAGGATGCTTTAGCGTTCAGCAAGAGCCGACGCTCTCAGATGGAGGGCACCCAGACTTCTTCCATGAGTGATTGGCTGCACAACCAATGGACTCTGGAGCACACGAGCCTTCGGCACGAAGACCGGAGCAAGATACCTAGGTCCAAGAAGCATGCGTCCGGCATGGGACCATGTGGTCTAACGGGGACCTGCTCCTGCTCCCGGCCTAAGGAGCAGGAGTTCTGCAAAAAGCTGGCGCAGTTGCTTCGAAAGACCTTCTGGAAGCGCCGCGGAGTCGCATGCGCTGAACGCTTGGACTACGAAGCAGGCCGTCTGGTGGTCTCTCTGAAGATTGGTGACGGCGAGCAGGAGGTTTTTTTCTTTCCCGGCTACACAAATTTCACAACATGGACTTTTTCAGCTGTCGTGCTTCGGCCTCGTGGACGCCAGGACGAAGCAGGCGTTTTGAAACTTGTCTTCGGTGATGAGGAGACACATGTTGTGGAGAGCCCATGGACGGTGCTGGCAGACCTGCTGACCATGCAGGCGTTGGTGAGAAAGTTCGTGGACGTGTCCAAGCCGTGCACGTTACGACTTTGGAAGATTCTGGAAGATGAACAGACATTGGCCGTGTGGCAGATGCAACCTCGTTTCGTGGATGTTTGCTTGCACGCAGATGAGCTTGCATTCTGGAAGGGTGAGGCCTTACCAATTTTGCTGCGTTTTAAATGTTTTTTTTACTCGGTCAAGTAAACTCCTGCATGCCAGGCTAGAGTCAAGTGAGTTTAGTTCGGTCCCAAGCATAGCTCTCTAGATTCCTGGGCTATGCTAGATGCTAGCTGCTAGCACAGAGGTTGTGGGTTCCTGGAGCTACATATATTTAGGTGTCTACTCACCACCTTGCGCAGGCGTCAGCGGCGGCGAACAGAGACCAGTACCACGGCGTCCTGGACGATATGGGTGACGACGCTGCAGATGACGAGCAGCAGGACGACGACGATGAAGAAGACAACAGGTCGCTGTTCGGCGATTCCGATTCGCCAGCTGCGTCCCAGAATGCAGACGATGAGGCGGTGGAGGCATTGCTCGGTGATGCAAATGCGCAGCTGGGCCCAGATGCAGATGCTGGATCCGATGCCTCCCAGTCGGAACATGAGGTGCATATTCCTGATGACTTGTTCCCAGCAGAGGAGCCAGTGCCCGATGCTGTTGCTGCATTGCTGGCATTGCCGGAGAACCCAAACGACGCCGCAGACGAGGATGCTCCCGGTCCGGGCGCACCTGCAGACGCCGCTGCGGCGGCTCCTGCGGCACCAGCCGCGCCAGCAGTTGCGAGGCCAATCGGCCGTGGAGGGCGTGCGCAACGAGAGTCACAGATACAAATGCGAATTCCGGAACCCATTGGAGGAGAGATCAGATACAATCAGAAGGGTGGGTTCTTTACAGCGTTCTGTCCCAGGCACGGAGAGTTATGCAGGCGACAACGGCAAGCCACTGCCGGCAAAAGGGCGGGGAGCGGCAGGCCGCTGGGGAACTTGCTATCCTGGCTTGCTGCTGCTGGGGAGTATGACACGCAGGAAGCCCATGTTGGCAGCAGGGTTGCAGGGCTTGAGAAACGCCAAGAGGCCAGAGCATGGTTCACGGACCTTCCAAACTCCAATGTTCTGCTGGAGTATGAAAGGCCTTTGGAGGGTGCAGAATCTGATGAGCCTGTCCGGGTGACCTGACGGCGAAGTCGCGGTTACCCCACCGAGCGATGTGATGTTTCGGATCGTGTGCTTCCAGGGTGACCTGACGGCAAAGTCGTAGCGACCCCACCGAGCGACGTGATGTTTCAAATCGTGTGTGTGTGTGCTACAGCGAGTGGCCTTGAAAAAAAGCGCATGCCAGTACAGTGCGCTTTCTTCTAGGATTGTAGGCTTGCAGGACATGAGTGAAATGTCTCCCGGTCCATTTTCAGATGCGCAGCATGCGGGGGTGTGCATTCCTTGTTCACGTTGGAAGGCTCTACATTGTCTTCCTGCGGAAAGACATCTACAGCAAGGACGACGTGCTACTTTTCAAGAAGATCTGCCAGGACGCATACTAGCTACTAGCTGGCTTCCATACATGCCATACAATTACCTGAACCGTTGACTGTTAACCAGATTGGTTGCGGGTCATGGGTGCCAAGTCCAAATGCAATTTTTTGTCTTAGTCTTCGAGTCTTAGCCGCACAGCCCAAGCACAGACGGCCTGTGTTGTAATTCTTCCTGGACTGTGTTTTTGTTTGCAGGACATTGGCCAGAAACAACAGGCACATGGGCCACTCGAGATCTTCGATGTGCTGTTGCCGGAGTGTGGTGCCGACTATGCGGCTGAGATGGCCAAGGTCTCCGCGGAGACACGTGGGCAGGACGGGCGGTGTGCTCACATGTGTAGTTCATACACAGCCAAAGAGTTTGGTGAGTCTAGTGTGCACACATACTCGCATTATACATGCGCAGACGCATACACACACACACACACACACGCACACTATAGGAACGAACGGAATTGAGTCTACTCAGAGTCTACTCTACTCTACAGGCTAGTGACTTTGGTGCATCCCCACCGCAAACCCACGTTTGCAGGTACACATGAGCAGGTCACGGCATGCACTCGGCATAATTGCTACATGCTACATCTTTGGGCACGACGGGCTTTCAACCATCAAGGCTTTCCAAGGGCGGCTCCACAATCCTTATTCAAAGACTCCATGATAACCCCACCCCACAGGCCCCACAGGCATCAAAGATTGAAGCCGTGAGAATAGCCGAATAGCCGTAGCCGTAGCCTTTAGGACTCTAGGACTCTAGCTCCTTAGGTAAATTTATGATGAATTAAAATGCCACATATATATATGTATATATATATATATACGGCCAGCCGCTAGCTAGCAACGAGGACACTGCTACGAAGCATTAAACCGCTAAGCCGCTAAATCCCTGAGCCAATCCCCAAGCCGAAGCCCCACACTTCTCTGAACTTCAAAAGGCAAAAGCTAAAATAAAGCCTGGACCTAAAGAACTCAAGTCTCCAAGGTCCTAGGGTCCTAAAGCCTAGAACTTAAGCTTGAAAACCCCAGAAAGGGATGTGTCGAAGAGAAGTAGAGTTGTCGAGTGCAGTGTCGATTCCGCGAGCATGTTAAAGCCGGGCGTATATAGTGTAAGCCCAAATAATCAGGGACATCAGACGGTCGTAGGGCCGTCGGGATCGGAGAGTGTAGTGTACGGGCTTAAACTAACAATGTTGATATTAAAACACTACATGTTGTGGGCTGCATAATTAAAGTTTAGTAGTAACTTTGAATATAATCCTAGGTCCTGGGTGCTACTGGTACTTGAAAAGCGAGATATCTTTACGATACTAGCCACCCAAAAAAATCATTAGCTACCTAATTAACATCCTCATATTGTTTATTAGAGATTTAAATAAACTTTGATTATTTTATTAGCAATTCAATTCAAATCCAAATAGTATAAACACTACCCAATTAGAGTCCGAATAGTTTATTAGCCACCCAATTAGAATCCTAATATTTTATTATCAACGTAATTAAAATCCTAATATTTTATTAGCCACCTAATTAAAATCCTAATATTTTATGAGCTAACTCATCAATTAGAATCCTAATAGTTTATTAGCTACTTACTAAAAATCCTAATATTTTATCAGCCACTTAATTAAAATCTTAATATTTCACAAATCCTATAATTCTGAACCATTAGATAATTAAAATCCTAATATTTGATTAGCCACCTAATTAAAATCCTAATATTTTATTAGCCACCTAATTAAAATCCTTTTCTTTTATTAGCAACCTAATTAAAATCCTAATATTTTATTAGCCACCTAATTTTATTAGCCACCTAATTAAAATCCTATTATTTTATTATTAGCCACCTAATTAAAATCCTATTATTTTATTAGCTACCTAATTAAATCCTAATATTTTATTAGCCACCTAATTAAAATCCTAATATTTTATTAGCCACCTAATTAAAATCCTAATATTTTATTAGCCACTTAATTCAATCCTTAATATTTGCTGTCAAGAATCAAGAAACCGGCGCGTGCACTTTGGCCGTGCATTTCCGTCTGCCTTCCATTTTGGCCCTCCATTTTCGTCGGCCCTCCATTTTGGCCCTCCATTTTCGTCGGCCCTCCATTTTGGCCCTCCATTTTCATCGGCCCTCCATTTTGGCCCTCCATTTTCGTCGGCCCTCCATTTTGGACCTCCATTTTCGTTGGCTTGATATTCCAGTACATGGCTAATAAAATATTAGGATTTTAATTAAATGGCTAATAAAATATTAGGATTTTAATTAGGTGGCTAATAAAATATTAGGATTTTAATTAGGTTGCTAATAGAATATTAGGATTTTATTTAGGTGGCTAATAAAATATTAAGATTTAATTAGGTGGCTAATAAAATATTAGGATTTTAATTAGGTGGCTAATAAAATATTAGGATTTTAATTAGGTGGCTAATAAAATAATAGGATTTGAATTAGGTGGCTAATAAAATAACAAGATTTTAATTAGGTGGCTAATAAAATATTAGGATTTTAATTAGGTTGCTAATAAAATATTAGGATTTTAATTAGGTGGCTAATAAAATATTAATTAGGTGGCTAATAAAATAAAAGGATTTTAATTAGGCGGCTAATAAAATATTAGGATTTTAATTAGGTGGCTAATAAAATAATAGGATTCTAATTAGGTGGCTAATAAAATATTAGGATTTTAATTAGGTGGCTAATAAAATATTAGGATTTTAATTAGGTGGCTAATAAAATATTAGGATTTTAATTAGGTGGCTAATAAAATATTAGGATTTTAATTAGGTGGCTAATAAAATATTAGGATTTTAATTAGGTGGCTAATAAAATAATAGATTTTAATTAGGTGGCTAATAAAATATTAGGATTTTAATTAGAATAAAATATTAATTTTAATTAAGTGGCTAATAAAATTTAGGATTTTAATTAGGTGGCTAATAAAATAGGATTTTCATTAATTAGGAATTATTAGGATTTTAGGTGGCTAATAAAATATTAGGATTTTAATTAGGTGGCTAATAAAATAATAGAGTTTTAATTAGGTGGCTAATAAAATATTAGGATTTTAATTAGGTGGCTAATATATTAATTTTAATTATTAGGATTTTAATTAGGTGGCTAATAAAATATTAGGATTTTCATTAATTAGGTGGCTAATAAAATATTAGGATTTTAATTAGAATAAAATATTAGGATTTTAATTAGGTGGCTAATAAAATATTAGGATTTTAATTAGGTGGCTAATAAAATATTAGGATTTTAATTAGGTGGCTAATAAAATATTAGGATTTTAATTAGGTGGCTAATAAAATATAGGATAATTAGGTGGCTAATAAAATATTAGGATTTTAATTAGGTGGCTAATAAAATATTAGGATTTTAATTAGGTGGCTAATAAAATATTAGGATTTTAATTAGGTGGCTAATAAAATATTAGGATTTTAATTAGGTGGCTAATAAAATATTAGGATTTTAATTAGGTGGCTAATAAAATAATAGAGTTTTAATTAGGTGGCTAATAAAATATTAGGATTTTAATTAGGTGGCTAATAAAATATTAGGATTTTAATTAGTGGCTAATAAAATATTAGGATTTTAATTAGGTGGCTAATAAAATATTAGTGGGCTAATAAAATATTAGGATTTTAATTAGGTGGCTAATAAAATATTAGGATTTTCATTAATTAGGTGGCTAATAAAATATTAGGATTTTAATTAGGTGGCTAATAAAATATTAGGATTTTAATTAGGTGGCTAATAAAATATCAGGATTTTAATTAGGCGGCTAATAAAATATTAGGATTTTAATTAGGTAGCTAATAAAATATTAGGATTTTAATTAGCTGATAAAATATTAGGATTTTAATTAGGTGGCTAATAAAATATTTGGATTTTAATTAAGTGGCTAATAAAATATTAGGATTTTAATTAGGTGGCTCATAAAATATTAGGATTTCAATTAGGTGGCTAATAAAATATTAGGATTTTAATTAAATGTTTAATAATAAAATATTGGGTTTCTACGATAAGAAAATGGACGACGAAAATGGAGGGCCGACGAAAATGGAGAAGGAAAATGGAGGGGCAAAATGGAGGGCCGACGAAAATGCAGGGCCAAAATGCACGCGAACTCTTTGGCCCACGCCGTGGTCCACGCCACCTAGCCTCGTCTATGGCTGCTACAATATTAGGATCCTAATTAGGCAGCTATTAGATTATAAGGATTTTAATTAGGTGGCTAATAAAATATTAGGATTTTAATTAGGTGGCTAATAAAATATTAAGATTTTAATTAGGTGGCTAATAAAATATTAGGATTTTAATTAGGTGGCTAATAAAATAATAGAGTTTTAATTAGGTGGCTAATAAAATATTAGGATTTTAATTTGGTGGCTAATAAAATATTAGGATTTTAATTAAGTGGCTAATAAAATATTAGGATTTTAATTAGGTGGCTAATAAAATATTAGGATTTTCATTAATTAGGTGGCTAATAAAATATTAGGATTTTAATTAGGTGGCTAATAAAATATTAGGATTTTAATTAGGTGGCTAATAAAATATTAGGATTTTAATTAGGCGGCTAACAAAATATTAGGATTTTAATTAGGTAGCTAATAAAAAAATAGGATTTTAATCAGGTGGCTAATAAAATATTAGAACCTTAGTTAGGGGGCGAATAATTATTGGAATACAAGGATTTTCATTAGGTCGTTAACAAATCATTCAGGTGTTCATGAGCTGCTAATCAAATATTAGGTAATTAGGTAGGTACAAATATATTTGGATTTCATACCTCATGAAGTACTAAGTACTAAGATCTTACATAGGTAGCTAAGCAAAAAACACATAGAACTATTAGGATCATCACTAGGTAAGTTATAAACTATTATGTGTTTTGGTTAGGCAGCTAATAAAAAAAGTTCTCTCCTCGATGGGCGCATCCTGCGAAATAATTTCCTTGATTGTGGCTACTTAAATATAATGTTCCAGCTTAGCCTGCTAGCTATGCTGTCCATAGAACACTGAGACCTTATTACATAAGGCCAGAAGCAATAATGCAACAATAGTAGTTTGCTAGGTCTTGATGCTCCTCATAACATAGGTATTGGGATGTGTTGTTTGCTGCTCATTATTGCATTCACAAGAATTGGAACAGAAATGGCAACAGCACCAAATGACGACACCATCAGCAAGTAGGATATTGTAATTCTAGTGAATGTAATGTTTGCCATGGATCCAAGCTAGGACTAGGACTAGGACTATAGGAGGAGGGCCAGGAACTGGTAGTGATGGACGTGGTAGTGAAGCCCCTCTTTTGTTACGACTGGTGACTAGTGAATCCCCCGTGCCAAGTGTTTTGCCTTCGATTGTCAGGCTGCCGTGCGGACAACGGCCAATACTGGCACTCCAGCGGCTTGGAAATGCCAGCTCGCTAGGATGCAGCAGAAGTTGTGCGTGTCAGACCATACACAACCCTGGACTCCATGGACTCGGCACATGCAGCCATCGGCCGAGACAGAGAGAGTGAAGGCAATCCTGGATTACGTCGTCATGGAGAAGATTGGTCCCGCTGCATTGGGAATGAGCAAAGCCAGTATGCAGATGCAGCTTCGGCACGTGTACTGCGATGTGTCGCAGAACCCAGACTACCGCCGGTGGACAAACCAGCAAGGAATCATGGGTTGCTTGCTCACAACCTCGCGAGTGTACAGCTACCTACGAGACGGCAATCTTCTACCTTTCGAGCACCTTCGATTACAAGGCCACCGACGCGACCTTGTTATTCCAGCTTCGGTGCCCCAAGGCAGTGTGCGTGCTTTGGCCGGTGAGGGCATGTTCCTTCCCAGCCTGGGTTCCATCATTTGGGCCCTGTATCTGACAAAAGGCTTGCCGTGATCATCCAGCAATCCAGCCGTAGCCTCCATAAGCCAGAATGCCCCATGAAAGTAGATTTTGGCCTGGCATATGCCAAGCCGAGCCAGCCCTGCTTTCCGAGTTTGGAACCATTCAAGCCAGTGCTGCAGGTGCTGGATTGCTGGAGGAAGCAGTGTTCTTTTGATACTGCGTACGCCTGCAGTCCTGCAACCCACGTTGTTTTTGCTTTGCGCGCTGTAGACTGTAAAGAGCTCTAGTAACTCTAGTACACACTGTAGGTGAATGCAGCACTGCTTGTAGCAAAGGACAATAACCCAGTTGTTGTAGTTATTCGTAGTACTACTTAATAGTGCTAGTAGTAGTAGTAGTAGTAGTAGTAGCAGCAAGAGTAGTAGTCGTAGTACTAGTACTAGTATTACTAGTACTAGAGCCATGCCAGGGGAAGAGTCGAAAAGGAAGGGCGCTGGGTTGGAGGTGCCCTAGACCCTAGATTCCCTAGATCTCGGGCTTCCGTGGCCTCCTGGACCTCCTTACTTTAAGGTGTCCGCCCCCGGACACCTTAAATTACATAACAAGGTTCACTGGTTTTGAGTGCGCAGCCATGCACAGCCCGTTGGCGAACCGCCTGGCAGGGAGGGACGTTTGAAGGCTACGGGGTTTTGGGACAGGGGAGGTTGGTGACGGTTGGTGAAACCAGTGAACGTTGTTATGTAAACTAAGGTGTCCGGGGCCGGACACCTTAAAGTAAGGAGGTCCAGGAGGCCACGGAAGCCTAGGGCACCTCCAACTCAGCGCCCCTCCTTTTCGAGTCTTCCCCTGGCATGGCTCTAGTATTAGTGCTAGTACTAGTACTAGCATTACTAGCACTAATTCCTGGTCCTAATCATATAAGTGCTAGAATCTGTGATCGGTCGTTCCTACTCATGGGTACATGCGTTTGGAACCTGTGCATGCAGCGTGCAGAGCAGATGCTGTGCATTCAAAAGTTTCGAACGGCCTCAGGCCTCTGGGCGACGTACCCGGTACCCTCCTACAGGAATGCTCTCCAGAAGAGATCCAAACAAAAGGGCGAAGAGAGAGCATGCATCCAGCAGCAGCATCGATGTTGAATCTTCATGTGCAGACTCGCTGAAGCGGTGTCCATGGACTTGGATATTGAATGTTTGGACCTGATCTTGCTGGGCAAAGGCTCACACAACAGTGTTACTGTGACCTGTTACTGTAGGACTGTAGGGCCTATACCTGTAGGCACAGTGCAACCTTTTGTTCTCCCCACGTTCACCGTTGCTGTCGGCCATGGGGAAAGGGTCCATGAAGGCCCGGTTGCAAGTGACGGAAACTGGCGCTTGACTGTTTTTTCAGATTGAGACAGACCATTGTAGGATTGTAAGATACGTCTTGCTCACATCCCCTGCTTTCTGCAGGACAAAAAGCCTTCGTCACAGGCAGTGGTGCCTGTGAAGAAGGACCCTGTTACCAAGACCGGCAAGGGACAGGGCCCGGGCAGGCCGCGGAAAGTGCAACCAGCAGCCGTGCTCGTGTGCGCAGCCTGTGGTTTGACTTCAGAGGAGACACTTGCATGAGCACACGCATGTGATGGTCAGTCAGCTGGTGTTTGCAGGCGATTTCAGCGGACTGTTCAGGTGTGCGATTGAGACTGGGAGGGGCTGGAACACTAAAATTCTAGCGTGTATTAGAAGGGGCTTTGGGCAAGCGTGGGGGAGTGTGCGTGTGTGTGTGTGTGTCTCTCCATGTCGGCGCCTGTCATCATCTCTTCCCGTCTCTCCGTATTACATATCTGTCTCCTTGTCTCCCTCCCTCGCTCTCTGTCTCTCTGTCTCCCCCCGTCTCATTGCGTCTAAGTCTACGTCTCACTGTCTGTCTGTCTCTCTCTCTCTCTCTCTCTCTCTCTCTCTCTTTTCTCCGTGTCTGTGATTCTCTGTGTGTCTGGGTTTGAATGCGGAATCTGGCATCTGTTTCATTCTGTCATTCCGTTGGTCTCTGTGTGTGTGTGTGTCCGTCTCGGTGTGTGAGTTGGTGTCTGAGTGTCCGTCCGCGGTCGTTTTTTTAGTTTGTTTGGGCATTCACTGCGTGGGTGACACTAGGTCACTAGGTCACTAGCCACTAGTCGCTATGACACTATGACACTATGACACTATGACTATGTCATGTATAGTATAGTCAGTGAAGTTCTGCTTGTGCTATTTACTATTTTCTGGTGCCGAACCATGCTGCAATGTAACTGCTGCTACCAGGAAGAGACATTCATCACAAAGAACGGCGTTCCTACGGGCACCGGCGGAGTTGTGTGCATCGCTGCCGGCCGCCGCTTGCGGCCTGACCTGCCGTTTCCGGAATATTGTGAGTGGCTGCGCACGAACCCCCAGGCCAAAGCCACACACATGGTAGTCAAGCCAATGGTCGAGGGCACCCAGCCGCTTCCCATGCTGACGCCGGCAGGGGAGGTGCTGGCATCGACAAAGTATGGGTACGAGATCTATACAAAGTGTGCTGCGCTGACCGACACCGAGCTTGAGACGCACACCCGCAAGAATGCAAAAGAGTTGGGTTTGAAGCCTTTCTCCAGCGACTACGCAGCCCCAGACAGCTCGAGCAAGCTGTATCTTGTGAGCCTGGTGGGAATGTCGTCTGAGATGCGCGAGACTGTCAGGAAGGTCAAGATCCGGCACGAGACAGCCGCTCAGTCCAACGAGTACTGGCTCATGCCCCAGAATCAGCTCGTGCCCGAGCAGACGAAGACAGTGTTGTCACATGTTGAGAAGCAGGTCACAAGCCAAAAGCCCAAGATGGGAGGCCAGATCATGCTGAAGACATTGGGGGAGCTGCGTGAGGTTGCGGATCGCCTCGACAACCAGACCCGCAGCGCCGCCGAGAGTGCCAAGCAGCCAGAGCCAAAGCCAGATCTCAGTGCAATGTTCGAAGACGACGACCATGAGGACGAGGATGACGAAGAGACCAAAGCGGCCAAGGCTGAGGCAGCTGCGGCGCTGAAGGCTGAGGAGGCCAAGCAAGAAGCTGCACAAGCTCTCCTGGCAGGCTTCCACGACGGAAGCTTGAACTCAGCTGCGCCCAAGCGACGCAAGACGGCCCAGACAGCACAAGCACAAGCGACTGCCTCCGTGGAAAGGTCGAGTGGCTCGGCCATGGTTCCATCGGCCGCAGCTGGGACGGGGGCCTCCGACAAGGGGGAAGGCTCTACGAGCAAGAAGCAATCCAAGATGGACCAGGAAGTGGACAAGTTGGATCATGAGATGAAGAATGTAGCGCTTGCGCACTACAGTATCAACAACAAGAAGAATGTGTCCGTGAAGTGCCTGCAGGATCTTCGCATCGAGAACTTCACTGCACTGAAGACGGACCACTCGAAGGGTCACGCCATTGCAGGGGTAGCGGCTTCAGTCGGTGTCAGAGAGTGCAAGACTCGACATGTTGGTGAATGGGAACGTAGAGTCGCATAGAGTCGAGTGTGAGGTCTGTAGAGTCTGGCACCGGTACATGGCAAATGTTCCCCAAGCTCTTCAAGCAGATTCTATTCTAGCAGATTCTAGCAGTCAATAACAACAGACCCTAAAATTGCCTAAACTTTCTCTGGTTTCTTTAAGCACCAACAGAGCTCAGTGTGTCAGTGTTGAAACAACCAGGTAGCAGGCAGCAGGCAGTAGCAGCTAGCAGCTAGCAGCTAGCTAGCAGGTCCAGCCAGCCGCACAATAGCTACAATGCTCCGTACAATGCTCCGAGTCTTGTGTCATATTGGAACTTAGTGTCGTCCAGTGTGTTCTTGCAAGGCCAAGAAGATGCTGGATGGCATGGAGGAGAAAGCGGCGGATGCGCTTGAGACGGTTGCCTTGCGGCAGAGGTACGAGCAGTGCAAAGCCTTGAAGGAAATCTCCGAAAAACCCGAGCTTGCGGATGTGGAGTTGGGTGACCTTGAAGAGCTTCTTTCGAAGCTAGACAAGGTGGCGCAGCACCTTCCACCGCAGTGGCGAGTGCGGACAAATCGGGCCCTCGTTTTCCAGCACTTGAGCAAAGCGTCGGACATCTTCGTGGCGGAGGAAGACGACGTCGAGGAGGCTGAGCGGAAGAAGGAGATCATTGTGGAGCACTACAAGAACGCCGTGGAGGCATGTTTGCCTTGCAGAAGCTACAGCCAGATGCCCTGGACCCCGTCTGCCGGCACGAGCACCAACATGATCACTGAGGCTTTGGAGGAGCTCTCGGGCCTCACCCAGGCTGCCTTTGAATCTTCGATCGGCGACGAGACCGCCGCTGAGAAGGTGGAGGCATTCAAGCAGGAGGTTACCCCAGCTCTGGAGGCCGGGAATGTGGTGGAAGTTGTGTTGAGGAAGTGAGAAGTTTGGTGGGGAGGTGGGTTGCTGGGGTCGTAGTAGTCATAGTCGTAGTCGTCGTAGTCGTGTATCCTAGGAGGTTGAGGGGAGTTTGGGGGTGGCTTGGGTGGGGTGTGGTGGGCGATGGGGGGTGGCGGGGTTTGTGGGGGAGGTTAGCGAAATGGGGGTTTGCGCCGGGCCAGTCCCTCATCCAGTCGGGCTCGTTGGCAGATTCTCGAATCGAGTCTAGAGTTTAGAGACTAGAGTCTAGAGTGACTATAGTCTAGAGTTTGGCCTAGGGCCTAGGGCCTACCGTTTCGGTGCGTCGGGTTGCTAATCTGCTAAAATCTTTGTACCTTCCAAAGACCCACAGCCCTGTGACGCACAGGCTGCAAAGGCCTTGATCATGGATATGCTGGGCAGCAAGGGCTTCCGGAAGATCCTGCGGAACTACGAGACGTACGAGCTTCACTTGGAGAGCTTCTGCGAAGCCACAGCAGCCTGCTTGGACGATGCGAAGGAGCTCTTGGCCGAGTGGGCGAGCATGGACTGTCTGCCGGAGGTGATCCATGCTTTCGAGCCAGAATTGGATCGTTTGACAGAGTTCCTGAAATTCTTGTCGAACGCTGTGTTCCCTCTTAGCAAGTGGACGGAGCATAGTGCCCAGGACGTGGCCACATGGATGGCCGCCGTCAGAAAGTCGGATGCAAAGGTTGAGAAGGACCTGCTTGCCCTGATCAACGAGGATGCGTCGTGGCGAAAGCTCGTGGATGAAATCATCAAGAAGTCCCCTCACGCCGTGACAATGCAGCCCCGTCGAGATCGGCTCCTCGAGAGTGTGAAGCAAGGGGGCTACACCGCCTCACGCCTCAAAGAAATGATGCTCGAGTATGATGCAGTGCGCAAGGGCATGAGGGATGTCGAGATCGAAGAGATCACCTTCCTTCTTCAGACGAAGTTGCGGGCGTTGGCTGAGGGCATCATGAGCAAGACAACAGAGGACCTCGCAGCAGGGCGCTGCAGGACTGTGGAGATCAATGCGGTTTTGGATGGTCTCCGTGCTTTTGTCGAGGAGTCTGGCATTGCAGACATCATTGCTTCCTTGAAGAGTTTCTGGTCCAAGCACCAGAAAAGCTTGGCCTTCAACGATCTGCTCGAGATCGCTGCGCAGGCGGAGAAGGACACGTGCAACTTGGCGGATCTGGAGGAGATCTTGAGTCGATGCAATGTGGCCGATTTCCCGGTCCTGCGTGACAAGCTGTCAGACAAGGACAAGATTCTCCTGGGCGGGTTGCTTGTGAGCTCCATGCGTTCCATTTTCCTAGAGGCCTGGTTTCTGCTCTTCAGGATGCAAGCCAGCAGCCAGCTGTTGGGCCGGGCTCTACATTACATGTGCGTAACTTAAAGAGTATCGACGTCAAAAACTCAGGCTTTAGATTCCTTTAGGTTTAGATTTAGATATTTAGAAGCTAGAATCTAGAATGTATATAGAACTTGCGGGGTGATTGTATTGTTCAGTTTTTGTGTGCCAGAAACAGGTCAAGCAGAAAGGAGGCAATTACACTGTGATCGCCGTGATGAAGAGGGTGAACCTTGTGCAGAAGGTTTGCCACCTTCTCCATGCGGAAGACTCCCAGCCCGCGATTGCCTTCAGCAAGCACGTCGAGGTGTTGAAGGCTGGCGTGTCTGCCGGATTTGAGCTGAGGAAGTTCAAGTCTGGTGGTGACACAGCGACAAAGGCTTTGGACACCGACAAGAAGAAGACGCAGCTCATGACCGTGGTCAACACCTACATGGGATTGCAAAAGAAGGGTCACGGACTCACCGGAGGGGTCGCTACGGCAAAGGAGGAGCTTGCCAAGGAGAGCCATGAAACAGGCACCGAAGCCGATGCCTGCAACATCAAGATCCTTGAGATGGTGGAGCTGGACACCCTCGGCCTCTTCTACGAGTTGTTTCGGGACGAGCTTCTCAGTGACGCAATATCCCACATGTGCTGCGGTGCTTCCGAGGCACTGCATCAGAGCATGCAGAAGATGGACAAGTGCTTGAGTGGTGTTGTTGGGCGCAAGTCGTGGAAAGCCACTTTGGAGGAGGAGACTGATCTCGACAAGGTGTTGCAGCTCGCTGAAACCACTTTGCTGAGGATGCCGCTCAGGGGCAAGTCCTTCTTCGACAGCATCGAGAAGTTCAATCAGGTGGCTCTTCTGGGACTCGTGACTCAGGGTATCTGTAATGACTGTAGTGAAAGTAGTGGAATGTAACGTCGTGTTGGTAATGCACTGACGGCTTTGTTTTCAAGTTGCTAACAGGAAGGCACCACGGTCCCCACGCGTAGGTTTAGGCCTTAGGCTTACATGACATGTGTTCCAGCCAGTATCGCAGTGTTGCCGTGTGGTTTTGAGTTCTTCCGTCAACTTTAGTCACTTTAGTCACAGTCTTTGATTGATGTGACCGACCATGTAGGTTCGAGGCCATGTGTTTTTGTTGTTGTAGCATTGTGGCTCCTGGGGCCAGGCGGCGAGAGAGTGACTGACAGGTAGGACAAGACAAGCTGACAAGCTAAAGCAGCTAGGAGATAGTATTCACGAGTCAATAGGACGCCAGTCACTAGTCACGAGTGACAAACGGCTAACGATACTGATTACAAAAAATCGAAACACTGCTGCTGGGTTGTTGTGTGGCATAGCCGGGCTTGAGTCATTGATCTGTTGCAGGAGCTACGTGATGCTGAGGAGTTGGTATCCAGCTTCGCCAAGATCCAGGACGTGCTGGAGGCTGGCACGGGTGAGACCATGGAACAGTTCGAGCAGCTCCAGGTCAACGTGTCCGAGGCGAAGCCTATCTTGAAAGCAGCCCGCATTTGCAACGTGGAGAGTGTGATCGTTCATATTCTATTGAAAGAGTCGAAGCAGCAGCTCACCGATCGGGCCCAAGCACAAGGACTGCTTCGCGACATGGTTGCCCAGGTGACGGGGAATACGAACGGGATTGTCCGCGAGGATGTGCACCCGCTCTTGATGACTGCAGCCGAAGGGTTCAGTGAGACCGGGTAAACGTGTGAGCATTGAGCCGGGACTATAGTGCAACAAGGCGACTATAGTCTGTGGGTCCTTTTTCAAGAAGTGAAGCCGTCGTCGCTTTGCACCAGTATCGGATGTCGTTCTGATTCGATTCAGAAACCCCTCCAACGCTATGTAGAAAGTCTTTATTTCTTCGATTCCGAAACCCCTCCAACGCTATGTCGAAAGTCTTTATTTCACATCTTTGTGAAAGAGTCCGATCTGCGTCTTGCGAATTGGCTGTGAGGTTTGAGGTCTTGTACAATCTCTCAACACCCTCAACATACCTGGTCCTTGAGACCTTCCGGATCGCCGCCTGAAGAAAAGGTAGCCTCAAGTGCCTTTGCATTCCTCGGCCATTTCCCATATCTAGCTTCAGGTGCCCGCGCAGTTCTCGCTCATCTTCAAAATGAGCTCCGAATCGCATGGATTATTTATCCATTGTGGCCCTCCATTTCGGGCGCATGCCCCTCCATTTTAGGCCTCATTCCCTTAAGCTGGTCCGGTTTTCATAACTCAAAGGGGTCCCTACTTAAAGGATCATGGGACTTAGTAACTGGGGTTATAATTAGGATAACTATACTTATAACCCCACTTAAGGTACTTATAACCTTACTTACTAAGTCCCATGATCCTCCAAGTATATAGGTACTTTAAAGCCTAAGTATATACTACGTGGGAACATGGAGCTGTAGGGAAAGAGACCCAAGGCTTGTCTTTAGGACGTCACGGACCCTCTCAAGGAGTTACGTACCCAGACCTTCCAACATCCTTTAATTAAGGAATATACCTTAAATCATATTAGGGATCCTACTATAATTTAACGTATATTCCTTAAATAAGGCATTTTGGAAGGTCTGGGTATCGAGGGCCCCTTCGAGAAGGCTCTGGGACCTTCTTCTTAACCGCAAGTCAGCCCTAAGCCCGAAACTTATGGACATAAGCATAAGCATTTTATGGGGGATATCGCTACCTTATTTGGCTTCATTGAAACCGGGTTTATGTGGGATATCCTTAGCCTTATTTTACCTTATGTGCCTTTTGGGCGCCCTAGAAACCCTGGCACGCTAAACCCCAACCCTTGGGGCAGAGGTTGGGTGGATCCCCCCAAAAATTGAGATAAGGAATATACCTTAAATCATATTAGGGATCCTACTACAAGTTAAGGCTTAACAGTTAAGGTATATTCCTTAATTAAGGGATTTTGGAAGATCTGGGTGATTCGGATTCCGTCCATTGCAAGGACTTCGAGACGGACCCGACGCTTGAGAAGAAGCGCCGTGAGTTTGTCCATGAGGCGCCTGCACCTTTCGATTGAAGGTTTTAGGGAATTTGTTTGGGCTAGGGTTAGGGTTTAAGGTTTAGGGATTTAGGTATAGGGCGTATAGGGTTGAAGGGCACACCTCGTTAGGGATTTACGTTTAGGATTAGGGTTTGTAAGGTTTTGGGGTTTAGGGATTTAGGTATAGGGCGTATAGGGTTCAGGGTTGCGGGATTCTACCTTCTGGGTTTGGGGCGGCAGCTTGCAGTTTGGAAATGATCGCTTCAGTATCCCTCCTAAACCCTATAAACCCAAGGGTCCAAAGGACGCAATAATCAGGTACTTGCGTTTAGGATAATGTGTGGTTATGTAGGTCATACCTGGGAGAGTATATGATTATTAGGTACTTGGACCCGTAGGGTAAGCCCTAATAGTACCCTTGTTTTGGGAGTGAAGCCAGGCCGCCACCAAGCTTTGCAACGCACGGCTCATCCGAATCGACAACAATCGCCCCGGGGCTTTGATTTGCGCGGGGTTGTTTCCTTGAGGAAAGCGTCAGTCTAATTCGTGCTAAGGGCTACATTCCCGAAAGGCGGCCTGCAACAAATCACAGGGTCCAGATGCCCAAGTAGTACGATTTCAGGTTACGAGAATCGGCTGGGATAAGATATTCAGGAGCACCCTACACCCCATTGTTAGCGACTTTAAACCAACACCCCAAGTAGGCCGTTGATCATCCTTTCATGGTAAACCCCACTTGGGGTTGCATAATAACCCCGCGTGGTCAATTTATGTAAGCACTTGCCCGCAGTGTTCGAGACGATGCGTTTGACTTGTAAAACGATAAGGAGGATAACAAAAACGATAGCGTCATTTTGTACAACAAGCGAGCACAATCCAGCCAGGAGCCGAAACGAGGCATTTCGGTACCAAAAACCATTCAGAGGATAGCATGTGGGATCTAAGATGATACTATCTGGATACTTGGATCAATCGCAGTCATCACCTGTAGAGCCGCTAGGGCCGCTAGGAAACCTAAAATGATCATGAAGCCCTTGAGCACTACACCAAAGGGTGCCAAGAACCTACAGTTCAGAGGAAGGTTTATATAGCAGGAATTACCATTATGGTTTGGGTAAGTATCCCCCCCATACAGGTACTCAGGACCCTTTAGGTATTTGAACCCTCTTTGCATTGCGGTCTCCGAGGCAATTACAATCCTACTGACTTGGGTCGCGTGGCTGCCCGCTTCTACGCCGGGGGTCTCAACCCACGAGAGTTCCTCATTCCTGAGCCCCAAACCGTGTCTCTCTAGGGTTTAGGGGTTTAGGGGTTTAGGGTTTAAGGGTTTAGGGTTTAGGGGTTTAGGGGTTTAGGGTTTAGGGGTTTAGGGTGTTGGGTTGCGAGGCTTTAAACCCTCAACCCTAAACCCTGTACTGAGTTTCAACTCTTTGGGTTTCTTGGGGCTCGGTTGGGAGTAGGGGTCGGTTTCACGTTTGACTTCAGGTGGTTAACCCTGAGTTACGGTTGATGATATGAATCCTGCTTGCCTTCATGACCCTAAACTATGTTTGTTTAATGGGTAATGCAGGATTTATGTCATCAACTGTAGTGGTTTAGGAACTAAGGATTGCAGATCGTTTTCCGACTTCAGGCCATCTCTGCTACGGAGTTTCATGCCATATGGTTGTGAAGCTTTCATCTAGCAGTCGAATCAGGTACTTGGTGTATAAAAGGCTTCCTGATTCCTGAGTGTATTTGCGATAATGATTTTCGGGTCTGTTTACAGTATCAAGCAGTCGAATCCTGAATTTGCAACCCTAGACGCTAAAGCCCAATATCTCCAGCCTAGAAACAGGACAGGAACATTCCTCAGTTAAGAATAAGGGCTCGTGCTCGGCAGCCCTTTCTATGGGGTTGCAGCGGAGAATAGGGTTTAGGGTTTATATTCTTTAGGGTTTAGGGTTGGTTAAGGCTTATTATAGGGTTTCTAGTTTATGCCTTTGGGTTTATAGGCTGCGGGTGTTGTAGGGTTAAAGGAAATTCAGGTCTATGCAGGGTTTAGTTGACCGAGGTGGACTGGGAGACCGCGGAATCCTTCAGCAAGGGCCTCATCCAGAACATGGACGATGACAGGAGCGACGGATGTAGGATTTCCGTCAATTCCTTCTCTACCAAAGCTCAGAATCCTTCATGGAGAAACTTTCTCTGTACATATGTTGGAACTTCCCCAAGTAGTGAACCCAAACCATACGACTTACCACTCTTGGGCGCCTTGCGTTGCCGGTTCCTTTTTTAGGGGGTGATGGTTACCTCGATAGGGTTCTCTACGACAAGTTTTTCATATCTCTGGAAACTGAAATGATCTGATGCGGCATCGAAGCAGTCCGCAATCGCAAGGATCGTCGCATGTGTATGAAATTTTGAGGTTTACATCTTAGTGCAGTCATAATATCCCAAACACGCGCAAAACCTATGAATCTCACAGCACATCCTCAATCCACACAGTGCATCTGGTTGAGGCTACATGGAAGGCTGTTGCTATCCTGCGCGGCGCTTGGCCCTAAACCCTAAACTTTAAATCCCTAAACCCTAAACCCTCAATGCTACACGCGCCTATCCGCCAATGACAACAAAGAACGGACAAAGTAGAGTTCCCCCCTTATATAGTACCAGTATGGCATTAGGGCCCACAAGACCATCTTTATTATGCTTTGAGGGGACCTAGTTCCATAGCAGTATATATGGACCCACTGGGGCTGTTGTTCATCGTTCCCCGAAGCGGAAGCCCAAGCATCTACACTCGGGCTGAATGTCAGCATACACCCTAATCGCTACAAGCCACAACCGAGAACACTAAGCAAAAAAACACAATCAGACCCACTCTGCATGAGCTTTCGTCGAGGATTCTGGCCCTCTTCGGCAAAGCTCACGAGTTCAGTCAGCTGAAGGCGCACCTGGTGGGGGACATGGCTAATGCCCGAGGTTTCATGTATACGGCTGATAGGATTTGTAGGACCTATAGGGATCATGGGGCTTGCAGGGCTTGCAGGCTGTCGGGTGTTGGGGTTCAGGTCTTGAGGGACAGGGTTCATGTTGTTGATTTTATAGTTGCTAGATGTCGGAGTAGTGTGTAGTTTTATTCCATGTTAATCCTACGGCTTGTTATATAGTCATCTCAAAGCATACTACAGCCCAAGAGATTTTTTTCTAATCATCAAGGCCCATGTATTACATCGACGATAGGACTTGAATGGACTGAAGGATCTTGGGCTTCAACATTGCACTGCTCGGAGGGGGTCCGAGGATTTAGTAAGTGAGTAATAAGTAGAGTTATATGAGAGTTCCCGAAAATTAGGGGTACCTTATTTAGGGGTCCTTGTAATAGGGATCCTATTATTTAAGGTACTATATTGGGGTCCCCTGTTTTTGGAAACTCCCATATGTACCCTAAATGGCGCTATTCCAATCATATCCCTACTGATAACCTACTTACTAAGTCCCCTGCCCCTCCAAGTAAGTAGAGTTATATGCACCCTGAGGATGGATCCGAATGGATCCGTAATTGGGGTCATGGTACTTAAAACTCTGAAAAATGGCTACTTACTATATAAGTCCCCCGACCCTCCAAGCATACGATTAGGCGATGAGGTCCCTCACGCCATGCCCTCAAGGTCCATGTACCCAAATGGTATATACTTTGGCCTTGAAGTAGTCCCTATGCAGGGACGACTTTAAGGCTTTAAGGCCAAAGTATATACTCATTGGGTACATGGACACCCTTCGGGATGATTAGGACGGTGTTTCGGAGCCTTCTTCCATAAGGGTCACATCTTTGGGCCTGACCTCAAGGTAAAGCCTAAACCCTAAACCCCTCCAACTACCCTCTAATATCTTAAGTACCCATTATTAAGGACCATGAGGGTGGGTAAAGGTATTAAACCCCTAAACGCTAAAGCCTAGACCGTTATTACTGGATATCACTATGCACTATCAGTGTGGGCTCGCGTATTCAGCCCCTCAGCAGAATCGTGCATCAGACCGATCTGCTACCAGCACTGCAAGAAGCACGCGGTTCGGGGTCGTTCGGGTGCGACAAATGAAGCGCAAGAAGGGTGGAGTTCCTTGAGGCGCTAATGTCGCCTTTCCGGCCCATGAAGATGCGACCCATGAGCTTGCAAAGCTGTCAGTCGAGCTCAAGCCAGAAGACCTCGATATTTGGGTCTTGATGTCCCCAGTCTGCAAACCAGTCCTATCCTCCAAGGTCAGACCGCTTGTGTATCGGCGTCCAGAAGCACGCATCTGTTTGTGCATCCAGACTTGCGCGCCTAAGTTCTTGGTTTCCCTTCGCAGTTACTGGATGCACATTTGATCGCGTGGCTGGCTCAGCTGCCAAGTGCCTTGCTAGGGCTGTTAGGGTCTAGGGGCTTGGTGGTTTTCTTTAGCCTTCTTGCGTCAAAACCTTGAAGAAGCTTGTGATAGCAATTGCTGCAAAGGTCGTGACTTCCTGAAGTCCTAGTGGCCCAATGTGGCCCAATGCGGCCACAGTGCCGCCCTAGCGGCAGATTGTGGCAGATTGTGGCAGATTGTGGCATCTTTCGCTGCTCGAGGCTCCAGTCACAACCACAACACCTGCCCTTGCAGCCTCTGCCATCACTGCAAATTCGTCACAGGACGATGCGGTGCTCAGTGAGACGACGGGCCCCTGGGCGGACCAGCCCTCGTTCGCGGTGCTGACGTCGCGTTTCCGGATGAGCGTGACAAAGGAGGACCGTGCGAAGATCATGATGCCGTCAACGGCAATCCTGCCGTCGAGCATCTCCGCTGTCCATGAAAAGGGCACTTGCGGGTTCTTGGTAAACCCTAAATGGGGGTTTCCGAAAATGGGGGACCCTAGTATAGTACCCTAAATAGTAGGATCCTCATAACAAGGACCCCAAAATAAGGTACCCCTGATTTTCGGAAACTCTAAACCCGAAACCCTTGATAGAACCCCTTATTATACCCTTATAGATCCCTTTAGAGGAACCCTAAGGTACCCCTGATTTTCAGAAACTCCTGAAGTCTTGGTTTTCCGCAAAGGCCCGATTCACATGGACCCGAGACCTCGGGTCTGGGGTTTAGGGTTTTTAGGGTTTAGGGGTTTAGGGGTTTCTGGTTTAGGGGCTTTAGGGGTTTAGGGGTTTAGGGATTAGGGGTTGGGGGGTTTAGGGGTTTAGGGGTTTAAGGGTTTAGGGTTTTAGGGGTTTAGGGGTTTAGGGATTACGGGTTTAGGGTTTAGGGGTGTAGGGTTTTAGGGGTTTAGGGGTTTAGGGGTTCAGGGCTTTAGGGGTTTGGGGTAAAGGGTGGTTATAGGGATTTCTTGGAGAGGCCTTAATAGTTAACTATACGACCTCAGGGGTTTCTGATTATATCTTTCGTATAATGCGCCCCAACACCATAGTCTGATTGTTAAGGCCCCTACATCAGGCAGAGTTTAAAGATTTCGGGGTATCTGGGTTTAACGATTTCGGGGTTTCGGGGTATGTAAGGTTGAAGCATTACGACACAAGTTGGTGTCTTTGAACCCCTCTACATGAGCCTTCTGAAACCCGAACAGCGCTCCGGTTGCGATCCCAAACCTGTCCCGGAGACTCCGCATACAGTAGAAGCCCAAAAGTTGGAAACCCAATAGCCTCAATCCCTAAGAGTAATGTATATGTAATCCCAGCACTATTTGGCCTTAATCCGGTTTCCAACTTTATGGGGTTTACTATATAGTACTACTGCTGATGATATAAACCTGCAGTACCTGAATGGCCTTATACTATATACTATGGGAAGTATGGTACATTCCCTTATTACGGGTAATGCAGGACTTATACCATCAACCGTACTACGAAATAAGGCCCCATAAGACGATCTTTACCGGGCTACGGGGACCAATTCCCTAATGGTAATATACACACACACACACATATATATATATATGTATATATTGTGTTCTAGTTTATTGTATTATATAATCTATTATATTGTATCTTCTTATAATATATATATATATATATATATATGGATGGAGCTTCTAGGTGCTAAACTCGATATAGGATCCCTCACCCCGAGGGCCCCAGAACCACCAAAAGGGGTTTTAGGTACCAAAAGCCATGCAGAGTTTGGAATTGGGACGTACTACCCTACGAAATCCTGATACTTCTGGGACCTTCACAACTACCTATAGTCTCCATTGTAGTTCTTCTTTTTGGTTATCCAGTCTTATGGCTAGGATCAGAGATTTTGGTTAACCAAGAAAGGAAGTACAATGGAGACTATAGGTAGGACGACAGAGACCCCAAAGAGACCCAAGGGCTCTCCGTGAGAAGTTCCGGACCCTCACAAGGAGATACCTGCACCCTTGGGGTGCACTCCCTAGTAGTAGAGTAGGGTTTTTTCTATCCTTTTCTGGGTAGTATAGTCCCTATACAATCCCTATATAAGCAAAAAGGTTAACCTCTAGTTCCCCATGATACTCGACAAGTAGGACTCTAAACCCTCAACTCCTAAACTGCCTAAACCTTGAACCGTCAGCTGCTTAAACTTCTGAGGGAACCCTATTTAGTAACTTAAAATTCCTAAACTCCGAAAGGAACCCTAAGAAGTATCCCTTTTTCGTTACTTTTGCAACGCCAACGCCGCCCAGAGCCGAGAAGACGAGCAAGCCGAGCTGGGCCAGCTGATGGAAGACCCACAGGCGTGCGTTTTTTTTCAAAGGCTTCCTGTAACGCTCCTACTTTAGAAAGGCTCTGTGGTAAGCATTCCTATAAGGATTCCCCTAAGGGTCTAACGTTTAGGGTTTAGGGCCTGCCCCAGAGGTTCCATGTACACTACTATTGTCTGGGCTTGGGAGTACCATTTTTTAATACTTTTTATGAGACCTGTTACTTAAAGGGAACCAAGTATGATAAAGAAAGTCTATAACTTTTTCTTCCTGGGCACTTCAAAGCCCAGTTATGGAAGTAGTAGATCCGTAAAAGCAACATGGGCTGAGAATTGGAAGTCCGCATCACCATGTGTTTTGTTTGGGTATAGGGCCGAGGGTTTCAGCGCGCTATTGCCATTGTTCATTCATGCAACCATAGTACCAACAGCTGATCGCTGAGGCCTTAAACGCGACACCCTATACCCATTTTGGTCAACCACTTCGGGTTTGGGGTTTAGGTCTTTGAGCCCCTGTGCAGATCCAAGGTCACCGAAACAGTTTTCGGGTTATGCAGTTCCCTAAGGCTCCATGTACCCATATAGTAGGTACTTAGGCCTGAAAGGGGTCCCTATATGGGTACTTTAGGGCCTAAGCACCTGCTATATGGGTACATGGAGCCTTTGGGGTTTGGGGTTCAGGGCCAGTTTCGGGTCTAGGGTTCAGGGTTTAGGGGTTCAGGGGTTTTGGGGTCATTCGCACGGTTTCAGCTGAAGCATTTACGACGTTGTGCCTGTAGCCCACAGAAGCTTTGAGAAGGTCTGTCCTGTACGTGTTCTTGGTGGCACCGACAACATCTACGGCAAGGCAAAGAGAGCAGAAGGAGATGAATGCCCGTATAGCTGGGCAGGTTCTTGGAGGGTCGGGGGACTGAGTAAGTAGGTAGGAAGTAGACTTATAAGTACCCGAAAAGGGACCCTAATTGGGGTTATGGTACTTATAAGTCCTTAAAATAACCAGTTACTAAGTCCCCCGACCCTCCAAGTAGTCATACCGAAGGATCATCGGTCTGCACGTCACATGTTCATACGTGCTTCTTTTCTGTCATGTAGGGGACCAAGGTCAGCGACAAACTGCCGTGTAAGCTACTAGCTCAAGACTTTCAGAGGCACTGATAGAGAGAGTGGCATCATGGCACTCAGCTTCCGCAATGCCCCGATTCCCTGATTCGCCATGTCCGGGATACAGGATTCAGGGTTTGAGGTTAAGGTTCGGGGTGTGGGGTTAATGCAAGGGTTTAGGGTCTAGCTTTGAGGTTTCAGGCTCACTGTGTAGGATGCCGGTTGAAACCACGAAGCTCAAACTCACCAAAACAGGGCCGAGACCCTCCTCATAACCGCAGGGGTTGAGGTTTAGGGTGTAGGTACGACAAATTATAAAGTTCACCAAAAAAACAATTGACGATTGGTCTCTTGGCTCCAAAAGCCAATTGACGATTGGTCTCCTAGCTCTAACAACCAATTGACGATTGGTCTCTTGGTTTCCAATTAAACCATTTCACGATTGGTTTCTTGTTGGGTTTGGGTTTTTGCCGCTTTTGAGTTCCTGAACACCGAGCCTTATAAGCCCGGAACCCCTAAACCAAACCATAGGTCTTGTAAACCCAGAACCCTCATCCCCACAATCCCCACGCTCCTGAACTCCAAACCCTAAGCCCAGAACAATGCCCTATGGTGAACCCTAGAAAGCTGGAACGTGGATTTAGGATGATTAGTGCTGGGATTCCCTATACCTTGCCTTAAGGACACGAGGATAATGGTGTTCCAACTTTCTGGCTTCTACGGTAAACACTTAGACGTTCTTGAACCCCTGAACCCAAATTAATTGCAAAGCCCTTAACTCTTGAACCCGTGAACCCCAAAACCCAAAAGCTTAATACCGCCGAAACTACCTAGACCCCCCAGCTACCCTTTAGAGTGGTCCTTATAATGAGCTCTTAATGAGAAATCTTAGAGTTTTAGAGCCCTTTAAAGGGTACTTGAGGGGGTCCTGGCAGAGCTCTAAGCCAACAACTGGCGGAGGTGGCCATCCTGCTTCAAGTGTACCTCAGCCGAAAGTTCATTGAGGCGCAATCTTCCGAAGAGGTTTGGGTTGAAGGTTTTTCGGGGTTAGGGTTTGTGGTTCAAGATTTGGGGTTACCCTAAACCCAAAACCCCAAACTGTAGGCGTTTTGTACTTTGTGGCCTGAAGGGTTTAATTCGGGTTCGGGCTTCGGGAGTTTAGGGTTACGGGTTGAATGTATGTGCCCTTACCTATAGTCTCCTTTGTAATTCAATGTTTTGGTTAACCAAAATCTCTATCATACTTTAAGGATCCTAGCCATAAAACTGGATAACCAAAACAAGGAACTACAATGGAGACTACAGGTAAACCGCAAACCCCAAAACCCCAAAACCAATAATCCTAAATCCCTAATCTTAAACCCTAAACCCCTAAACCCCTAAACTTAAACCCTAAAACCCCGAAACCTCCTAAACTTAAACCTAAAACCCCGAAATCCCTAAACTTAAACCCTAAAACCCCGAAGCCCCCTAAACTTAAACCTAAAACCCCGAAATCCCTAAACTTAAACCCTAAAACCCCGGAACCCCTAAACTTAAACCCTCAAACCCCGAAACCCTTGAACTTAAACCTTAAACCGTGGTGTCTTATTCAGGGCTCCAGGGTCATGGAGCGGCCTCAGTCCTTGCTTCTCCTCAGACCGGAATATACCATCATTCCCATAGTTTAGGGTCATCAAGGCAATGCAGGATTTATATCATCAACAGTTCTACTCAGACCTTTATGCCGCAACTTGCCCATGTCGTTCTGCGGCGAGCAGGAAACGGGAGCCCAAATACAGCCAGAGCTCCACATTTACCTAGGCTAGCGCTGTAGGGTTTGAGGGTTTGGGGTTTCGGGTTTTGTGAATTTCAAGTTGCATGGTTTAGTACAAGTTTCGTGTTTATGCTTGTTTAGCGTGTTCGTTATACGTTCCCGGGACAGCAGAATATGAACTTAGCATCCTGTATTAAGAAACTGTGAGCCAACCAAAGAAGGCACTACCTCCTAGGGTCTTGGTAGAACCAGCTTTTCGGTTTTGGGTCGCGATGTCGATGTTGTGGTGCAGGGCTTAGCATGTTTAGATTTTCCATTCTGGATGTTCGGCTTAATGTTTGAGGATTTAGGTATTGTTTGGGTCCGTCGTTTAGTTTAGGCTTAGATTAGACCCTAGGGTTTTCAGTAGTCCCTATTTATGGCCCTTGGTACCCAACATGGACCCAAGGTCCCATAATAGGGAGTACTTGGACCCTTAAGGAGATGGTTTAACAGGGTTTGATGTTAAGGATTGTCGAGTTAACACGTAGTTTCATCTTAAGACTTTGTCGAACCCAGAGACGCCAACACTTGGTCCAACACCCCTTAAGTAAGGAATACCTGGGGTTCCTTTAAAGGGATCCTTGAGGGTTCCTTCGAGGGATCTATAGGGTTTAGGGTTTAAGGGGACTCCAACACCCCTTAATTGAGGAATCTACGGGAAACTATACGACGATCCCTACTAGGATTGGAGTCTCTAAAGACTTCGGCGCCAGGAACATGCGGGCAGGATGTTAATGTCAGGATCCCGCTCTGCTCATGCAACTTAGTGTTTAATTCGTTCACCATTTGCTCAAACTCCTACTCCAGCTACGTCGGGCTTAGGATGCAGTTGTCAGTGTTTAATGCTTCTTCCAAGGATCAACAAACCCTATAAACTCTACAGCCGGTGGTTCCCTCGGACTACTCGGCCTCTGATGTCCTCACCTCGGAGCCTGCGAACATTGGCAAAGCCCCCGAAGTCCCAAACCCAAATCCTCACGATGGTGTGCAACTTGGAGTTCTTGTTGATGCATGAACTTGTGTTGTGGGGTGGCCGTCAAGGAACAACTCGGAATCCTTCGACTAACCCTGAAACCCGTGGAAGACCCTCGCAATCCAGTCATCACGCCAAAACCTAAATCCAAACAACTCCAGCCACCGGCTAAATCATGTCCCCCCTAAACCCCTCAACCCTAAACCCCAAACCGTGGGTTTAGGTTCGGGTTTAGGGCTTTAGCTTGATGAGCATCCTGAACCCTGAACTCCTGAACATCCCTGAACCCCTAAACCCTGGGCTTTGGAGTACCATACTTTAATACTTTTTTGGGGGACCTTGTACTTAAAGGGAGCCAATTATTAAAGAACAGTGTATACTTTTTTCCCCTGGTTACTTCAAAGTGCAGAACCTCTATAAGCCCTAAGCCTTCAGGGCTTTAGCTTGGTGAGCGACTGCAACTACGTGCTGCAGAACGCCTCGCGGTGGAGCCGGCTGCTTCGTGGCTCTTTCGTGAATGCTTGCATAGGGGGTTTTCTGCCCAAATCATAGGAGTGATTCCTGATATAGAATCCCGACATTCCACTATGTATAGGTAATTTGCGCTCTTTGGGTAATTAAGCGAGAGCAAAGGACGGAATACATAGGGACTACTACAGAGGAGTATTTGGGGACTACTTGTGGGATCTACTCTCCCAGTCCCTCTTAAGCACCAGTTGGGTTGAAGGGCTCTGAGGGCGAGGGTGTGGTGCAGGGAAGTTATGGCGTTGCTAAGTTGAGGCAGGATCCCTCGATGTTTGTAGAAGGTTGATGGGGCGCCGGCTCTATGGGGTGGGGTTTTAGTTGAGATTGGTGCTTTTCGAGGTTTAAGGTTCGGTGTCCAGGGGTTGTGGGCGTAGTTGTGTAGGTTTCGTGCCCAAGCTTCGTGAGAGGTACCTCAATAGACGCGGCGAGAGCTGCAGCACAGGTCCAAGAACTAGTGGCAGAGGCCAGGGCTGATGCTGCCGGCACTACTACGCCCCCCCGCGACAAGCGGACGGACAGCAGCGTGTAGCCGGCCAATCCAGCATCGACGATGGCCGACACTCCATCCCAGTGCAGTCCCGTGCCACAGCGTTCCTTTGCGCGGTTCGGCAGTTGTGATGTGGACAGACCCCAATACCAAAGTGGGCTGGGTTTCCGTTCTGTTCCAGCGAAGATGTTGTCTCACAAGGACGTCATTTCCAACCAGGATAAGACTGCTTTTGGATGGTATGTCGTGGCGGCCAATCTGCTTTATTTTGGCCAAGGACGTGTATCCGGCAGAGCTAATGGTCTCCAACATGGGCTGAGCAGTCATTGATGGTCGTAGCAGCAATTAGTCGTCATCGTCATAGGGTCATCGTAGTTGCAGTTGGAGTCACAGTGCAGTAGCAGTAGTGGTCCGAGAAAAGCATGGCGTCATCATTCTTTGAACTGCGTGGAGCTTTTGGCCCAGGCTCTTTCTGAAAATCAGGCGCTGATGCGACCGAATATCCGTGCAATCACCCACGAGCTGCAAACCCCGAACCGTACTAGCGTCCAGCCTAGAATCTAGCTTACTTAGTTCTCCATGAAAGTTGAAGGTGTCCGCTCATGCGCCAGGCTCTTCCGTGCCCTGTTCGAGATCACAATGCAACTTGGCAGCCAGGGCGCAGAACATCAGTGGCTCCGAAATCACTTGCCTTCAAGGGTTCATGTACCTGTAGAGCATATACCTAGGCCCCGAAGACCCTAAAGTGTTGGAACCCGTTTTTCACCTTTTAGGGCTCAGGGCCTTAAAGCTCAGGAAAGGGCCCCAAACCATAAGCAAGGATTCCAACACCATAAGAAGAGCTCTCAGGCGTTGTTTTCAAGGGGTTGTTTGGACTTTCGGAGCCCTGAAGCCTCAACCCTACACCAAGCCCTAAAACCTAAAGCCCAGATCCCCTAAACTCCCTATAGAGCCCTTATAGATCCCTTTTAAAGGAACCCTTATGGATCCTTTACAGGACCATCAACGCGTTCAGAAGCCTAAAGCCTCTTCATGCCGACTGTGAACGAGATGTACTTGGAGGATCATGGGACTTAGTAAGTAAGGTTATAAGTACCTTAAGTCGGGTTATAAGTATAGTTCTCCTAATTATTGCCCCAGTTACTAAGTCCCATGATCCTTTAAGTAGCCGAGGACTCGTGTGACCAACATGAGCGAGATGAGCGACCGACTGTTGGAGTGGTGCTGAGAGCTTAGCTTTGCTCTAAGGGTCCATGTACCCAAGGAGGGTTCCTTTAAGGGCTTCTTCAAGGGTCCGATTAGGGGTTTAGGGTATAGCTGAGAGCTTGGCTTTGCCCTAGGGTTTGGGTTCAGGTTTTTGGGTTTAGGTTTAGTTTTTGGGGTTTAGGTTTAGGTTTTAGGGTTTATATGTTTAGGTTTTAGGGTTTAGGGTTTGGGGAAAAAGGTCCACGTACCCAAATAGTATATACTTTGGCCTTACAGTACATAGGTACATCGGGCCCAAAGCATATACTTTTTAGGTACATGGGCCCGTTGCTTTACCCTCTTGCACTCCCTTGTGCATCCTGAATTGTGTCCGCTAGAAAAGTTACAGGGATTTGTGAACTGAATTCGGACACTTTCGGGCACTGGGTTTAGGGCTTTATAAAGCCTTTTAAGTTTAAGGCTACTTATTTCTTCTGGCATTCTCCCATACCTTCAAGGGCAGTACCTTTTGTACTAGTTTGCTTAACTTCCTGTCTTACTACGATCTCTTGACCGCGAAACCCCAGGGTACAAAATTCAGCCAATAAGCAGTTGCTTGGGTCGGAAAGTAGTTTTGGTTTGTCATTCATTTACAGGGTCTATGCTGATCTAGTCAGGAACTTCGGACCCTTCGGGAACTGAAAGCCTGCAAACTGGCTTTGCTGAGCTCTTTAATACCAGAAGCCTTGACTAAGCTTACATCTGGAGAACCAAAATACTTTGCAAAAACACTCTGGGAAACCCGACTAGCTAAGGGCCTGGATATCACCTACAAACACCTGACCTATAGTACCTATTGTGGACACTGAACTCGGTCATGTTGGGACTACCTATAGTTCCCAAGTGGTGGTGTCCCACCGGCCTGGTCCTTTCCGGCATTTTGCCGAAGGGCAGGCCACCATGGCTGCTGCCAACCGGAGGGCAAAGACCAAGGCCAATGGCCGCACGACCGCTGCGCTTGAAGGAAGAAAGTTCATGTCATGGCTCAAGTTTCGGCTCGAACCCTGGGTTACAGGTGGGAAGCCTACTCGTAGCCGGCACGAGTTTCTTTGAAACTGTTTAGCCTGGGGGCCCGAACGGTTTCTTTGTGGAAGAGGCTCGGGACACTTAATCCCAGCTTGTCCGTAGAAAGCATGTGGAAATGGGCGATCAGCCGGAGAACCCTGTCCTCCAGGAGGTGTTCAACAAGTGGAGAGCTGAAAAGGAGGCACTGGCAAATCCCAAGCCTTCAAGGCCGATGCCCGTCATGTAGGGTTTCTATGTTAGGAGTCACTGTAATGATTTGGGAAGTATCCACCATATGGGCTAGGTTGCTGAGTAGTACCCTTCTTTTTGTTTCAGGGTCCCCTTATTAGGACCTGAAGTTGAGCCAGAGTCTCCATTGCCGTTCTTTTTTTGGTTCCTCTAAGGCTCCATGTACCCATATAGTAGGTACTTAGGCCTGAAGGGGGTCCCTATATAGGTATTTTAAGGCCTAAGTATACACTATAAAGGTACATGGAGCCTCAGGGTTAACCAACTATACTTGGAATCCGATAATAGAGAACTTGGTTAACGAAAAAAGGAACTACAACGGAGACTAGAGGTATGCCCTAAAACCCGAAACCCGAAGCCTGTAAACCCCTAAACCCTTACCCTAAACCCTAAACTCTAAACCCTAAACTCTAAACCCTAGACTCTAAACCCCAAACCCTATAGACCCTAGAATCTAAACACTCCTTAAAGGTAGAGTACCCGAGCCTCGGTTCGCGTACCAGGTCTGAGTGGAAGCTCAGGGGGTCGCTAAGTTATGGCAAAGTCACAAGATGTAAATATTATTAGAATCCGTTTCATACATATATATATATATATGTTATGTATTCAATTGCTCCTATTTTATCCTATATACCGTCGTAAACCCTAGCCCTCGGCCCTGAAACCGTACAATTCTGAAGCCCCTAAACCCTAAACCCTCTACGCCCATACTATGCATCCTTACATTGCGCTTATACCTTCAACCCAAATTTCAGGGTTCCTGTCGACCTTAAACACATAAAGTATGCTTTCAACCCTTAACCCTAAACGCAACACACTCTCAACCCCAAATGTCGTCCTTACGGCAGAAGCTGCGCTGAGGCAAGATGATCGACCAGCGCCTTTGGCAAAGCGATTCCCTGAGAGGGACGGTGGGAATGGGCACTCCGAATCCCAATCGGTGTTTGGGATCTTTAGGGTTTTGGGGCTCAGGGTTTAGGGTTCAGGGTTTTCAGGTTATTTTCGAGTTTTGAGTTCAGGGGCGTGGGGTTACGGGCTTGGGTTCCTGAATGGGCACGCTGCTGGGGCTGGCCCCACTCTCCTTTTTCCCAGGATGGAGACGATACCCATTTTGGTGGTTCCTGATTTTAAGTATAGTAGAATGGGCCCCAAAGCCCTATTCAAATCTAATTCCTTATAAGGAACCTACATTAACCCATCTTACCAGCATTTGCGGACAGCAGCTGCTACATCAAGAAACATCGAATACATCGCTGGAGCCCAAAGCTCTATCCCTCATTGTCCAAGTGCCGATATGGAGTATACAGTGGCTCCATACTAACTCAATAGGAGTCGTGGAATGATGCCATCACGGCATTTGGCTCAGCTTTGGACAGTTGGTGCGACCTGTAGGAATGCGATTCAGGGAATGCCGAGAATAGGTTCCTGAGTAGTACCCATTTCCCCTTTTTTGCTTTAGGTTATCCTTCTTATAAGTTAAGGCACTGTTCAGGAACCTAGAGAGAAATTACCTGTCCCCCCAAACCCTACAAAATAGTAGGGTGCGACCCCTTAGTATAATTAGATGGTATAATCCTTAAAACAGTAGGTTTTTGGATCCCAGGTAACAACAACAGTCACAAGGTATTTGAGAGTTACAGGAACTTCCAAGTTGAATCTATCATAGCAAAAAACTTGTTGGAACCCCGACGCATCTTAAAACATACCAACACCAAACTCGTCCGAAGCCCTGACCTAAGCATTCCGAGGTCGAATGATTTAGAGGCTTAAACAATTAGCAACATCATTGTTTGGAGGGGGTCCTTTTCATAGTTATCGTTTTGCATAGTCTCCCCCCAAAAGAAAATCCCACTGTAAGTATATTCAGCCCCCTGTACTATTCTCCCTTACAGAAACCGAGTCTAATTATTAAGCCACCTTTTTTATAGCACCCTTTACAGATCCCTCATACAAACCCTTATAGACTGTTTTAAAGGGAATCCCAGTCGAATTCTTCAGGCCCCTCCATTACACCCTCAAGCTCGAAGCGAGACCACTTAGGGGTACTTGGAAATAATTCTTAATTTTTGGTTATTGTAATCCCCAAGCGAAACAGCTAAAATTGTAATTTTTGCTAGGGTTCTAAGTTCAGTATAGACCTGAGGCCAACACGTGCTGCGACACTTCTGCTACCCTCCGGGCAGTGCTGCGAGCAACAAGGCTGGCAGTTCAGGGTTTTTTGGGGGACTTTAAGGGGGAACTATAATGGTTCCTTTCACAGGTACAATAGACGGGTTTAGGCATACATTTTGAGATAGTTGCTTGAACAAACACCGGTATTATTCCTTAGTGTTCCTTGCTGTCCCGAAATCCTCCAGCCCCAAAAGACCTAAGCGCAAACCCACAACTCGAGACCGTAAACCATGAAGCTCTACAGCCTAAGCCCCAAGATCCATTTTCAATTCGTCTCGCAACAACTTCATAATTCAGCATACAAGACCCTCTCAACCCCGAAGAAGCTCCGTAAAACTATAAAAAGGTTGCTATAAGACCCTTACACCCCAACCAGTGGAAAAAAACCTTGGAAAATGCCCTCGAGCCTCATAATGCCATCAAGAATCCTAAACCCAATCCCAAGCTTCAACCCTACCATCCCCCAATGGCCCTTTAATGGAGCCCTTATGGTCCTTAATAGAAGGTATTTGGGGTAAAGTAGAGGGTAGTTGGGTTGGGGTGTCTAGGTAGAACCCATAAATTCACCCCCATAAAATCTAAACCCTATACCCTAAACCCTGAAACCCCAAAGCATTTGCTGCTGCCAGGGTGGCAAGTCCTTAGACGAAGGGCCGAAGGGAGGCGTCCTGAAAGAGCAGATCGTGAAAAAGCTCGAGGCTCTCGGCTGCCTCTGTTAAAGGTGCTCTTTTAAGGGCTAGGGTCTAGAGTTATCGGGTTCTAAGGTTACAGGGTTATCGGGTTATAGGGCTATAGGCTATAGGGTTATAGGGTTTAGAGTTGAGGGCTATCGGGTTATGAGTTATGAAGGTTTAGCGTTTAGGGTTGAGTGCTACAAGGGTTGCTACTACATGGGCTACTACTATGCGTGCTACAAGGAATTACAGGGTTACTATAAGGTCTACTAGAGGGACGATTGTAAGAATTTCTACAGAAGAAGCGCTTCGAGGAACCGTTGAAGGACACCATGGGTTCGAAGATGGGGCCCCCCTTAAAGTATAGGTGTCTACAATGGTGTTCCCCTTCGGAGTTCCTCTCAGGTATCCTTGAAGGTACAGGTTTCCATTGAGCTTCCACAAAAGCGCCTCCTTCAAGGTTTCCTTTCCTGACAACTCCAGGTCTACAAGCAAGACCTGCTTTGGGGACACCCAGAGATCCCAATACCCTTTAATTAAGGAATATACCTTAAACTAGAATATATTAAGAGCCCTATAAGTTAAGGTATATTTCCTTAATTAACGGAAATTGGGATCTCTGAGCATGTCGACAAGGTGTACCCATTTGGAGGTTATTTGGAGTTGCAGGTTTGAAGGGGTCCGCTTAAGGGCTCCAAAGAAGGATTCTGGGTGTTCATGTTGGGTGTGGGAATCTCACTTATACCCAAACCCTAAACCGCCCTAAACCCTAAACCGCCCTAAACCCTAAACCGTGCTAAGAGCCGCATCGGGGTGGCCAGTGGTGGGCAGTTTGTCTGTGTGGACATGGCAGTTTTTTCTAGCATGCCGGAACAAAGGCGTCCCGCCCCGTTCTTAATCGAAGATTAAGGGCTTTAAGCGTTCTTAATCGAAGATTAAGGGCTTTAAGAGCGAGTCGGGGTTTTTTACACGGTCTTCACACGGATGCTATGCAGGGGTTTATAGGGTCTAAGAGTTTGAAGTTTCGGGTTGGAGGTTTGTTACTTCGATTTGGTTCCATGATTTTACAGCGTTGTAACGGTTCTTGTCACGGTTGCATGGGTGCTCCTAAACCGAAACCCAAAACCTTAAAACCTAAACCCTTACCCAAAGCCTCCTGGACCCTCGTGGTGAGATCCCAAACCTTAGCCCCAAAGCCAAACTCTTCGCCCAGAAAGCCCATGAGCCCTTTGGGAGCCTTAGGGTAAACCCTATGCAACTACTATACCCATAGGCTCCACGCTTCTACGCCGGCTGGGGAAGGCTCATCTACTTTGCCCCCCAATCAACGCTGGGTGACCAGCGACTGGGGCGATAGGCAGCTTGTCCAGAGGTAGGCGGTCTATTGGTGCCTCATGCCGTGTGGCTTGTGCAATGGTGGTGGTACATGCGGAGCTACGGCGCAGGAACTTTGGTGTGTCCTCTGAAGGTGTCTTTCTTCATGGTCTGGCTAACACGACCATGAACGAGTCAGTCCTGTTGAGCCAGAGGGGCGTGTCTGTATCGAACCCCATCTGCAGCAGTTGTTTGTGGCTCTTCAGCTGGGATTGCTTGTAGGATTCTCAATATGAACCCCAAAAAGAAACTACTATGAAACCCTAAACCCTAAACCCCATGAGCCCCAAAAAGAAACTACTATGGAGCCTTCGGGTAAGCCCTAATTGAGGTTTCTGCTGGGGTAGATTTTGTGGGTTGGGGATCAAGGCTCATGGCTTTCCCTCTCCAACCCCAAGGGTCCAAAGGACCCAATAATTAGGTACTCGGTTTTAGGATAGTAGTTATTTAGGTTAGGATTTTGGAGAGTATATGATTATCAGGTACTTGGACCCTTGGGGCAAGGAACAATGGACTTTAGGGCTTTAGGGGCTTATAGGGGTTTATAGGGTTTAGGGGTTTACAGTGTTTAGGGGTTTATAGGGTTTAGGGGTTTAGGGGTTTAGGGTTTAGGGTTTATAAGATTTAGACAATGGAGCGTCAGAAGATTTACCCAAAGCTTCCAGGGCTCGTATTATTGGGTCCATAAGGGGTCTAGGGTCCTAACTACACAGTCCTTGCAAACATTGGGCTTGAGCTGCGATGCAAGTCCCTGAATGGTAGGCTCCGCAGCACAAAGACGCCTCAGAAAGGACCCGGACTGTTATCCTCACTGTAGTTGCATGGAATAACTCGATCCCGCCTATGTCTGATGCTCGAACCCTCAGTCGTGATCACCCAAAGTTCCCCCCGAAACCCTAAAGCCTTAAACCCCTAAGCCTTGAACCCCCTCATCCTAAACCCCAACCCCCGTAAGCCCAAACCCCAGCCGAGACAGGATGCCAACTTCGATTACTGGACCTGCATCAACATGACGGTGCGGCTCCCTACTGTTTTAGGATTTATGTTTAGGGTTTAGGCTTTGGGATTTAGGGGTTAGTGTGTAGGATTTAGGATGGTCTAGGGTTGAACCATCATATGAACCCTAATTATGTGGTATATGACCTTGAACCCTTGCAGGGCTCAGTTCGTCCTTGAGCGAGGGTTTCGGAATACTACCCACTGCGGTGTGATTGAACCTGTAGCGCCAAAGCCGGCAAGGACTCCTTAGTTTATCATAGGGATAGCCAACCGAGACTGTCAGACCCTGTCCTTAAGGACCACATGACTTGCAAGTCGCGAGCCTGTACCCCTATACTATGAAGCCCTATATGGCCCTATATGGTATATGAAGCTTAAACCTTTATTAGGGTTCATTCCGTCTTTGTGGTCTTGGGCTGTGTGCAAGTGTGATCCTCACTGACGCCAGCATGCTGGTTTCGAACTTATGCCTGTGGATTCTGGAATGTAGCCAGGGAGTCCATAGTCACTCGGCTCTCTTTCAATCCTTATAAAACCATTCTGAACATTTGTTGAAGAAAGCCATATATAAGAGCATTATAAAGCCCGGTGAGAAGCCGCAATAGAATCTCTCTGGCAGTGTCAAAGGTTCAGATCGACATGCAGGCTTGTAGACAGCCCAGAACCAAACGAGTCCTAACCCAAACCACGAAGCCGTGCAGCCACGAAGCTCCTCAAAGCCTTCAATCCTTCAAGGAAAAATTCCTACACAATCCTTCTGACACCCCTGCACAACCCATGAACGCCTGTGTAAAGCTTCGGCCAAACTTCAGAATCCTTGTGATTCTGTTAGCAGCCCATGCAAGCCTATACAAGCTTATACAAGGCTTGTGCTAAGCTCTGCGCAGACCCAAACCCTAGACCCTCAAACACAAAGACCAATACGGTTGATGATATAAATCCTGCATGACCCTTATTAAGGAATATACCATAATTTCCACATATTCCTTACTATGGGTAATGCAGGATTTATCTCATCAACCGTAGTAGTTGTATGCTGGGCCTGATTTCCAGCTATGGGCTTTCAATCGGACGGATATGGCAGCGGCAGGGGGCAGGGGTAGAGGAAGCCCTAAACCCTCAAACCTAAACCCTACACCCTAAAGCCTAAACCCTACCCTTAGCCTCCTGGACCCTCGTAGTGAGATCCCAACCCCCCCCCCCCAGAAAGCCCATGACCCCTTTGGGAGCCGTGGGGTAACCCTGTCCAACTACTATACCCATAGGCTCCATAGTAGTTCCTTTGTGGGATTACCTTGTAGGATTCTGAATATGAGCCCCAAAATGAAACTACTACCCAGACCCCCGGGAGGATCCAAAAAGTAGATCCCTTAATGGGGGTTCTTTTAAAGTACCCTTAGCAGTGTAGGGCCCCGAATTAGGGGATCTACTTTCTAGATACTCCCCGGGGTCTGGGTAGAGACGCCAAAGATCCCTGAGTTTAAGGAATACACCTGACCTAGGGTTCCTTTACAAGGATCCCCTGAGGGCTCCTTATAGGGTTTACGCTTTTGGAAGGTCTGGGTGGAGCCTCTTGGTAAGCCCTAAAACCCCAAGCCCGATATAAATCCGACTCGAAGCCTAAACCCTAAACCCTAAACCGAAGGTTTCAGAGCTGACCAACATCTCCGGCAGCAGGGACTGGGGCAAGGCGATTGACAAGTACATGAAGTGGGAGCCTTAAGCCCGGGTTAAGGGCCTTTAGGGTTTAGGGTTTTAGGGTCTCAGGGTTTTGTCGTTTAGGTAGATGAAGTGTGAGCCCTAACATGCGATGCTCCGGATATATATATATATATATATATATATACATACATATACATATGTATACATATGTATGCTTACATTCGCTCATGTACATATATAGCAAAGTGCACATATTTGTACATACCTAGAGTAATCGATTTACTTCAAAAGAGGGGGTATGACGCTTGAAGGAATAGTTTGTATATCAACCTGTCTACAAGTACCCTGGATACTTCAGGTATGTGTATACGAAGAGGGAGCCATGTCCTGTGTCCGGCAAAACACGGTTCTTGAAGAGGCTTTCGTAAGTTATCTGATGAACCCAGACTGCTCAGCCCCGGTATGTTGTGGGATGTGTCTCTAATTCTCAACCCTAAAGTTACAAGCCCTAGACACCAAATGCTATTTCGAACCCTGAAGCCTGCGCCTTACACTTTTTGCTAATCTCCAAACCCTGTGAACTCTGAACCACGAGACCTACTGACATGAGCCACTGTACCCCCATTAGCTTTCCAATCATCAGGAATCAGGAACTGGTCCAGGTAGCGCTACACTGGTGTTTGGGGTGTCTAAGCTCGAGTGTTCTGAGGTTGGGCTGTTGTTCTTGTTTGTAACAGCATGAAAAAGGAGGTCTCACTGTCAAGTACCTACAGCAACTCCTCCACCGCAAGCAGCCCAAAATGGGACTTATTCACGTTGTCAGGTTGTTTGTGTATATTCAGCCCATCAGACGCTTGTAAAGAGTATCTTGATCTTCAGGCCCGTAAAGAGGGCCTTTAAGGGGTTCTAGCCTGCAAAACCCATACCAAACCCCTAAACCCTAAGCCATAAACCCTAAAACCCGTAGAGTCCTAGAGTAGCTCAGGAACAACCTTTCTAGAACCGTATGCTCAGGGCCCTCAAGGAACTCTGTGAAGGGTTTTCAAACGGGGTTTTGGGTGTTGGGTTGAGAGGTTTAAGGGTTGAGGGGTCCAGAGTTTGGTTAAGGCTTCAGGGGTTTAGGGGGGGGTTTAGAGTTTGGGGTTCAGGGTCCAGGTTTGGGGTTTTCTGTTTGCACGCAGATGACCCCAGAGACTCCGATATCTCTTAAGTACGGAATAGTCCTTAAATCATGTTAAGGATCCCATTTTGATTTAAGGTATATTCCTTAATTAAGGGATATTATAGTCTCTGGTACCCTGAACTATAAACCCTATAGATCCCTTAAAGGAACCCTCAAGGGATCCCTTTAAAGGAAACCTAGGTCTATTCCTTAAACTAAGGGGTTTGGAGTCTCTGTCCAAGGCGCGTGCCGAATTTGGTTCTGGATGCCAAGATCCAGCCCATCACATCGACGATCATGAGGCCAAACAAGGGTTTAGGTTTATGGTCTCCAAGTAATATCTTTACCCTAATGCTCCTGGACCCTCGAGGTGAGATCCCAAACCTTAGCCCCCAAAGCCCAAACCCTTCCCCCAGAAAGCCCATGACCCCTTTCGGAGCCTTCGGGTACTTGGAGGGTCGGGAGACTTAGAAACTGGTTATTTTAAGGACTTATAAGTACCATAACCCCAATTAGGGTCCCTTTTAGGGTACTTATAAGTCTACTTGCTCCCTACTTACTAAGTCCCCCGACCCTCCAAGTAGGGCTTTGAAAGGGTCTAGGATTTTGGCGTCCTAGGATCCTGGTGGGTTTCGAAAGCTTCGAACTGGGGCTTTTGGGGCTTTAGAGACTTTAGGGGCTCAGGGCTTTAGGGCTTTAGGGTTTAGGGCTTTAGGCTTTAGGGTTTAGGGTTTAGGGTTTAGGGTTTAGGGTTTAGGGGTTTAGGGTTTAGGGCTTTAAGGCTTTACCTGTAGTAAAAGTAGTATTTTTTTTGTGATCCAGCTTTATGGTTAGGATCCTATAATAGAGATTTTGGTTAAACAAAAAAAGGAACTACAATGGAGACTATAGGTAGGTCTATGGTCTAGGGTTTACGGGCTTAGGGTTTATAGGGATTTAGGGTTTTCAGGGGTTTAGGGTTTAGGAGGGTTTTGGAGGCTTTAGGCCAACAGGCATTTTCCCAAAACTAGGGGTACCTTGGGGTTCCTTTAAAGGGCCACTACAAGGGTACTGTAAGGGTTCCTTTAAAGGGCTCTTGAGGTCAACTGAGAGATGGGTTTAAAAAGTAGTTCCCCAATACCCAACCTTTAACCTCTTTGGCCTCTTGTAGTTTAGTAGTAACAGGAAAGTTTGACCTTCATTTCTGTGGTTTTTTGGAGTTGCAAGTTAAAGTAGAAGCCAGAAAGTTGGAGCATTATAATCCTCATGCCTCAAAGGTAAAGTAGATTGAATCCTCGCATTAATGATCCTAAATCCATGTTCCAACTTTCTGGGGTTCGCCATAGTGCTTAGGCTTTCCGGGTTCTTTTGGACTTGACAGGGCGCCCTTACACATTCTACCTATAGTCTCCATTGTAGTTCTTTTTTTTGGTTAACCAAAAATTCTATTATAGGATCCTAACCATAATATTGGTTAACCAAAAAAGGAACTACAATGGAGACTATAGACTTTATAGACCCTACACCCTACACCCCATAGAACCCTTTAAAGGAACCCTTATAGATCCCTTTAAAGGAACTATGGGTAGATTAGATGGTCTCCTGGGTTTAGGGTTCCGTACAGGGCTCCTCCTGGGGTTCTACTAGGACTTGCTGCGCATTTGAACCTTAACGTGTTGGGTGTTCTTAGGACTCGTATTGTAGGGCCGCAATGTTAAACCAAGTACCATGCTGTGAAAACATGTAACATGATAAACTGTGTGTGTGTGTGTACATACACAGGTATTTTTGCATGTACACATAGACTGATTTTGTTCTTGTATTACTCCTACTGATTATTTTTCTATGGCAGGGGAGGCGACTGCAGGAATCATGGTTGATGATATAAATCTTGCATTACCCACAACCAGGAACATACCATAATTCCCATAGTTTAGGGTCCTTAAGGTAATGCAGGGTTTATACGATCAACAGTAAGATTTAGATTCTTGTGTTACCGGGCCTGTAAGGTTTGACGCTTGGGCAACTCGGAGCAGTGCTGTTGTGAATCGCTATTCCCCACTTTTGACGGTATTTGAAGTAACACGGCATTGAGTCGATCTTCAGACGGCGGCGTTAACAAAAGGAGTCGTAGGGGTGGGGTGTAGAGTTGTGCCTTATTCCGGATATTTCGATTATGCCTGACCCTTTAACCCCAAACCCTTAAACCCTCAACCCCGAAACCCTAAACCCCTATAAACCCTAAACCCTAAATCCTTTAAACCCCACAAATCCTATAAACCCTAAACCCTAAACCCTGAAACCCTGCGTTATAGGCTTTTGCCTTCCAAGAGGGTTCCTGTCCTAACCTAGAGGGTCCATATACACTACTATTTTGGAATTAGGTCCCCAAAACCATAATGGGGATGGTCTTTCAGGGCCTAATTCCATAATAGTAGTGTGTATGGACCCTCTGGGTAATGCAGCAGCTCTCAGGCCCAAGGTGTACAAAATCCAGGTACATGACCCTAAGGGTCCATGTACCCAAAGAGGGATCCTTTAGGGGTTCCTTTAAAGGTTCCTATAAGGGTTTACTACAAAGGTTCTATAGGGTCTAGGGCTTAAGGGTCCATGTACCCAACTAGTATATACTTTGGGCCCAATGTACCTATATAGAGAGTACTTCAAGGCCAATGTATATGCTATACCCTTAGGGTGAGCCTTCAAAGCCGGGGCGCAGGGGGTTTGGGTTTAGGGTTTTTGGGTTTTAGGGTTTAGGGTTTGGGGTATAGGGTTTAGCCGTTTAGCGGCTTCCCTGAAAAGGGGATCTTCTTTTTGTTGCTTTTATGTTTTGGGGCATGTTTTTAGGTTACTTAGGGGTTCTATATGGGTTTTAGAGGTTCTTAGGGGATCATGGGATTTAAGTTTAGTAATTACGGTTAGAAAAAAGGTCGCTGTATATGTAAGTATTTATAACCCCAAGTAAGGTCCTTTATAACCTTGCTTCCCGAAAGCTTTTGCATTGGGGTCAAGGATTTAGGGATTCAGGCTGCGTAAGATTCGTAGACCCCCAAAGTTGCGAAATCCTTTCAAAATGCTTCAAAGTCTGGATCATCTGAACAACCCCAAATCCCAAGCCCGAACCCGCCAAGGTACTAAGGTACCCCTCATAGACCTCCAAAAGAACCTGCAAACGGCACCCTGTTTGAGTATTACCCTGAGAAGCCCCAAACCCGAAGAGAAAACGCTCCAAAGTCCGGGTCATCTGGACAGGATCACGCTGACCATCAAACCGAGCTTCGACTGGAGTGATCGCTGGTCTGGGCAATGACCCCAGACGGTGCCCTTGGGATTGACGGCTTAGGATGTACAAGTTCGTGGGCACCATACCATACTACAGCATAGTACACATAGCGGTTCGACTATTTGGTGACGCATATAATATAGGCCCCACGAAACCCAGACCATCCCCAATAAACCCGTGTGAAACCCTGAGATAAAGCCCGTAGAGCCAATAACGGCGAACGGGAATTGGGAAGAACTTACCTAGAGGGTCCATATACACTACTATTCTGGAATTAGGTCCCCAAAACCATAATGGGGATGGTCTTTCAGGGCCTAATTCCATAATAGTAGTGTGTATGGACCCTCTGGGTTATGTCTCACAGAGTTACTGCTGTTCTGAGTGTCGGATGACTCAAATCCTAAAGTCCCAAAGCAAGGTTCCTTAACGGGTTCTTCCAGGGGCTCCTTTGGTGACCACTATCCCCAGAATTCCAAGTGCCTAGAAATCATATACCCTCCTAAATAGTAAACTACATAACTCCCATCCGACCTAAGTGCCTGATTGTTGGGTTCTTTGGGCCCTTAGGGCATGAGCTTCCCCTAAACCCCAAACCCTCAACGCTAAACCTTGCTTATCGCCCTCGGAAGCCCTCATGTATTGCCGTAGGGGCCGCAAGAATTAGAGTTACGGTTGATGATAGAAATCCTGCATTACCCATAATATGGAATATACCCAAAATCATAATGCAGGGTTCTAACATCAACCGTAGTAGCTGCGTAGGTAACCTTCAACTGTTTGGGGTTTATACCCTCTTACCAGGATTCAATAAAGTTTACCATTTTCTGGGCTAGCGTACTCAGTGACTCAGCCCCTGAGAAGTAGACTGGGGTGGCATGTTGTACTCTGACTCCTCGCAGACTACGAGGGGATGCTATCACCCCCCACACACCCTATACACTCCAAAGTTCAGCTTTTGCTTCTTACCATAAGGCCCTCGCAACTCATGGTTTAAGGCTTTTGGGTTTCAACACCATGCTACATAAGGCATGTAGGTGTGCTTTCACCTCAAGGCTAATCGCCGCGCTCATTACGAGTTTGAAGCATATTGCTCACTTATAGACAACAACTCCCGACTGGGGATTCTTGAGACTCTGGATATTCGTGGCGATTTCAGCGCAATTGCTCTATGACACGGCTGTGGTTCATCATTACCTGGGCTTTAATGGCTTTCTTGGAAGGGCAGGGGACTTAGTAGGTAGGTTATAAGTAGGGTTATAGTTGGGGTAACTCCATTTAGGGTACTTATAACTCTACTTCTAACCTACTTACTAAGTCCCCTGCCCTTCCAACTTCTCCTGCAAGGCCACTCATTGCCCAGCAGCTTTATAATATAAAGTAAAAGCCAGAAAGTTGGAATATGATTATCCTAACCCCTTTATGGCAAATTATAGGGGATCCTACCATGAACCCATATTCCAACTTTCTGGAGTTCCCTTTAATATATTGAGTTTGGGGGGGTCACGGGGCCGCCTTGGACACGTAGGGTCTTTTGTTGCGGCTTGTTGAGGTACGGTTTAGGGTTTAGGGTTTAGGGTTTAGGGTTTAGGGTTTAGGGTTTAGGGGAGGTCTTGACTAGCTAGGGTCTGCGAGCGACCGGCATTTTGTGGCTGAAAATCCGGAAAAGTAGACAAGCCCGCAGATAGCACACAACAAACACAACAAAGAGGAGATACGCAAAGCATCAAAATGCCTTAAATCCTCTAGCCTAAAGCGACAAAGACGACGAAAGAGCCCCGACCCCTAAACCGAATCCCTCAATCCCTAAACCTCTGAATCCTAATCTTTTAACCTCTAAACTCTTATAGTAACCTTCAAAGGAGCCCCTTTCGAGGAACCCCTATAAACCCCAGGAGAGAAAGAGCGATACGGTTGAGGAAATAAATCCTGCATTACCCATCATAAGGAATATACCATAATTCCCATAGTTCAGGGTCCTAGAAGGTAATGCAGGATTTTTATATCAGCACTCAACCCTAAAATTTTTCTAGATCCTTCTAAAAGAACCCCTACCTAGACCCCCCAACTACCCCGATATTGTACCCCAAATACCCACTATTCAGGACCATAGCACCTCCATTAAAGGGCCATTGGGGGGGGGGGTCCTAGACTCTCAAACCCTAAACCTGAAAACCCTTAAAGGACCCTAAACCCTGAATCCCTCTATAGATCCTTTTAAAGGACCCTAAACCCTAAACCCTGAATCCCTATATGGATCCCTTTAAAGGACGTAAAATCGATACAGATCCCTTTAAAGGACTCAAAATCTATATAGATCCCTTTAAAGGGACAGAAAATCTATATAGATCCCTTTAAAGGACTCAAAATCATCAACCGTATCTCAGGCCCAGCGAGCCTTTCTGGGTCTGGGTGGAGAACCCCGAGTCGCAGGAGTCTGGGCGTTGGGGTTTAGGGCCCAGACCTTCCAAAATCCCTTAATTAAGGAATATACCTTAAATTATAGTAGGATCCCGAATAGGAATTAAGGTATATTCCTTAATTAAGGGATTTTGGAAGGTCTGGGGGGTTAGGTGGAGTTTAGGGTTTAGGGGGGTTGGGGTTTATAGGGGTGTAGAGTTTAGGGTTGGGGTTTATAGGGAGGGGTCCGTTTTGAAGGATCTATAAGGGTTCCTCTAAAGGGATCTATATGGTGCAATATTTCAGGTTTCAGGGTTTAGGTGTAGGGGGTTGGGGTTTACAGGGGTGTAGAGTTTAGGGTTTAGGGGGTTGGGGCTCATAGGGGTGTAGGGCCCAGACCTTCCAAACCCCTTAATTGAGGAGTATACCTTGAATTAGAGTAGAATCCTCATCATGATTCAAGGCATATTCCGTAATTAAGGCTTAAGGGATTTTGGAAGGTCTGTGGGTGTATGTGTTGTAAGGGTTTAGGTTTTATGGTTTTATAGAGGTTGTCAGGGTTTAGAGGGGTTTATATGGCAATGTAGGGTTCTTTGGGGGTTAGGGTTTATATATATATATATATATGTATATATGTTGTAGAATATAAACCTGAATGAAAGGACCTGGGGGTCTCCCCAGACCTTCCGAAATCCCTTAATTCTGGAATACCTAGGGTTCCTTTACAGGGATCCTTAAGGGCTCCTTCAAGGGATCTACAAGGGATCTATAGGGTTTAGGGTTTAAGGGGATCCCAATATCCCTTAATTAAGGAATATACCTTAAGAACATATTAATTAAGGATCCTACTATAATTTAAGGTACATTCCTTAACTAAGGGATTTTGGAAGGTCTGGGCCTGGGGACCTGGCAGTCCAAGCCTCGAAAGTGTCGGATAAGAGCACCGTGTGGGCTTTGCATTTTTGCCTTTGGGAGTGTTCACTTATAGGGTAGTAGCCAGAAAGTTGGAATATGATTATCCTAACCCCTTTATGGTAAATTATAGGGGATCCTACCATGAATCCATATTCCAACTTTCTGGAGTTCCCTGTAGGGTATAGGGTTTCAGCAGTTTTGGGTTTGGGGTTTCGTGTCAGATAATCAGCCTTCCCCCATGGCAATAATTTTTGTCAAGATGGCAGTTGGAAGGCCTTCACGCCGAACCCAAAGCCTTATATATCAAGTAAACTTAGACGCTATGTCATTGTTCAAAGCCGAAACCAATAAAACCTAAGCGCAAAGAATTCCGAGCTGTGTTTCTGCCCTGCATGCAATCAGCGGCAGTCCATCACGCTAAACAGAAGTCCGGTCCTTGAGCACTTTCGCCTTTAAGTCCAGATGTTTCCATGAGCTAAACCCTAAACCCTAAACCCTAACCGTTTCGGGTGGGATTCAAGGTTGAGGAGATTTTGGGGCCAATCTCTGCAGTCTCAATAGGACACTACCTTCTGTCAGAGTTGGTTTCCGTGCCGTTGGAGTGGTACGTAGTGTGATTTGCGAATGATGTGTACGTATCATGAGACGACAAGACAAAGACAAGGCAAGATTTCTTACTCCTGGCAATGTCGATTTGCAGAGTCGCTCTAGGGCTCGCCATACTGTCCTGGACAGCCTGGATTGCTGCGGACAATTTAGTTCTGTCTCGGCAGCACGTCCGGAAGACATCCTGCAGCAAACGAGTTCTTGTGGAGGGCTACAAATCTGGAGCTTCCATCAGCAACAGGCAGATTGGTGCAGTAAGACCAAAAACTCAGTTGGCGTGCTTTGGGCTGAACGACCACAAACAACAGGATTTGCCGATGAATTCGGGAGCTTTGGCATTCTCAACGGGCAGTTTTCACACGTGTGCAGTGAAATCAAGCGGTCAGTTGGTCTGCTTTGGAAGTAACACGGACGGACAATGCGATGTGCCGACGGATTTGGGAGCACTTGTGGCGGTCTCAGCAGGCAGCGTTCACACGTGTGCAGTGAACTCAAGCGGTCACCTGGTGGGCTTTGGAAGTAACGCTTACGGACAACGCAATGTGCCGACGGATTTGGGAGCAGTTGTGGCGGTCTCAGCAGGCAGCGTTCACACGTGTGAGTGAAGTCAAGCGGTCAGCTCGTGTGCTTTGGAAGTAACTATTACGAACAATGCGATGTGCCGACGGATTTGGGAGCAGTTGTGGCAGTCTCAGCAGGCTTCGATCACACTTGCGCAGTGAAATCAAGCGGTCAGCTGGTGTGCTTTGGAGCTAACGACTGCGGACAATGCGATGTGCCGACGGATTTGGGAGCAGTTGTGGCAGTATCAGCAGGCAACTACCACACATGTGCAGTGAGATCAGATGGTCAGTTGGTCTGCTTTGGAGCTAACGTCTGCGGACAATGCGATGTGCCGACGGATTTGGGGACAGTTGTGGCAGTCTCAGCAGGCTCCTCTGACACTTGTGTAGTGAAGTCAAGCGGTCAGCTGGTGTGCTTTGGAGCTAACGACTGCGGACAATGCGATGTGCCGACAGATTTGGGAGCAGTTGTGGCAGTCTCATCAGGCGACGATCACACATGCGCAGTGAAACCAAGCGGTCAGCTGGTGTGCTTTGGAGCTAACGACTGCGGACAATGCGATGTGCCGACGGAATTAGGAGGACAAGTGGCAGTCTGAGCTGAGACCGGGTAATCCCAAGAAGTCGCGTTTCTCCCTTCGGGTCTGATATTGGTGTTGTTTATAGTTGTTGTCGCTGTTGTTAGCATCATTGCTACCATGATTAGTGTTAGCACTATGCAAATGATTCTTTGTACTCTTCTTGTTCTTATGCTTCTAATTAGCATGCTGGCTGTTGTTACCGCTATTAGTGTTTGCCTTTGTTGTTATACTATAGGCGTATACCTCAAGAGACAAAGTGACCCTTAAACGTAGGGCCCTGTACCGTTATGTTTTGAATCGCGATATGAAAACTAGCCTTTTGACGGTTCTTGTCGACGTTAAGGTAGAGACTAAAGAGGGATGTTGCTGCGAGGCAGCTCAGAAGGCCTGGCATTGGGCACAGGAAGGATTGCTACTTTTGGGGCCCGACAAGGATTACTATGGTTTTAAAGCATGTGGTTTAGTACTCAAAAAGAATGTCTCTGCATAGTCTATATATGTGTACTACAACGTCTTAAGGCATTTCTGGATTTGGAAGTCGACGGCTTGAATTTGAGCTCTGGGTGATGTTGGATTGACGGTATCTTGTATTCTCTGACAGTGCAAACGAAGCAGCACCAACACTCTGTACCGCTTCAAGCCCTACGCCCCTGATCCAAAGTACACTTGACGTCTGTATCCTGCGCTGAACTCCAAACCCTTAGACCACGAACCCGAAACCTCGACCCAAAACCCTAGTACGGTTGATGATATAAATCCTGCATTGCCCATAATAGGGAATATATGGGAACTATGGTATTTTAGTATATTTCTTATTCTGGGTAATGCAGGATGTATACCATCAACCGTAGTAAAGCAGGTAACCTTTAACCTTATTGTTCGGTAGTACAGTCCCTATATAACTCCTTATATAACCAAAAGGGTGAAACCTTTAGATCCCCTTGATACCCCACAGCTGACTTGGAGGGGCAGGGGACGTAGCAAGTAGGTTAGAAGTAGGGATATAATTGAGGTAACCTTGATTAGGGTACTTATAACTCCACTTATAACCTACTTACTAAGTCCCCTGCCCCTGCAAGTAGGCCTTGAAGATATATTCGGATGAAGGGTCCATCTGCGTCCAGGGATGCGGTCCGTGTGTGAGTTTTTTGGTGGCAAAGCCTCAACCCTGATTGCATCGGAGGGTCCAGGTAGGGCCCTAAACCCTAATGAAAGCGCAAATTCTACGATGCGCAGGACATTCTGCACAGCGAGTACTACGTGCTGCACAAAAGGCTCTTCCGATTTTCTGGTATCTTTCTCGATACCGTGTTTTAGGCTTAAGTTCCTGATTACACTAAGAAACTATGGTAACCAAAGGAGGGTACGACAGTGCAATTGGGGTAAGTCCCCTGCCCTTCGAAGTAATTCGGGGTTACGGTTTACAGCTTTAGGGCTTAGGGTTCCGTCCTAACCTATGGCTCCTGGACCCTCGTAGCGAGATCCCGAACCTTAGCCCCCAAAGCCGAGAACCTCCCCAAGAGAGCCCAAGAGCCTCTTAGGAGCCTTAGAGTAGGGGCTTTAGGGGACTTAGTAAGGGCTCTTAAACGGCTCCTTAAAGGGATCTATAGGGTTCCTTAAAGGGATCTATGGGGTTTAGGGTTTAGGGTCTACTTGGAGGATCATGGGACTTAGTAAGTATGGTTATACGTAACTTAGGTGGGGTTATAAGTAATTGTAAGTATAGTTACCTTCTTTATAACCCTAGTTACTAAGTCCCACGATCCTTCAAGCAGCTGCTTTGCAGCATTTGGCTGAAATTGGAAAGCAAACTGACGGCGCAACTGCGGTTAACACAGGGGCCTGGATACATCCGATAGGACTTTGTTGTAAAGTTTTCTATGGCTCTACGATGGACAATAGAGAGGTGCATGCAGATACTATTAGGAAATAGTCCAACCCCTTAGAAGTGCCTTCGCGACCCAATTCTCAGAGCCGGGTTGCGCTCTTGCTGGGATGAAAATATTACGGTTGGACACCACACCTTTATGTTATTGAACACTTTTGGCTCATTAGGCTTGCACGGGATAAGTGCCGTGATTCATGACTTCTCCCCACCAAACAGGTGAATGACGCAGAAGTTAAGCCCTTTAGCTCGAAGCAAAGCTCCAGAATGATGAAACTAACCCAAAACTAAAAGGCACACCCAAAACTTAAAACCATAAAACCCTTAACCCTAAGCCCTAAACTTAAAAGCAGAAAAGCTCCCGAAGAGTTTGATCCCTTTTGCATTCTGTTCGCACCTGGAAGGAACATGCAAGACTCAGGTCGGGACCCCTGTGCGGTTGAGGGTATACTTAGATGATCATGCGACTTATTAAGTAGGTTATAATTGGGGTTATAAGTCCCCTAAGTGGGGTTATATTAGCTTTAACCTACTTATAACCTTACTTACTAAGTCCCATGAGCATTCAAGCAGGGTTTACTTGGAGGGGCAGGGGACTTAGTAAGTAGGTTGTAAGTAGAGTTATAATTTGGGGTAACTCTTAGGGTACTTAGAAGTCTACTTATAGCCTACTTACTAAGTTCCCTACCCCTCCAAGTAGGGTTTAGGGTTCCTTGAATGAAGCAGGTTCAGGCCTTCGCGGCTTAGCATAAGACGTTCAGTTCGTCTCGGGACTGGTGTATAAGTTTTTTCTGAGGACGTTGACAACATTCAGGCTTACACTGGGTCATCCTGGGGCTTATTCTAAGTTTATAACATGAAATAATTGTGTGGTTTGTAGGGCTTTGTAGATTTAGTGGAGTTGTGTCAGGTTCTGTTGGGCTGATTATACGGCTTCAGCATGTTGTAGGGTTCAGGGCTCAGAATTCTCAATAACTCCGGAGCGGTCATCTTGCAGGTTTTGAGGCTACAGGTACGATATGGGAGTTTCCGAAAATTATGGGTACCTTATCTTGGGGTCCCTATCGTAAGGTTCCTATTATTTAGGGTAGTATCTTAGGGTCCCCTGTTTTCGGAAACTCAAATATATTTGTAGCGATTGAGTTTCAGGACACATGTGAGGAGATGGGCGCTGGCAGTGAGTCCCCAATCAAGTCATTGCCCTAAGGCTCCAAAGAGGGTCTGGGGCTGTCTGGGGGAGGGTTTCGGCTTTGGGGGCTAGGGTCCGGGATCTCACTACAAGGGTCCAGGAGCCTTAAGGTGCTGATGTCTCAAATTATCAAGCATGCTTTATCGAAGAAGCACATCATATGACGTCATGTCACAATCTGTTACATGGTAACAACGTATCGCATCATATCATATTTTAGTCTGTATGGGGCTGTCGCATTTTATCCTGCCATACCCAGCACCGTCGCACTATAGCCTGCCATACCGTATCGTATCACGCTTTGCGCTATCATAGCAAGCCGTGGGCACAGCCCTCAACCCGCAACCTGAGCCCAAATTAGCGCTGCTTAAGCCCTCATAAACTCTATGACATTGTGTTTAAGCCTTGTCAGGCCTGCACACATCAGCTTTATGAGCCCATGTAGTAATCTGTAATTAGCTCTAAACCAATACGAAACCCTTTCCTAGAACCCTGGCAGCACCTGTAACGAAAGCTGCTGAGGACCCCCAGAACGACGAAACCACGAACCCTAAACTGCAGAGGGTTTAGGTTTTAAACCCTGACAAGTCCAGAAACCCCGTAAGCTCTAAGTTTTAAACGAGCGATACCTACTTGTTGTAGGGTCCCTGCACAGTCTACATCCGGGATCATCATATGGACCCTCACAAAAGTAGGTTTCCGTAGTACAAAGTAAACCTTGAAACCATAAACCCCTAATTGTGTTATCCCTCCGAGGGCAGCTATCGTTTGCCATTCCGCTCACGGAGCCGCGGCCACCGCAGTATGCAGGACACCAAGTGTTCCGGGTTTAGGGTCCAGGGTTCAGCGTTTGGGGTGACAGCTTTGGGCGTAGTGTGTTTTTGTTTGAGGGGTGTTGTTGTCTGTGCTCTTTTGGTTGCTCTATGGTATTTTCTTGGGTGGCTATGTGTTACTTGGAGGGTCGGGGGACTTAGTAACTGGTTATTTTAAGGACTATAGGTACCATAACCCCAATTAGGGTCCCTTTTAGGGTACCTATAAGTCTACTTACTACCTACTTACTAAGTCCCCCGACCCTCCAAGTAGGGTTTGGGACAGTTTAGGGTTCGTGGTTTACGGTCCTACACTAGGGGCCCAAGTAGTGCACGCTTGAACCCCACCCCAGAGCGTTCAACTCAAGGAGTAGTCGGACCCTAAGCCCCTAACCCCTAAAACCCTAAACCCCTAAAACCCTAAAACCCTAAACCTCTCAAACCCTAAACCCCTAAACCCCTAACCCCTAAACCCTAAACCCCTAAAACCCTAAAACCCTAAACCTCTCAAACCCTAAACCCCTAAACCCCCAAACCCCGAAACCCCTAAACCCTAAACCCCTAAACCCCTAAACCCCTAAAACCCTAAAAACCCTATTTTTGTGCTGGGGCGCTAGTTCAAGGCCAGGGCTCAGGATCCATGTGGATACCCCTCAGGGGACGCTGAAACACCATCATTAATTACAATCCCTAAAAGGCTCCATGTGCCCATATAGTGGGTACTTAGGCCTTGAAGGGGTCCTTGATGCTTGGGCTTTGCGGCTGGTGCTGTCAAAAACCCCCAAACCACAAATCAACTCTTCTCCTAACCTGTAGGCCCCTAAGCCGCAAACCTTAAGCCCTTCCCCAAAGGGTCCGAAGTACCAATATGGTAGAATGTAGGTTTTCTATATCAAGAAGTACTACTATGATTTGAGGAAGTATCCCATGACAGTACCGAGGACCGTAGGTGATGATTAGAGTTATAAGTTCCCTAGATGGAGTTACCCCAGTTATAACCCTACTTATAACCTACTTACTAAGTCCCCTTCCCCTCCAAGTAGGCCCCTAAGCCGCAAATCTTATGAATCCTCCGCGAACTTCCAAAATCCGTTAATTAAGGAATATACCTTAAATCATATAAGGGATCCTACTATAACCCAAGGTATACTCCTTAATTAAGGGATTTTGGAAGGTCTGGGCTTCTCAACTGTCCAGGTCATCTCCGTTGTAAGTGACCGCTGGGTCGGCGTCAAGCCACCGCCTTGGATGACATATGGGAGTTTCCGAAAATTAGGGGTACCCTAGGGTTCCTCTAAAGTGTTACTATAAGGGTTCTATAAAGGGTTTATTGTTTAGGGTTTAGAGTTTCCGAGAATTTGGGGTACCTTCTTTTGGGTTCCTTATAATAAGGATCCTTCTATTTTGGGTACTTATATTAGGGTCCCCCTATTTTCGGAAACTCCCATATTTGATTTAGGTGTTTAGGGTGTAGGGGTTAATATGAGAGCCTAAATAAGGTGTTTCCTTATTATAACTATAGTCTGATATACCCCGAAGCCCTACTCGAATCATTAAAGGGGGGTTATGGTTTGGGAGTTTAGGGGTCTAGGGCGTAGTGTTTCTAGGTACTTTGTACAGGTGCCTATAAGGGTGGTGATAAGGGCGATAAGAAGGGTTTAATGTAGGGATTACTTGGAGGATCATGGGACTTAGTAAGTAAGGTTATAAGTACCCTAAGTGGGGTTATAAGTACAGTTACCCTAATTATAACCCCAGTTGCTAGGTCCCATGATCCTTTAAGTACTACAGGGCTATGACGGATGTGATATCGGGCCTCGGTGGTTTCAGGGCCTATAGTATGTAAAGGGTTTTAGGGTTTCGTCAACGGTTCCCTTCAGGGATGTACAAGCGGTTTGGTGTTGAGTGTTTCCTACCTTTCCATCCAAGCAAGGACGTGTATAAAGAGGTCGTATTGAGCAGCTCTGAAAAACTTAGGTCTTTTGGGGTTCAGGCGGGGCTTGAGGGTTTTTGGGGATTGAGGCCTTGTGTGTGATGGTTACGATTTTTGGTGTTTCGTAGTTCCTGTCAGGAGCATTGCGGCTGACGTCTCTGGGGCTTTATCTCCCAAAGGCTCTATGTACCCATATAGTAGGCACTTAGGCCTTAAAGTACCCATATAGGGACCCCTTCAAGGCCTAAGTACCCACTATATGGGCACATGGAGCCTTAGGGTCTGTTTGTGTTGGTTCGTAGCTCAGGCCAAGGGCTTTGCGGGTTTTGGGAGTTAAAGTAAAAGCCAGAAAGTTGGAATATAGTTTCAGGGTAGGATACCTTATAATTTACCATAAAGGGTTTAGGATAATCATATTCCAACTTTCTGGCTTTAACTTTAGGGTTGAGCGATTGCTCGTGCAGTGTCTTTCTGTTTTGCTCGTAAAGCCTACTTCTGGTACGCCACAGCCCATCCTCGTTTAATGTAAGGACGCTTTCACAGAAGGCTGAAGTAGGGCTGTGAGCCCAAAGCTCTTCCCAACAGCCAAGGCAGACTGCTAAAGGACTCCGTGACCCTAAACCCTAAACCCGGACCCTGATTAAGGGTCCTAACCAGGACGAGAGCAGGTCAGGATTCAGCGGGTACCCTTAGATACTGGACAACGAAGCTAATACATGTGCAAAAAGAGTTCGGCCATGCCTTCTACGCCACCTGCGCAGAAGAAGAGGCGCGATCTCTGTGGCCAGGTTCTTGGGGTATGACGTTTGGCACTGTCCCTAGGGTTTAGGGTTTTAGGGTTTAGGGTTTAGGGTTCTAGGGTTCCTTTAACACGTAAACAAAAAATACTTACCAAATCTTGCCAACACTATTCCTCGCCGTTCCTTCTTTACAATCATACTTATTATTAAGGCCCCTGATAAAGTCAGGACTACGGTTGACGATATAAATCCTTCATTACCCATAGTAAGGCGTACACCATAATTCCCATAGTCTAGGGTCCTTAAGGTCATGCAGGAGTTATATACCCTAAACCCTAAAACCCTATAGATCCCTTAAAGGAGCCCCTTAAAGGTACCCTGATGGAGTTATATCATCACCCGTATCTTGGGGTTTGGGGCTTCGGGTCTGGAGGTTAGGATTTAGGCTTGGTATTCTTGCAGTGCCAGGCCTATGCCCTCAAGACAAGTTTGTTCCATACCTTAGCTAAATACCAAACGAGCCTTAAAAGTAGGGGGCCCTAAACCCTGATACCATGAATCCCTACATGGTCATTGATTCTTAATGCGTTTTGGGGTTCGTTTCGTCTTTAACCGTAGAACGATATAACCCTAAACCCTAAACTCTAAGCATGACACTACAAAAGTCTCTGACGTCGGACGAGGGTTCAGTCTCGAGTGCATACTTAGGGAGCCAAAACGCACATAAGCATAAGCTTTTTGTAGGGATATCCCTACCTTATTGGGCTTCATTATAAGGGGGGTTTGTATGGGACATCCCTATACTAATTGTTGCTTATGTGTTTTTTTTGGGCCCTAACACTGCAGCCTCGCGATACCCACGGACTCCGTCATCTAAGCTATGCACTATCATCTTAATTAGCGTTTAAATTTAGGGTTTAGAGGTTTAGGGTCGGGGGTCTTCAAGGCTCTCAGGTACGTTTTTGTTTTGCTTTTGAGTGTTTTGGTTTAGTCTTGTTTGAATAAGGGCCTTCGAAAGACAAGGAACGCGATCTTTTTGCCTACATGCTCAGGGAGTAGAGCAAGCAATGCTCCTTGGGCTGAGAGGGCTAAGCAAGAACAAGCCTAGGTATTGACTTGGGGTATTTTCCCTCATTGTTATCAAACAATACGTAGTCATGGTTATTCACGGTGATAAAAACAATAACTATAGCAATTGTTATAACTCGCAATGAAAAAAGGTCATCTCCCACTGTCACTAACCGGATATGCGTAGACGGCCAGGCCTCCGCAGAAGCCTGGCAGCTCTCGCAAGAGCAACCTGGCTAGCTGCTCGCCCAGAAGAAAGCAGGGGTTCATGGTTTCGGGTTCAACGATTTAGGGTTTGAGGCTCCCTAAACCCTAAACCGTAAACCCTAAACCCTAAACCGTGGCCCTTATTTTCTGATGGTCTTAGGGTTCAGGGTTGTAGGGTTTCAGGCTCGAGGGCTGTAGAGGCTAGGATTTCGGATCTTAGGAGCTTGGGTGTAGGGTTTGGGCTTTGGCTGAAACCAAGGCCAGTAAGGCAGTGAAGTATGAATCGAGGGTTTAGGGTTTAGGGTTTAGGGATAGTACATGCTATGTAGTCATATTGTTGATGATATAAATCCTGCATTACCCATTGTGAGGAATATTCCAGAATTCCCATAGTTTAGGGTACTTAAGGTAATGCCGGGTTTATATCATCAACCATAGCCATGGTGATCCGGGGCAGGTTGGACTTCAGAACCCCAAAACCCTAAACCCTAAGTATGTAGCGTAAGGAATCTCTGAAGCATTCCAGCATCACCTTGTCAGATTTCTACAGAGGTACCTAATATAGGGGCCATAATAATTACCTATACTATTTTGGGGGTTCCTTCTTATATTTATCATGTTATGAGCCCGAAAACCATATTCTAACTATTGAGGCCCCTATATTCGGACCTCTTGGGCATGTGAGTTGTATCCCAACATACCTACGTTTCAGCGATGTGGAGTGCAATCAAGGAGTTGCCAGGGAGACCACTTTTTTCCATCGCCCAGAAATGTTTCTCCCGCAGCTCCGCAAAATTACCCATAGGCTCCATAGTAGTTCCTTTTTGGGATTACCTCATAGGATTCTACATATAAGCCCCAAAAAGGAACTACTATGGAGCCTCTAGGTAGGCCCATCGGAGTATGCGCCTCAGCCGCCGAGGCAACTTGGCACAGGGTGGCATCCGAGCGCGCGTAGCCAATGTGCTGCCAAAGAGGTCGCGCTCGAGACTCGTTCCGAGTGCATCAATGCAGGGTTCCTAAAGCTTAGCTTTGGTTAGTAGGGAATGGAGGAATGGGGTACAAGTATAACTACTATTACTACCATTCTTCCATTCCCTTCTAACCAAAGGTAAGAAAAGGCTTCATATAGGGGCCCTTTTAGGGTTCGGGATCTGCAAGGGTTTCTTGACGCTTTCTATCAGGGTACAATAGGGTTTTGAGTGCATTGCTTTTAACCATGATGAGAATGACGTTGGGTTCCTATATCCACTATTATAGGTGGACCCTCTGGGTAGTAAACCCTGAGCCCTAGTAGTAACCCTAATCCCTATTAAGCCCTAAGCCCTAAACCCTGATCCCTAACACTAACTCCTCCAGGAGCTCAGTGACTTATGTAGAGGGAAAGCGTATGGTTTGTGAAAGTATTTACTGAAAAGTTGGAACATGAATTCAGTTTTTCTTTGTTGGGGGGTTCCCCCTACTCCACCTTAGGGGCACGAGGACACTGGTGTTCAGACTTTCTGGCTTCTACTGTACGTGTTTTCCCACTCGGTTGCTGCGCAGCCTAGATGAGCATGACATGCGAACAAATTCACCCATTCCAGTGGGCAACAGGGTATAAGGATAAGGCCCAGACACCATGTAGGGATTCATAGTCGAGGATGCTCAGTTGTAGCCTTATTCCCTTTTTGTAGTCCTAGGTTCCTGATAAAGTTACCCAATACCAAAAAGCGGGCCCTTTTTTTCTAGGTTACTGGGCATCCAAGTAGTAGAGGTGTAGAAAGTCCCAAATTTGTGAGGGTCATTTGGTCTTTAAGGCTGAGAGGCCTCGAAAGGCAGGATGAAGAGGGTTTGTGTTTTGAGGTTTTGGGGTTTGGGTTTAGGGTTTAGGGTGTTGCAGTTTAGGGCTTACGGTTTAGTGCTATAGAGTTTAGTAGTAAAGTACTTTTTTGGGGTATTGCAAGCCACTGTAATAGTAGAGTAGGTAGCCTTTGACGTTGTTGGGGGTAGTTTATTTCCTGCCTACCCTTAGTTCCGTTAGGACACTACTGGACGACCAAGCAATACAAACACCAAGACCCTCTTCAAAGTGCTCCGGCCCCTTTATGATCCTGATCTCCACAGAAAGGTGACTTTCAGTTAGCCGTCAGGTTCGGGGAGGGTATGTTGTTTCGGGGTTTCCCGTTTAGGGGGTTTGATATTGTGGCCTGAAAAGTCAGAACAGGAGGCTTGTCATCCATCTCCCTGTTCGTTTTGTACTGGAATATTTTTAGAAGCCTTCGGAACAAAAACAAAGCATATTGCTACTTATTGTTGAGCCTTGGGTGGGGTATGCGATCTTGATTGCTGGGCTGGTTTGATCCAAGGAAGAACACCCGCAATGCCGAGCACATGGAAGAGGCTCGGGTGGTTCTTAGTCCTAAAGACGAACAAGAACGTTGAACGACTTGCGGGTTCGATCACCACATGGGTGGTTGTCAAAATTATGGTTTCTTTTTGGGTCCCTATTATAATACGGCACCTATTATTTAGGGTACCCAAAAAGGGACCTTAATTTTGACAGCTACCCACATAGAGACTACAGTCTAAAGGTAGAGGGCTCGTAGTGTTAAGGGCAAGTTCTTCCTCAAGGTTTGTTCTTTGGGAGAAACAGGGTTGAAAGAGCGGGATCAACGTGGGTTTTCGACGAGACTAGAAGAATGTGTGGCAACAATCGGCTCGATCTCTGGAAGGAGCCTTAACAGTAGGGGCCCTTTACCCTTATACCATGAATCGCTGGTTCTATATGAGCCTTAAACCCTTTCAGGGTTCATTTCATCCTTACGGTCTCCCCCCAAAACCCCAAAATCCATATTCCTCCCATAGAGCCCTTTAAGGGACCCTTAAAGGAACCCTTTTAGGGTTCATGTCGTCCTTAAGGTCATCTGGTGCATGCTCGGAAGTTTCTACATGGCTTCGAACCCATCCTACTGTTGATGATATAAATCCTGCATCAGGAATATACCATAAATCCAATAGTTTAGGGTCCTTAAGGTAATGCAGGATTTTTGTCATGAGCAGTAGTTCTCCCAATGGGCACTGTTTGCTCATTTTGTGGGCTTACCCCAAGGGTCCAAGTACCTAATTTAATAATCATATACCCACCCAAATCCGAACCTACATAACTACTCTCCTAAAGCCGACTACCTAATTATTGGGTCCTTTGGACCCTTGGGGCTAGGTTCCTTAGAAACCTCCTCAATACCAAAAAGGAGCCCTTGTTATTTCCAGGTTACTGGGGATCCCAGACTATGGCCTCGTTTGAGGGATCAGGGTTTAGGGTTTGGGGTTTAGAGCTTTAGGGGTGTATGGCTTCTGGTTTAGGGTATACAGGGTTTAGGGTTTAGGTTTTGTGGTTTTCGGGTTTTGGGCACCCTTCCTTTCAACACTGCGACCCGCCCAACAGCCCTATTCTAGTTATTAAGGCCCCTTTATTAAACGGCCTTGACGATTAAAACTCCCGGCAGCAGGCGCAAAAGGCAAAGCTCCGTGCTGCACAGGCGCCACTGCAGGAGTTGTGGGTTGAGGAATTAGGGTTTATGGTGCTGATGTCTGGGGTGGGTGGCGGGGGGAACTCGGGATCCAATAACCTACTGTTTCAAGGGGCAGCAGCCCAGAATTCTGGTGTCATAACCTACTTCTGCTGATGACATAAATTCTGCATTGCCTCAAGGACGCTAGACTCTGGGAAATTATGGCATATTCCTTATTATGGGTAATGCTGGACGCAGGATATATATATATATATATATATATATCACCAACCTGTAAACCCTAAACCCCAAGCCCCGACCAGATCCCGGAACCCCTTAAAGGCAACCGTATAGATCCCTTTAACGGAACCCCAATGGGTAATGCAGGATTTATAACATCAACCTTTAAACCCTAAACCCAAAAACCTATAGATCCCTTAAAGGAACCCCTTAAAGGTACCCTTATAGATCCCTTTGAAGGAACCCTCGGATTTATATCATCAATTGTATTTTTTGGGTTTTTGGGGATCGGTGAGCGGCGGATTTCGAGCTGAGGGGCGAGATGTGTTCAGCTCTGTGATGTGCGTTAGCTAAGTGGGTAGTTGTCAAAAAAGTATGGTCCATATACATTCAAGGAGCGTCTGGCTCAAGGGTTGTAGCTGCAGGGCTTAGGGCTCTGGGGACAAAGGTTGCGGTTATGCAGGGCTAAGACAGAATATCGGATAATTGCCAATACTGCTCCTTCGGTTTCCTATGTACTTTGACAATCCCTAAGGGTCCATGTACTCATATAGTATATACGTTGGCCTTAAAGTACTCCCTATGTAGGTACATTGGGCCCAAAGTGTATGCTCTACGGGTACATGGACCCTTAGTGAGTTGGGTACCCTAAATAATGGGTGCCGTATCATAATTGGGACCCAAAAAGGGACCATCATTTTGACAACCACCCAAGTAGCTGAATGCGTACACTTTGCACTTTCTTGGGGATACGATGATGCTCCGGTAGAACTGAAAGTTTACCATCTTTTAGGATACGGCGACCCCCTATAGGACTGAAAGTTTTGCCCCTCTTGGGAGACTATGACCCCCCTATAATTAGAACTGAAAGTTTACACTTTTTGAGCTTAAGAACTCAGCAACAGAGGAGTCGCGAACGCAACCCTACGGCCCCATATCCTTCCAGACCCCAACCACGTACGGATCATGGTACTCATGTTTTTGCTTTTCTGTTTTTAATGGGTTCCCTTGTACGGATCTCAGAAAATGCACTTGCTAGCTTGCCTCCGAAGTGCAGAAAGCGAGCACGGAGTAGCTGCAGCAAAACTCCATCAGGTCGGACGTTGCAAAACAGGGAAGCTTGGTGTGAACAGTCCTCGGCCTGGTATAATATACATGCCTTAATAATTACCTATACTAGTTTGGGGGCTCCTTGTTACAATTATAGTATAATGCGCCCCCAAACCACATTCCAACCATTAAAGCCCCTATATTCATGTTGTGGGAGCTTGAGGAAAACGATCCGAGCATGCGACTTTCTGGAAGTTCCGGTACCAACGGGGACTGAACTCTTCGTAGTATGGGGTAGTATGGGGTATCCCTTTCAGCCCGGTCAAAGTACAGTACATTGGACCCCCCAGACTCCAAGACCTGTTCTGGTTCTTATGCCCTACATTATGCCCATAAAACCCTAAACCCTAAACCCATAAACCCTTATTGTGGGCCTTTGAGGCTGCGTCGCAAAATTCGACGCTCCGCCGCATCCGAACCCGGCGTCCATGGTCTCGCAGCAGCGGCAGGTGCGTGCTTGTATGGGTACATCCCCGACGGTCCAAAGTCCCAAATTGGGTTGCTTATTGTGGCTCCCGGCAACACGATCCAGTGTAGCATCTTCAGTTCTCAAGTAGGCATGTGTCGCCCTGGCTGTATGAGGTGTGTTGTAGTTTCTTGGTGGTTGTTGTTGGTTCATTGAAGCGCATGAAGCACAGCCGCAGGCGCGAAACCCAAAAGATCATGAGCATTCAGGGCCAGCAAAGCATCACAAGTGGACTGGTGCTAGCCTTGCAAGTACGGCAGTATTTGTATCTCTCTCTCTCTCTCTATAATATATATATATATATATGTATGTATGTACATATATATATATATATATATATGCTGTTCATTTGTAGTATTTGTATGTACACACCACTGTCTTCAAACCGCAACCTCCTACAATCCAAAGTGCCCTTGACATGAGCCCCTGCAAAAAAGCCTGTCAATTCCCCTAAACCCTGGACCCCTGCTGAGTCGCATGTTGAAATATTAAGATGGTGCGTTGCTGGTTGGTTTAGGATTTAGGGTTAGGGGTTTAGAAGTTCGCAGACCTTCCCTAGATCTCTTAGTTCAAGAAATAGCTATAACCCTTGCATCATAATGAGACCCCTGATATCAGTTAAGGTGTCTTCCGTAATTGACTAATGAAAGGATTTTGGAAAGGTCTGGGATCAACGACCCGAACGACTGCATGGAAGAAACCCCTAAAGTAGCCCTTAACAAACTAGTGCCTAGAGTAGGCCCTTTGTTCCCTGTTTTAGGGTTCAGGCTCCCTTATGAGCCCCTTTAAACCAAAAAGGGCACCCGTTTTATTCCTGCGTTAATATTGGCTCTAGTTTCTGTAGTCTTTAAAGTATGTTACCCGTAGGATCTAAATCCCCAAACAATAAGGTCTTAACTACCAAAGGCGATTCGAGTATACCCTTGGGTTCAGTAAAGCCCACCGGTCTCCCCTCTTCCGGCCCTACAAAGAATCCTCTTCCTAGCAGTAGAGTAGGTAACCGTTAACCTTCGTGGGGTACTACGGTTGATGATATAAATCCTGCACTACCCACAACAATATACCACAATTTCCAAAGGCTAGGATCATTAGGGTATTGCAGGGTTTGTATCATCAACCGTTTAATCCCTGTACAACCCCCAAGGTTATCTTTGTGTTCCCTTAGGTACTGGACAAGAAGGTATTAGTGATTAGTAAAGCACTACTGACCAAGAAGCCCACTTAAACCCCAAACCTCAACCAGAACCCTCCCAAAGCCCACCAATCGTCTCCATTGCATTTCCTTTTGGTCACCAACTTTATGGTTAGGACCCTGCAATTTAGGTTTGGTTAACGAAAACAAGGAACTTCAAATGGAGACTATGGGTACCAACACCTAGAGGCTCCGCATATACCAACATTATGGATTTAGGCCCCAAAATTCCATCCCTATTCTGTTTTCCCTAACCCTAAACCCTATAAACCTTAGTCCCATAGTAACAGTACATACTTATATCATAATATAAGCATAGAATATATATATATATATATATATATATATGTATGTATGTATGTACATGTATATGAATCCTCTGGGGCACAGAAGCCAAGCAGGTCTCCCCTCTTTCATCCCTTGGAGCACCGCGCCTTCTTCGACCAAGACCTGGGCCTCCGCCCGGTGCTGCTGAAGCGAGGCGGGGTTTCTGGTCTTAGGTTCCTTTTAAAGGGCTCCTTAAAGGGATCTATAGGGTTCCTTTTTTGAAGGGTTCCTTTAAGGGGTCTTAGGGTTCCTTTTAAAGGGCTCCTTAAAGGGATCTATAGGGTTCCTTTTTTGAAGGGTTCCTTTAAGGGGTCTTAGGGTTCCTTTTAAAGGGCTCCTTAAAGGGATCTATAGGGTTCCTTAAAGGGATCTATGTCATAGAATCTATGTGGTCTTAGGGTTCCTTTTAAAGGGCTCCTGAAAAGGGATCTATAGGGTTCCTTAAAGGGATCTATGTGGTCTTAGGGTTCCTTGTAAAGGTTTCCTTTACTTGGAGGGGCAGGGGACTTAGTAAGTAGGTTATAAAGTAGGGTGATAATTGGGGTAACTCCAGGGTTTGGGAACAATTTTTCTTCGCTGCTTTGGGGGTTTCCTTGTTTATGTAGAGAAAAAATGGGCCCCAAAACCATATTCTAATTATGAAGGCCCGGTCTTTGAGTTTAGGGTTGGGGGGGGGTGGTGGTCTTCGGATTCCTTTTAAAGGGTTCCTTTGAGGTTACTCTACGGGATAGTGTGGGGGGTTTAAAGCAAGGCTCGCTTTGGCCCATACGGTTGATGATAGAAATCCTGCATTACCTTAAGGACCCTGAACTATGGGAATTATGGTATATTCCTTATTATGGGTCATGCAGAATTTATATCATCAACCGTAGGTTTGGAATTTAGGGTCTTTGGGTTTAGGGTTTGGGGTCTTAGGGCCGCGTAAAATAGGGGCCTTGAAGTAAGAAAGAATAAGGGTTCTGTTTACAGGCTTCCGTTAACTCGGTCTACAAGGGATCTAGAGTAGGGTTCTATGAAATAGGGGCCTGTATACTTAGAATAGGGTTTTAGGGCCCATTATACTATAGTTCTAATAAGGAACCCCCAAAAGTAAGTATTTAGGCCTTTGTAGTGGTGTCTTTGGGTGTAGGGATTGGGGTCTTAGGGGTTCAATAGCTTTCGGACTTTTTGGAGAGTTTTCGGGTTCAGATCAGGGTACTCGAAGGGAATCTATAAGGCTCGTCATAAGGTCTAGTAGTAATGTAGGTAACCTTCAACCTTTTTTGGGTAGTATAGCCCCTACATAGTCCCAATAGAACCAAAAAGGTTAACCTTTAGATCCCCGTGATACCCGACAAGTAGGAAGGGTCTATAAGGGGTTCTATAGGGTTGTATGGGGAGGGGATGGTCTTGGGATAATTTGGAGGGGGGTGGGTAAATCTTCAAGGTGTTAGGGTTTTGGGGATCACAGTGTACCTGCACCCTATAAAAGCTTCCTTTGTAGGCCCCCCTCAGTAATTGCAATACGATATCCTGAGATGTGTCCTTAAAAAGGGTAGACCCTAAATTCCAAAACCCTGATCCTAAACCCTAGTAGACCCCAAGAACCTAATCCCAACAAAACGACCCTAAACCCAGGATATAAGGTTTCGGGTGTTGGGGTTCAGGTTCATGCATGAAAACCCGTCGGCCATAACCACGGCCTTCGAAGCAGCTTCTGCAAGTGACAGGGCCACTTCACCCCCTTCCTCTGGCGGCTGCATCAGCAGCTCACTTGCTTCGTTCGAAGCCCGGTTTCGTGTTACGTTTGCTTTTCGGGTTCAAGTCTGCTGGAGGGTTGGCGGTTCAAGACTTCCTTGGCCCTCCATCTACCCTCTATTAGACCCTAAATGCCCGTTATTTGGGACCATATACCCTTATTTGAGGGTACCAGGAGGGTCCTGGTCCTGAGCCTGGAACTTTAAGCTCAGAATCGATGCGAGGATCTTGTGCACCTTCTCGCTTTCAGCCTCAAAGATGGAGGCTGTAGTTAAGGGTTCATGATCTAGGTTTACGGTGTTAGCTTAATTTGGGTGTTATAGTGTTCAGGATTTAGGGTTTAGTTTAGGTTATTATAGCGTTCAGGATTTAGGTCTTTTGATTCTGTTGCGTATGATTAGCACACATTTGTCCCTGTATCGTCCGTAAAATTCTGCCGAAGTATGTATCCAAAACGATCATACCTACTTGTTGAGCATGTTTGCGAGAGATCACCTTCCTAGCCCATTGGACTGAGATTCAGACTTTCCATAATCTGTGTGTGCAAAAGAATATAGTATTTCATGCTCTCTCTTCCTCTCTCTCTCTCTCTATATATATATATATATGCACGAATATTCCATATGTGTATACATGTGTGTATACATATGTGTATACATGTGTGTATATATATATATATGTCGATATATGTATGAGATGCACACAAACACACTTTGAGTTAGGTCGTCAGGTCATTAGGCCAAAGACATTTACATCTCAACGGGCTGTGGGCTGAAGACCTTAGTGCTACATAAGGCACTTGTGCTATTTGGGGGGAGTTTGGGTGATACCCCAACAAGGGAATTCGATCAAGCATCGCAGCCGAAGATTCAGGTGTCTACCGCATGGACATCAATGCCCACCTCGTAACCCGTCGGCAAGATGGGTGTAAGCTTTGTTGTCCAGGGTCTTGGGGTCTTCAGGGTTTTGAGTTTTGAGCTTTCAGCCCATGTAAATACTGCCTTATGTTTTCCTTTGTTGATTCGGGCTTGGGGTGTAGGGTTTGAGGTTCAGTGACAGATTTCCCTCTTGCTCCAGGTATCCACACAGTACGTCCTAAACCCTTAAACCTTAAGCCCTAAACCAAACCCTAAGCCCTCATGAAGAGCCCCTCTACAACCCTTAACACAACCCTTAAAAGAACCCGTATAGGAGCCTTTACAGGAACTCTTAACGGAACCCTTTAAGGGATCCTGTTTAAGGTATCCAAAAAAGGGAACCCCTGTTATAGAATCCGGGTACTCCTAAAGGGAACCCTAAAGTACCCTTAAGGGTTCCTCTAAGGGGTTCCCTGGTAAAATTAAAAGGGATTCCGTTTAAGGGGTCCTTTTAAAGGGATTCCTGTTAAAGGATGCTCTAAAGGGATTACTTTTCAGGGATCCCTTTAAAGTTTTCCCTTTTAAAGGGACCCTAAACCCTAAACCCTAAACCCTTAAGCTTCCCTTTTAAGTTTCCCCGAGGTCGCCGATCCCAGGACCGGACCTGACCCGCAGCAGCGCCACCGACTCGGCGCGCCGCCCTTGGAGACCCTGGCGCTGGCCTCGGACTTCCCCAAGGGAGCTTCGGGTTTAGGGTTTAGTATAGGGGTTCCTTTAAGGGTGCCTTTAGGGGTTCCTTTCAAAGGGGTCTATGAGGATGACTATGAGGAGTTCCTGAAAAGAAGCCAAAGGATCTTAGGGTTTAGGGTTTAGTATAGGGGTTTAGGGCGTAGTGTGGGGGGTTGAGGATTGTTTAGGGTTTAGGGTTTCGAAAAGGGGTTTAGGGTCTAGTATGGGGTTTAGGGTTTAGTATAAGGGTTGGGCAAAATTCAGAGGGTTCAAGGAGTGGGGTGAAGGTAAGAGAGGGAAGGGATGCTCAATCCTATCCACTTTGCGAGGCCTCCAAAATACACGATTCCTTTTGATGGGCTCCGTTAACGGGTTCAATCTCTTCGTTCTCCATTCTCCAACCTTTAAACAAACTTTTTGGGTCTATATATTTCAGTAGGTTTTTTCTGAGAAAGTCTAACCTTGTATTTCCCTGGCTTATTGCGGAAGTAAGGTCTGCAAGGATTACTGTAAGGGTTCAGGCTTGTCGGGTCGAGGGACTTACGCCAAAGGGTCGTGATTTGGTGGTTTGATGACTAGCCTTTTAGATTAGAAGCTGCCCCCACCCTGTAATAGTGGTATAATAGGAATATAATAGGGCTCTAATAGAACCCTTATGATAGCCTTATAGTCACTATTACAGGGTGGGGGCAGCTTCTAACTTTTAGAGTAAGGAACCTTTCGACTTTAGCCTTCTTGGGGTTGGATATACCCTGTGTAGGTCAACCTGTGGCTCGTTCCCTCAAGAAACTGGACAACTAAACTGAAATCAGAACCACAGACCCAAATCCCAAGCTCCCATAAGAAACTAGGCACCGAAATTTAAATCTGAATCACAGACCCCAAATCCCAAATGCCGTACACCCTGAACCCTAAACCCTGAACCCTAAAACCCAAATCCCAAATGCCGGAGCTGTGCCGAGCAGAGGCCAGAGGTGGCGCCGTGCGACTGGAGGCCGAACTGGGGGCTGCCGGCGTCATACACAGATACACAGATGCATATACGACTATATATATATATATGCTTTTATTTACATATTCATAGTTACATATGTATATATATATATATATATATATATATACATAGATGTACATACACATACATAACTCTATATGTATACACACATAGCCATGTCAAACTTTGGACTCTGGGCTCGATATCAGGATCTCGCGCGCTTCCGACCCTCGCTGCTCTCCAAAGATGGATTCGCCAAAGACTTGCGGCAGATGATGCCTGGACCGGGTCTCAGCCACGAAGGGTCCATGTGCCCAAAAAGGGTGGGTTCCTTAAGGGCTAGTATAACGGCTTTATAAGGGTTAGTACAAGGGCTCTATAAGGGTTTAGGACATAAGGGTCCATGTCTGCGAAAGCCCAGCAAAAGGGGGGGTGGGGGTCTCGTGCAGGGGCCTTAAACATTCCCTGTGCTGTTTCGGGGGCTCCTGATTATACGTAAACTGTAACATATCCCAAAATCCTATTCCAGCTGGCTGCTCTCGCTAGCAGGACAAGGTGGGACCTCCACCCTTTAGCACGACAAGCTAAGCACTACGAGTTCCAAAGCCCTAAACTCTAAACCCTAAACCGTTGTACGGTTCATGATATAAACCTGCTTGACCCATAATAAGGAATATACCATAATTCCCATAGTTTAGGGTCCTTAAGGTAATGCAGGAGTTATATCATCAACTATAGTACCCTTTATAGGAGCCCTTGAAAGGAACCGGAAACCCTTGCACCTGCATGGCACCGCTTTCCTAAAGCTCCAAACCTTGAAGTCCTAAAACCCCTGCCAAAAAAAACCCTAAACTCCCCCCAAAGTCCAAAACTTACAAGCTCTACTCTAAACACTAAACCGCTAACCCTACACCCTAAGAATCCTAAGCCCAAAGAGCTCCAAAAACCCTATGCCCTATATACTGTAGGGGCCTAAACAAATAGCAACACTATTTTGGTGGTTCCTTATTATAGCTATAGTATAATGGGCCTTAAAACCCTATTCTAATTATACTAATACTGTTTCTAAACCAGGCGATCGTGGCTTGGCCTTGGCTCTCACCTGGGCCGCCCCTCGCGCTACGCCCCAGCCCCTGGAGCAGGCAGGGCGCAGACCTGTACTTGAAGGCTCATGGGACTTAGTAAGGGCTCTTAAAGGGCTCCCTAAAGGGATCTATAGGGCTCCTTAAAGGGGGATCTATGGGGTTTAGGGTTTAGGGTCTACTTGAAGGCTCATGGGACTTAGTAAGTAAGGTTATAAGTAGGTCATTCTTTGGATAACCGCACTCAGGGGACTTGTAACCCCAATTAGAGCCTACTTACTAAGCCCCATGATCCTTTTTAGAAAGCAGATCCCTTAACGGGGTTCCCATAAAACTACCCTTTAGTAGTATAGGGTCCGAAATTATAGGAGTTCTACTTTGTAGATCCTCCCGAAGGTTTGGGGAGAGCTCCCACGTCATGTCTAGATTGAAGGCTGAGGTTATAGGGTTTTGGGATGCCAGGGTTTTACGGTGTTTTGGATATTGGTTGTTTTAAGATGTAGTGTGTGTGTGTGTGTGTGTGTGTTTGCTTTGAAATGGGGCTCCTTGCTATCACTCTAAACCATAAGCTCCTAGACCAATCCCTTTGGTTGGTTACCTTAGTTTCTGATAACATCTATGGGTAGCCTGAGGGATTTTGAACAGTCCTTCAAGGAGGTGCACAGCTTTCAGTACCTTTTGTTGGACTACCAACAGCTCTCTCTATTTCCGTTCTATCAAGGATAATACGGGAACCTGATTCCGAGACCCTGGCCGTATGCCCCAAACTATCAGGGTTCATGTAAGGGACCCGATTCAAGAGCCAAGGTTTCTTAATCAGGCTCGCGCCCTATGCTGCCACAAGCAGCGTCATTACCGATGAGTCTTCAAGGATACCCGATATTCCCTCGCGCAACCTTCTTTCCAGCACCAGAACCGTTATGGAAATACCCTCACACACACACAAAGCAAACAGCAAACAAGCCCTGGAACGCTCGAAAGAATGACGACCTCAGGTCGGCGACGAGCGCTTTATCGTGCAAATCTTTGGAGCACCCCGGCTCGTCTAAGGGTTTTGGGTATTAGGGATTGGGGTTTATGACGTTTACGACTCTCACTCATGTGTTTGAGGTTGCTGTTTATTGCCAGATGGTTCTCGTGTAAACTTCGAAAGGCAGTGCTCGCATGCATACCTTCTAACGATCATTTGGCAGCGTGTCTTACCAAAGATCCGTTCTGGATTGTAGGCGGGCATTCCTGACTTACGGCATTGGGGAGTCACGTCCGTCAAAAGCTTTAGAAGAGCTTCACGCCCATGTGATCACTTTAGTGCAGTTCTATCAGCTATAAGCCCTAAACGCTATAGAAACCCTAAGCCGTATGAGCCATAAGCCTTAAACAGACCCTACAAGCTTTAAGCCCTACCCCGTAAAAGTCAAAAACCCTAGTATCTCGGCGAAGGCACGACGATGGTCTCTGTGCGGGCGGGACGCAACGCCCGGAAATGCAGCCGACTGCTCTGTGGTGACGCTGAGGACACAGGGAGGGGCACAGAGGGCTCCCTTTTGCTGGGTTCCTCTATGCATGATGGCCCTTAATCGTGGGTACTTAGTCGCCTCTGGTAATTAAAGTGTCAAAGGGTAGTTCGGGGGGTTTCGGCTGTAGGCAGTTTAGGCAGAAGGGTCGAGGTTTGCGCTGGATATATGCGGCGAATCGGATCTATCACTTTAGGAGTTTACTTCCGGGATACTAGCTTGAGGCTGAATCATGGTTTCTGTTTAGGGGTTGAATTGGGGATTCATCCAGATCCAAAAAGTTTAAAGGTCCGGTATTAAGGCTCGGTTCCATGTCTTTTCACTCGCTTAGAATGTGTTCTCGCGGAACTTCCGCTCTGGCCCAGGTACTAGCTTTAGAGTCGCTTGTAGAGTCAAGAGCTTTCATAAATCCTTAGCATACCCCTAAACTTCGAACCCCACCTGGACCCTAAGGAGCCTACCTCTTCGAGGACTTAGACCTTCCAAAATCCCTTAATTCAGGAATCTATCTTAAATCATATTGAGGATCCTACTATAATTTAAGGCATATTCCTTAATTAAGGGGTTTTGGAAGGCCTGGGGACTTATACAAGGAAGCCAGAGCAAGGAACCCGGAGGGTTCCAGTAAATCCCCAAGCCCGAACCCCCATACATATGGGTGGTTGTCAAAATTAGGATCCCGTTTGGGGTACCCTAAATAATACTATAATCGGGACCCAGTGAAAGGGACCATAGTTTCGACAACCACCCATATGGTAACGCTCTTCAACCGGTCCTAACCCTACGCCCTGACGCTAAACCCGGCCAAGGCCCTTAAACTTGGTTCTCGGGGGCCTGGCAGGAGAGGCGATCTCCTCTACTTGCCCTCCCGTCACTCGCCTCGGCATATCTAGAATGATCCTTTTTCAGCCAGCAATGGATCCCGAGGTTCACGATGCAAGGTGTCCGGGTTTTGGATTCAGGGTTTGACGGTTTACCTAAACCCCGAATAACCTACCTGTTTAGGGTTCCTTATTATGATTTCTTTATAAAAGTCCTTAAAAATGTAGATTCTTCGGGGTTAAAGTAGACTTTATAAAAAAAATTCGGGCCTTGAACTGTTTAGGCTTAGGACCTGGGCTCTCCAGCTGAGGCCAACGAGAGAGTGATGGGATGGAGCTAAAGGGTATTGAGCCCCTGCTTTTGAGGCTCGTTCGGTCCTGAAAATACATACATACAATGCATCCGCTACATGTAATTTTCGAACCCATCCCGTAAGGGTCCAAGTACCCAAATAGTAGGGTTTCAAGGTCCAAAAGCCATTCAGCGTATGGATTTTGGGACCTGAAACCCTACTATTTGGGTACTTGGACCGTCTGGGATACAATGCATGCGCTACATGTAATTTTCGAGCCTATCTCGTCCTTCTTGCATGTGGGTAGTTGTCAAAATTATGGTGCCCTTTTTGCGTCCCTAATATAGTACGGCACCTAATAATAAGGTACCCGAAAAGGGACCATAATTTTGACAACCACCCATCTGCCTGTGCATCTATCGAGCCAAGGCCTTTCCCAAACCTTGCTTAGAGCCCTTGTGCCTTGGAGCGGGCAAGCCCAGACCTTCCCAAATCCCCTAATTAAGGAATATATAATATACCTTAAATCTTTTTAGGGGTCCTATTATAGTTTAAGGTATATTCCTTAATTAAGGAGTTTTGGAAGGTCTGGGAGGTTCGGTGCCTCTGTTAACTATGCATGAATCCACCCGGTGAACTGCTTTGTGTGTTCGATGATACTGTGTAAACAGAGTTTGATAGAAAACAGATATCCCTAGACCCTAAATCCTACGGTTGATGATATAAATCCTGCACTACCCATAATCAGGAATATATGGGAATTATGGCATATTCCTGATTTTTTTGGGGTAATGCAGGGTTTAGATCATCAACCTATAAACCCTAAACCCCAAACCCCCTTTAGATCCCTTAAAGGAACCTCTTTTAGGTACCCCTATACATCCCTTTAAAGGAGCCCTAAATCCTAGGCCCCGTGCCCCCGGCCGGGGTTCATGCAAGGCACCTGGCACTTCGCCGATCGGGCTCCTGCGCTCTCTGCACACCTCGCTCTGGCGGCGGCGCCGTTGGTCTTCGCGGAGCGGTGAAGGGCTCCTTAAAGGGTTGCTTTAAGGGTTCTATAGGGGGGGTATACGGTATGATATGGGTTCTAGGGCCTAGGGTTTTGGGTTGTTGGGGTATCTGAGTAAGTACGAAAGGGACCCTCGACTTAGGGTTCAGTGCTTACAGTGTATACGGTCGCGGGTTGAAGCGGTTGCCTAGGATGAAAGCTCTGTAGGGTGTTGTCGTGACATTTAGGAGGTCCTTCGATTTTTTCGAGGGCGCAGGCATCAGTTTGATGAGATATTTCGCTGTGATGTCTAATTTGGAGAGTCTAGGATTCAGGTTTTAGCTTCCGGCCAACAAGTGTAATAGGTATATCAAGTAGCTAAAATGGGTTCCTCATTCTGGTAGCTTAAAATGAAACTTGCCAGCAAGAGATTCAATTCTGCACCCTTCGCACCCTAAACCCCGTTTTTCCGAAGCACCTGCCACAACTAGGAAGGCTTTATGGGCTTTTGTGGGCTCCAATACCAACCTCCGAATATAGGGACCCTTAATGATTACATGTACTATTTTGGGGGTTCCTTATTATAAGTATAGTATGATGGCCCACACTCTACTCTAAAAAGAAGTCCCCTACATTACCAAGAGTGGACCCTGAGCCCTTTTAGTTTAAAGGTGGCCTTCTAGAAACGTAGAGGCTTGAACAATTAGAACATTATACTATAGCCAAAATAGGGAACCCCCAGAACCCTATTGTAATTATCGAGGCCACTACATTAAATCCGTATAATAGCCCTTATAGTAACCCTGAGATAGACCCCTTTAAAGGAACCCTATTCGAACTATCGAGGCCCCTACATTAACCTCATAGGCCAATTTGCAGGGCAACTTTCAGCCCTCTGCTTCGTTGGCCGATGTGGGGAGTGTACGCCGCCAGTTTTTTCCGAAGTGTGTACACGAACTACGCGTGTGCGACTCTTTCTTTGCTGCTTTCCTGTTTAATCAAGGTGGTGGTTGCTGCGTGTTGTTGAGGTGTCTCTGACGTCGGTTCATAGGGTTTGGTTTTGGTTCTAGCGTTATACTCAGGGTTTAGGTTTAGGGTTCAGGGTCGTAGGGTTCATGGGAGTTCATGGTTTTACAGTCGCGGCTTGTTGTGCAAGTGTACTTGGAGGTTCATGGATAGTTATAAGTGGGGTTATAAGTCCCCTAATATGGGTCATAAGTATAGTTACCCTACTTATAAACCCACTTATAACTACCCATGAACCTCGAAGTACTTCCAAGTCACCTAGTCTTCCAAGTACACCCAGACCTTCCAAAACCCCTTAATTAAGGAATATGCCTTAAATTATAGTAGGATCCCTAGTATGATTATTTAAGGTATATTCCTTAATTCAGGGATTTTGGAGGGTCTGGGCAGTTCCATGAGGACCTGCTTAGTGCTGCTGGGGCGACGTCAGAGATGAAGGCGATGTCCAGCACCTTCGAGTGCGATTGCCGTAATCGGTTGGGGTTTAGCTTTCACCTGTAGCCGAAAAGACTACCAACTTAGAGTTCCTTACTACGGTTTCGGTACATATTTATATACGTATATACATGTGTATAAATAAATAAATAAATAAATATATATATATATATATACAGTTCCGTAAAAAGGTAGGTCTTTTCGGCTACAGGCAGGGTTTACACTCGAAAGTGTTCGTCTAGCAACTCCGGCACAAGTGCGTGACGAGGTTTCTTAACTGCTTTTGGGGCTTTGGGCCTTGTCGTCTTGTAAATTACGTAGTACAATATACCCCGAAATATTATTCCAAGTATGAGGGCCCCCAATCGGCTTTGTGTTACAACCCCTAGTCTAATTACTAAGGCCTCCACACGATATTCCTTGAAGGAACCCCTGGCTTGTGCGTTTGCAACTTCTTGAAGATCTGATCTAAAGCCTTGCACGTCCCACCCTCCCTGGAGCCCGTCTTGGAGACCCCGAAGCTCCTTCACGATGACCGATGTAGAGCTTAGGCTTAGACCATGTCAATTATCCATCGCACCCAAAATTAGGCTCCATTGTAGTTCCTCTTTGTGGTTTATATTTAGGATCCTGTAAGGTAATCCCAAAAAGGAACTACAATGAATGGAGCCTGCGGGTAGTGCGAATTGAGAGTGGCCGTGCGTGTCCCCAACCCGGTTCTCCCAAACCCAACCCTACTTCGAGGGTTGGAGGACGCAGTAAGTAAGGAGTAAGTAGAGCTACAGGTGCCCGAGTGGGATCCTTAACAGGGGTGACGGTACTTATAGGTTAGAATTACTTTGCCAAGTCCTAAACCCTAAGTTATAACATGCAAACTCCGAATTAAGCTCTGAACCCAACATGCTTAAGGTCCCATCCTTGCACAACCCTTGCCTTTCTGGTCGACGCCTTTGCTCGGCCGTCTGGAGAACCAGTGACCCGTGGCTTCCTATATCCGGAGAGCCAATTCGGTAAAGATTTTTGTGTTTCGGATTTAGGGGTTATAAGGGTTAGAGGATTCAGCCCACATGGTCTGTGGCTTTTAAATCTGATTTAAAGATATTCCTTATAATCAAAGGACTGGGCTTGCTATGGGGCTTGCCGGGGTGAGTCTATTGTATTGGGTTACCGTAGTGCTCTGTGAAAGTAGAGTGTTTGTTTTTTGCTGACATCATCGGGGTCTTGCAAGGTTTATTCGGACTCAGGGGGTTTATCCGCCGTTTGGGGCAACCCAAGCATGCAATTTGCTGGTCTGCGTCTTGTCGAGCACCTTGATCGCTCTATCTCAAAGGAAGCCTGAAGCCTCCCTTAACGGACTCCCGACAATAGGTATATAAACTTGTGAGTCTTTAGCCCTAAAGCCTCTCTTAAAGGACTCCTGAGAATGAGCCTCTCTTCACGGAGCCCCGAAGCCTCTCTCAAAGGAAACCTTAAAGGAACCCTCGGAGCGATCTTCCGCTCTCATCTCAGGCGTTTTGCTCCCGTGGCCGTTAGCACGCCGGGCCGCAGGAGTTTGCTCCCAGGCGCGGTTCTCCCGGTGATTCTGGCAATGTCCATGGGGGTGGTTTTGAATATTTAGGGCCCTTTTTCTAGATCACCAAAATATATAAAGGGCCAGAAGGGACCCGAATTTGGAGAACCGTCCACATGCTTCGGGTTTAGGTTTTGAACTTGGTGGATTCTACGCCAGTAGTTTTCTGTGAGGCGCTTTTGCTTTTTGATTGCATATAGCTGCATATAGATACATGCCCGTGCTGGAAGACCTTGGTTACTTACTCCGGGGGTGCTTCCGTGCCTGCCTTGTTGTGTATTGATCTCGTGTGTGGATGCTCAAGTCGGTCCTGGTCGATTTTTGGATAGAGCATGTCGGCACTCTACATCCGTAAGGACCAACTGACCCTTGAAGGTAGAGGCCCTATACCCTTTTACGATGACGCCCTACTGTATATGGTATACGAACCTGAAAGCCTGAAACCCTTGTCGGGTTCATGTCGTCTTTGCGAATTTGCCCTTTCAGGGTGAAAGAGGCTATCACCTTGCCTGAGAATGGCCATCCTATAGTGAAATACTACCTAAGCTCTAAACCCTAAACCCTACCAGGGGTTGCAAACTTCTTTTGTCGTAAGGTTTTGATCCATATCTAAGGGGTCATAATTTTCCATTTTGTAGGGATTGGGGCTACAGGTAGCCCATAGAACTTGAAGAATTGGCACGAAATCTCTGGGGTGTGTAAAATTGTGAACTCAGGGAAACTTAGACGGACTAAAAGGATATGCATTTCATCCCTTCTTCATGGTTGCCCTGTTTTCTAACAAAGCGTTCTGCCCGTAACATGGGCACCCTAAGCCCTAAACCCTAAACACTTGAATTTAGGGCTCTGGTTCACTGCAGTCCCTCCGTGATGAGCTTACGGAACACCCGGTCCTGCCGAAAGCCCAGCAGGAGCTTATCAAACCACCTAACTCAAAGCTCAGCGGCAAAGGCTCGTCCCTAAACCCACAATGACTAAATTCACAGGAGGCCAAAAGGGGTTTTAGCCTGTGGGGGTTTAGTAGGGATTAGGGTTCCCATAATAGGGTTCATATTTATGAATCCCTACCTCAAGAATCTTAAACCCCCTCTTTTGGACTCCCATCATAAATACTACCTTAACCCCCAAAAACCTACTCGTTCAAGGAAGTATATAAAGAAAATCATATTAGGGGGCCCTAAAAAGGTAGGTTGCTTAGTGTCCAGGTAAACCTTCAACCTGAAGTCCCAAGCCCCAAGATCCCGAAACCCTAAACCCTAAACCCTAAACCCTAAACCGAAACCCTATCCCCCAAACCCTAGAAGCTATAGACCCCAAATCCTCCCAAAAGCCTGAGCCCTAAACGCTGTAAAGCCGAACTCAGAGACGGCAAGACTCCCCCCAAAATAGGGAGGATACCTTAAATCATATAATGCGAACCCTACTATAATTTAAAGGATAATCCGTAGCTAAGGTCTATAACCCCCAAGACATATAAGCACCAAAAGCGAAAAGCCGAAAGGAGAGCCTCAACCTCGCGCTTCAGCGTCTCCTCGTCGGCACCGCGCCGCGGAAGCCTGCCCAGCCAGCACGGCGTGCGTCGGTGTCCGGGCCTCGGCTGACGGTTTCAAGTTTAGGGTTTGAGTGGTTGAGGGTTTTGGGTTTAAGGGGTCTAGGATTTAGGGTCTGCAGGGTTTAGGGTTTTTGGTTTTAAGGGTTTAGGGTTTGCAGGGTTTGGGGTTTAATGGGTTTAGGGTTTGCAGGGTTTTGGGTTTATAGGTTTGGGGTTTGCAGGGTTTAGGGTTTATAGGTTTGGGGTTTGCAGGGTTTAGGGTTTTGGGTTTCTAGGGTTTAAAGTTTAGGGTTCAGGGTTTAGGGTTTTGGGTATATAGGGTTTGAAGTTTAGGGTTTGCAGGGTTTAGGGTTGTTAAGGTTTAGGATTTAGAGTTTAGGGTTTAAGGGTTGAGGGTTTAGGGTGCAGCAGCCGAGTTACTCTCCCCTGAGGGTCGGCATGGCAAGCTAGGAACCTCTTGCTTGAAGACGTTTTAAGGTTTAGGGTTTAGGGTTTACGGTGATTGCAAGGGGTACCAACTTACTATTCCCTAGTTGTTGGGGGCTACAGGTAGGGCTTTAGTGCAGGGTTCTCATATGCGTTTTGTAGAGTTAGGATCCATGCACCTTTCTAGTCAAAGGAGAAAAGGAGGGACCCTTAATGGGGACCCCTATCCTACAATGAGCTATAATAATGGGTATATAGTAGCTATATTAAGGGTATATACCTAGGGGTCCTTATGAAGGGTCCCTCCCTTTATCCCTGCAACCCGTAGTTCATATTGGGATCCTGGGTTGCTGTCTTATTTAGGGTTCCTGTGCGTAAGCATTGGCTGCTTGGAGGGTCGTCGGAGCACCTAGTACGTAGGTAGAAAGTAGAGTTTTAAGTGCATCCTAGTAGAGGTTATGGCACTTGTAACTCTGTGAGACAACTACTTGCTAAGTCCTTCGGCCCTCCAAGTATCCAAGGCGGGGTAGTATCTGAGCACAGCGGCGCTGAAACACAGGGCACAAAGTGGCAAGTAAACCAAAGACTGCTTAATTGTAGCCCCCGTAGTGATATGGTCTTTCGCTTGTGTGTTAATTGTGGGTCGCTGCAAGTATTTACACATTACAGACCAACAAAATGGAGGGACGCTTGCACACAACGCAGTAGCAGTTCCTTATGTAGGTGCTGAGGACTGTTTTGGCGAGAATCCCGAAATTCAAATGCTCCCTAATGTAGGAAACTACCGTGAATCACCGTCGTAGACCTTGAGCTGCAACTGCAGTTTTAGTACCTCACTACCAGATGTGATGCTCTCTCGGATTGTCTCCCTAAGCCTCAAATGCCTAAACCCTTAATAGGATCCTTTGATCTAAGATTGTCTGATACAGCCCTAAGGGTCCACGTACCTAATAATCATATACTCACCAAAATCTAAACCTACATAGCTACTATCCTAAAGACGAGTACCTAACTAGTACGCCCCTATACTATACAACCCTTAAAGGAACCCTGAACCCTGTTGGTTAGAAGCTGCCCCCACCCAGTAATAGTCACTATAAGGATCCTTTTAGGGCCCTAGTATATTCCTATTATCCCACCATCTTACAGGGTGGGGGCCCCTTCTAACCTATTGGGTCCTTTGGACCCTTGGGGCAGGGGTCCCACTGCCGTGCCGCCGCCATCCGAAAAGGAGGCGCAAAAGGCTCGCCGGGCCCCGGGGGCTCTTCCAGATCTTCCAAAAGGGTTTAGGGTTGAGGGATTTAGGGTTTAGGGTTTAGGGGTTTAGGGGTTATAGGGTTTAGGGGGTTTAGGGTTTAGGGGTTTTCGGTTGTCAGGATTTAGGGGTTTGGATTTATAGTAGAAGCCCAAAAGTTGGAAACCCAATAGCCTCTATCCTTAAGAGTAATGTAAAGGTAATCCCAGCACTTTCTGTCCTTAATCAGGTTTCCAACTTTTTGGGGTTTACTATAGGGACCTTTAAAGGGATCTATAAGGGGTCCTTTAAGGGGATCTACAGAGTTTAGGGATCTAAGGACTCATATATTAAGGCTTCTGGGCCCAAAGACCATACTATATAAGGCTTTTGGTCTATTTTGATCCCTAGGGTAATGGAGGAACATCATTTTCTTGCAGGAATCCAACTATAGCTTAAGACATGTATTTGTTTAAGCCACTGGTTGAAGGCCTGACGTGGGGTTATCGGGCCAGTACCAAAAAAGGCGCCCATGCTATTCCTAGGTTAGCTATTATGCTAAATACATGAACCATGGCTCAAGCAACACCGACAATGCCACAGATACTCTACACACTAGTGGAGCACCTTGAGTTCAAGAAGCCTTAGTCAAGCCTGTAACAGAACTCATGAGTTGAGAGTTGGCGGGTTGAATAGAACCCTGGGAGGAACTACGGCGAACGGACAAAAACTCTTCCAAACTAAATAAGATTACTCCCATATAGTTTAAGCCAAATGAAAGCCCTAGACCCTAAACCCAATCCTTCCCTAGAGCTCCAGTTACTTAAATAGTAGGTTACTAACCATACGTTATATACCCCGGTAACCTACTATTTAGGTAACTGGAGCCCTAGGCCTTGCGAAGGAAACAAAGCCCGTGCCGCGAAGCGACCACCGTGCTCGGATCTTTGGCTTTCGTTGGCCTTAATAATCAGAATAGGGTTTTGGGCCCATCATACTATAACTATCATAAGGAACCACAAAAATAGTATTGGTAAGTATTTAAAGGAGGTCAAAAGGGGTTTTAGCCTATGGGGGTTTAGTAGGGATTAGGGTTCCCATAAAAGGGTTCATATTAAGGAGTCCCTATCCTAAGAATCTTAAACCTACCTTTTGGCCTCCCATCATTCGTTGGCGAGGGGCCAACTGTTGAACTTTGGGTTTGGTAGGATGTGTTTTTAGGTTTCATACCTTTCATACCCAAAGGCTCCATGTATACTCCATTTGAGAACCCTTATATATCCCTTTCAGGAGACCTACTTAGTAAGCCCACCGACCCTTCAAGTAAGCCCCTTTTGGGGTTAAGGAGTCCTAGGGCTGACCAGGACTCCCTCTGGTGCCCCTAAAGCTCATGCTTTAGAGTTTTGGGTGTAGGGGTTTTGGGTTTAAGGGTGTTGTTACTCAAAGGGAACCGGTGTGAAATGAAAGTCTGTATATATTTTTTCCACTGGTTACTTCATAGCCAGAAAATAAACCTCTTCCGGTCCTTAACAATGGTGGGTATCGATGGCATTAAGGGTAGTTGGGGGTCTAGGCAGGGTTTAGGGTTCCGGGGTGTACTAATGGAGGGTAGTTGGGGTCTGGGCGGGGTTTAGGGCTTAGGGGTATGCGGTATACTTTTATACTGCATAGGCATTGTACGGTCAAAGTATTTTCTATCCAAGTAGCTGTAAGGGAATTGGGGACTATGGTTCAGGTTATAGGGTGGGTATTAGATTATTGTGTTTGGGCGGACATACACAACCCCTCTGCAGGAAGACTAACAATATAGGGCCAAAATTAAATACTTACCAATGCTATTTTGGGGGTTCCTTATGACAGTTATAGTATGATGGGCCCAAAGCCCTATTCTGATGATTAAGGCCCCTATATCAGGTACGGCGAGCTCGATTCCAACATTAAGTTAGTGCGGTCTTGCATGGAATGGCTATACGCCTGAATCCTCTAGCTCAGCAACCCCTAAACCCTTGGGTCCATGTGCCAATGTAGTATATACTCTGGCCCTAAGGTACAGTTAAGGCCTAAGTACCCAGACCTTCCAAAATCCATTAATTAAGGAATATACCTTAAATCATATCAGGGCATATTAGGGATCCTACTATAATTTAAGGTATATGCCTTATTTAAGGGGTTTTGGAAGGCCTGGGTACATGCTATATGAGTACGGGTGCCTTTAGGGCTTAGGGTTTATGATAGAAGCCAGAAAGTTGGAACATTGTTATCCTCGTGCCCTTAAGGTAAAGTATAAGGGATCTTAGCATTCATCCTCCTAAAGCCATGTTCCAAAATTCTGGTGTTAACTATAAACCATAAACCTTTAAGCCGTAAACGCTACACACCCTGAACCAGGGTCTACCCAACTGGGAAGGCTCATGGGATGTAGTAATTAGGAAGATACAAGTACGGTTGTTTAACTACGATAACCTGACGTAGGCACGTAGAACTCCAGATGTAACCCTACGGGTCCAAGTACTCAAATAATTAGGAGGGTTTCAAGGTCCTAAAACCATTCAGAGAATGGAGTTTGGGACCTACAACCCTACTATTTGGGTACTTGGACCCTCTGGGTAACCCTGCTTGCTACGTCCCTTGAGGCGACGTCGCGAGCTCGTGTTCATCGCGTTTCTGGGACCGGTTCTGCTGTTCCTCGTGGTGCTACTCACGCATCTCAACCAGTTAGGGTTTAGGGTTTAGGGATTTATCCAGAAGAGCCCAGCTACCAAGGAACCTGCTAATTTGCATGTTCACCTGAAGGGGTTATCTCTACCATGCGTTTATTCTAGCATTGTGCAAGTCGTACCGCAATATGAGTGCTCGTAGGGTGTGGCATAGGGTGTTCCGCTTGCCGCACCAGTGAGAGCATGTGTCATGCACTTGGCGGCGCGGTAGGGGTTGCGGTTTAGGGTTCAGGGCTTTGGCTCCGGGTTTAACTAGGTTGGATACTGCACCCTCTCAGTGACAGCTGAATAATATTTGTAACATAGATATATACGGCCCTTAATCATCGCCCTATGCTAGACTGTCACAGTATGGGGGGGCACTAGCCAAGGTTGGGGTTTGTTTTGGGCCTACAGATTTTAAAATGGGATCAGAGCCTACTCGGTAGTTCCACAGCGGCACGGACGGCTTAGAATGGATGGGCTAGGTGTTGATGCATCACGGTGCCAGACAGCTGCAGATATTGGGGTGCACAGCGTGTGAGGGACGATTAGTCAACTGTTGAGCAATGCTGAGCACGTTATGATCGAAGGCATCATCTCATTATTGTGCGGTTTTGCCTCCTTAGCACTGCGCCGCTTCCTGTTAACCGAATATCGTCCACTTTCGGATGATATGCTGCAACCTGCGGAAATCGTAACAGCTCCATTTTCGAGCATGATGCTCCCGCTTGGCTTTCATGCTTTTGCCGCGAATTGAAGTGTCCAAAGACCAGCGTGATGAGTGTCTTTATCTAGGAGAAAGTAATATAAGTAGGGCATTTATAATCTGAATTGCGATTATGATTTTGGAAATTGGGAAAGCTTCCCCAAACCATAGACCCCGCCGAACCTCCAAACCTGAGCCCTAAACCCTAAACCCTCATTTTCCCCCATATACGTACTCAGGACCCTTCGGTTAGGAGCCTTCCAGCCTCGACCCCCCAGACCTTCCAAAACCCCTTAAGGAATATACCTTAAATTATAGTATGCCCTAATATGATTTAAGGCATATTCCTTAATTAATGGATTTTGGAAGGTCTGGGCCTACAACCCGGACTTCCGCACCCCCGAACCCTAGACTCCACCTCTGGATCCTAGAAATATACCCTGTTTTAAGTTTCCTAGCATGATTTCTGTATACTCGGGCCCAAAAAGCCTTATTCGATGAGTCCTTAGAGCCATAGGGTACTTGTAAATGTATTTCTAAATGTAGCCCCTAAACCCTAAGAGTCCTAACCCTAAACCCTACATGAGCCCTTAGAGTCTTATAAGGTTAGTACGAAATATCGGACACATCTCGGCTGTTTTGGTCCACTTCGGCACACGTTGGATTCCTATGCTCGTGATAGTAAAACCTCTAATGCAGAAACATGTTGAACGGTACGGAGTGATGTCCAAAGCCTTGGCAGAGTTTGGGATTTAGGGTTAGGGGAGTTGAGGGGTTTAGGGGTTAAGGACCCTAACTTGCCTAAAGACGACATGAACCTTACAAAGGCTTAATGTAAAGCTTCATCTAGACCATATAGAGGTTCATACTGTATAAGGCTTCGCAGTGGTGCATTTGGAGGGTTGCGGTATGTCCTATGTCCGTTTATAGTGTGAGTGCATGTCCATATAGGACAAGGCTTAAAAGCTTTATGCTGAGCTTTAGCTAGTGTTTTAAGGCGGTTGCCAAATTGTCAATCCGGTTGGGCAGATACTATGAAATTGTGCAGTTAGCATTGATGCAGATCCCAGGTGTTCGGCTTTGTACCTAAGGCCAAGAACTTCGTAGGTGACGAACCTATACTATAAGGATAAAACTCTGCGGGCAGGAAATAACTGGATCCACACATGTTCTTGCATGGGAACATTCATGTTTTGTAACATGGTGGAGCCATATAAGAAGCAGTGGGGCAAGAGAGCTGAAAGACAAGCCGTTCATTAATGTAAATATGAGGATCGAAAAAAACACATGGCATTGCACAGAAGTTGCCAAAATTTTTCAAACCGCAATTGCAGTTTGGGGCTCACAGAGGTTGTTCGCAGATGATACTTCTGCACTTAACCACATAGTGCCGTTGGCGATATTCATTCTTCCCCTCAACTCTGCCGCTAAAGCATTTTTGACGCGGACGCGCTCGAAAGTCTGCAGGACAAACGACCTCACTCGATCTTCGACTGTGGTGAAACTCGTGAGTGACCCAACTCGTCCCGATCTGCTGCTAAGTTGGAAACTGTCTTTAGTCTTATAAGATGAGATAAGTCAGCTTGATGAAGGTGCCACATGTACGTAGATGTAGATTAGGACCCAGGTTCCCCAGCCTGGGTTAAGACCGACTATTTATGGCTTTTGTTTTATGCTCCAGATTGCGTTGGCTTTTGGCGTTTCCTTGAATGCATTCAGTTCGGTTGCCAAGGAATGGATATTCAAAGGCCATCCGGGCCACCAGTGTTACAGCACAAACAGTGTTTGGGTGCCAAAATTTGCAGACACCCAAAAGCTACGGCATCAAACAAGGTGTTATTAAGATGTCTTGTGCTGAGTGTCCTGCCCATATCGGTCTTTAGCATTTGATTGCAGATGCGTCATTGCGAGAGGAAGTTGTACGCACATGTTTTTGTTGCGGTAACTGTTCTTCACTTTCTGTTCGCCTCCAGCCCTTACAACAGCCTTACGAACCTCAATGCGCGCTAAAATTGCTACAATAAAGCAACAGTGCCAGATTCCGGATGTCTGGTTCAAGGTGAAGTTGAATCCTTTGGGATATGTGGTGCTTGTTCGAATATCGAGACCGGGTTAATCCCAACCATCAGCTGCTCTTTGGCATGCCGAAGTCTCAATCCCATGACATCGATTTATACTTTAAGTTGGCCGCCGACATACCGGCGTTGGAAACGGTGCGGTGTTTAGGGGTGCCAGCTCTGGGGCACAACCGATACAGAAATTCCTACATCCGTTTTGAAAGCCTGTGGAATAGTCACTGATTTTTGGCTTACGTTTGACGACTAGGGTTTGGGGCTGTAGGCGTTCAACCTAACCATTGCCGACTTCGGCATTTCTTCTACAATCACTGGTCGCGGTCTGCCTGTGCATCCGGCCGGAGCCGAAGGTGATGGGGTTGAGATTAAGACGTTAGGGTGCATACTGTTATTGTTTTCTGTTCGTAGTGGGGGCGAAGCTTTGTTTTTAAGCTTGGCCTACACACTCCGATTTGGCCATTGAACTTGTTGAAAGCATTTCTTGTACCACCACAACCATGTAATGGGTCAATCCCAAATTGAGACCATTCAGGGTCTACTGTAGGTGAAGCAATTGAGGACGTGGGTTGCAATACGCGAACCGCAAAATTTCAAACATCCCCAAACTGTCCATAGGCTCTTTTTCCAGCGCGAGGAAGAAATTCTACAATAAACACACCAGAATGTTTAATGATCTTCTTCATCCGTGTTCCCTAGCATATTCGTGGCAACATGCCACGGAGGTTCTCCATCGTAATTTTCCTTCGAGAGTCATCAACCGGAACAAACCTGTTTTGTTCCTGCCGAGGTACTGTTGCTGTCCCGCCCCTCATGGAAGGCGGTTTGGTTATGGCACACTCTCGGAAGAAGAGGCGGTCAAGAAGCGGCAGTGAGACGAAAAAAGGCTGTCAGAGATCAGAGTCCCTGGATTTACTTGGAGGGGCAGGGGGCTTAGTAAGTAGGTTATAAGTAGAGTTATAAGTGCCCTAAATGGAGTTACCCCAATTACAACCTTACTTATAAGCTACTTACTAAATCCCCTGCCTCTCCAAGTAGGGTGTGAGGTGTTCAGGTTCTGTGTGATGCATTTCATGCGACGCAGGTTCAGGGAAACCCAAAGCAGGTATCTGGGGGAAGAGTGGTAGTTGCACTGCAGCTGAGTACATTTGAAGGTTTATGATTATTGGCCACTTGGAGCCTAAAGCCTTAACCTGGAAATCAAGAGTTTGGAAGCTCTTGAAGCGTGAACCTGAATACCGAAACCCGAAACCCTAAAGCCCTAAACCCTCAAACTCAGTGTCTAGCGCCGTATGTTGAAAGGCCTAAACCCCAAAACCCTATATCTAGAGCCGTGTGTTGCAAGCCTTAAAGCCCCAAAACCCTATATCTAAAACCGTCTGTTGCAAGCCTTAAAGCCCAGAAGCCTATATCTAGAACCGTATGTTCAAAGGCTCTAAAGTCCAAAACCCTTAACCCCCAGCCAGACCACCGAAACCTTTTCCTCGGAACATCGAACCTTTGAACCTTGAAGTCAGAGGCCCAGATTAGTTTAGGGCTTAAAGTTTTGGGTTTAGGACTTAAAGTTTCGGGTTTAGGATGTAAGGTTTAGGGTTTAGAGAAACCCTGTAGTAGTAGACTAGGTAACATTTAACTTTCTTTGAGGTACGATTATAACCCCTATATGATGAGCCTTGAAGTCAGAAGCCCTTATCCTTAGGGACGAAATGAGCTTGAAAAGGGGTTTAGGGCTTTAGAGTTTGAGATTTAGGGTTTGGGATTTTGGGTTTGGGATCTGGCGTACCTTACTGTACTTGGAGGTTCATAGGTAGTTATAAGTAGGGTTATTAGTAGGGTAACCATAGCCGGAAGGACAGACGCGGAGCCCGCTTGCCGGGGTACTCCAACGAAACTGGGCGCCCTCTCGCCACGAGAGGAGGAGCGAGAAAGAAGCAGAAGCCGAGTCCTGTTGGTGTGGATCCGGCGACATTCGTGACGACTCTCTCCGCAACAGCCGAAGAATACAGGCCCCAGCCTGCGCAGCAGCAGTACGCGGACTATGGGCACTTCGATGCTGCCTGGGCAGCCAACGTGGCCCGCATGAGCGTTGTGTATTACGGGCCACCGACAGCACCTGGGTACTTCACCCAGCCGAACACTCTTGGGGAAGATGCGCGCTCGAACTACTCAGTACGCACGTACGACTCTTTCTCGTAAAGGGTGTTGCCAGCGGCAGCAAAGCACGCGGACGCCGATAGCACAGAGCGCGCGTGCACTCACCTTGAGTAACCATAGTTATAACCAATATTAGGGGATGTATAACTCCACTTATAACTACGCCTGAACCTCCAAGTAGGGACGAAAATTATCCTTACAACGGATTATGGTTCAGATACTGTATATTTGGTCCTCAAGGTTTGTCGACCCGTGTTTGCTGGTCCTCTTTGAGCTTCGCTTGTATTTAAAAAGTTGGAGTTATAAGATTGTAGGACTCAGGGCGTTGTTTTTAGTACAATAGTAGACAAGGTGAATTTGAACCTTTTTGAGGTGTGTTCAGCCCTTTTTTCCCAATTACTGCCACAGGAAAGCTTTTCGTTCCACAGATTGCTCGACACGTAGGAGAGCCTCCACCTTTCAGGGAAATATAGTCGGTGATCGGGATCCTCATAATACTACCCCCCTACCGCCCTAAGAGTAGCAGAAAGGGGTTTGTTTTTAACCGCCAAGATCCCTAACTCTTAAGGGTCCCTAGTTGGAGGATCAGGGGACTTAGTAAATCAGGGTATAAGTGCCCTGATTGTGCTTATAAGCAATTAAAAGTATAGTTACCTTGTTTAGAACCCTAGTTACCAAGTCCCATGGTCCGTTAAGTAAGCCCTACCTTAAGCAGAATCCTGAATCCCATCCGGATCCTGTAAGCACGAAATGATAACTGGGGATTCATCGTATAAGGGCACATTGCCACGACGTTTAAGGGTCATTTGGAGTCAGTTGGTCTTTAAGATAAACCTTATAGACCCTCAAAGTGACCCTTTCTCTCTGGTTCGGGTTTAATGCCGGGGCCTAAATCATTGCCTATAATATTTTTGCTGGGTTCGGAAACCCTATCCTAATAATTGAGGCCCCTATATTATATGGCACCTTAGCATAGATCCCCTGTAGTATATATCCCTTTACTGGAGCCGTTTAAAGGAACCCAATTCTAACCATTAAGGCCTTTATAGTACAGTAAACCCCATAAAGTTGGAAACACGATTAAGGCCAAATAGTGCCGGGAGTCCTTATACATTACTCTTAAGGGATGAGGCTATTGGGTTTCCAACTTTTGGGCTTTTACTGTAGAGCTCTGAAGCTCTGCCGAGGTTCACCCACGAGTTCTCCGTTCAGCATCTCTTGCTTCCAGATCGTCAGCAGGCTGGTAGTTGAAAGCTGTAAATGATAGTATTCCTTCCCGAAGGGTCCAAGTATCATTCTGGTATACACCTATAGGGTATTTTGGGAGTCGAAATGTATACCACAATGATGCTTGGACCCTTTTGGCTTTATTGTCCGTATATTAAGTTAAGGTGTATTCTGTAATTAAGGGATATTGACAGCGCTTCGGCCACCGTCACCGATGAGTCTTACGGCCGATGATATGAATCCTGGGGTTCCTTTAAAGGGATCTATAATGGTACGTTTGAGGGGCTCCTTTAAGGGATCTATAGGTATTGAGGGCTTAGGGTTGATGAGTTAAATCCTGCTTTACCTTAATGACCATAGACTATGCTTATTATGGTACATTCCTCATTACGGGGAATGCAGGATTAATATCATCGACCATAGTACTCCCTTATAGTGCGAATATGTACCTACACATGGTAGAGTGATACAAAAACATAGTCCAATTGTTAAGGCCCACATATTAGGAGAGCCGTATACAGAGCAGGGTTCAGTGTCCCCAGACGTCCCTCTCGCTTGAAGTCTATCTGGGAATCCAAAGAACCTACCGTTGCAGGGTTATGCCTTACAACTACGGGATCATAACCTGCAGTTTGACATGTTTTAGGTGGTTTTAGGCTTTAGTGGCCTGGGTTAGAATCTGATGCTCAGGTTGTTCAGGTTTCTGGGAGTGTGTACTAGTGCTTAGTAGTTTGGGGTGTTTGGATTCCGGTGGATGGCTCTAGGTTCTAGGGTGTGTTGTCTGGTTTCTGGAGTACCTCGCTTGAATGTTTTTGTTTGCCCCGGTTCGCAAAGACAATAGTATGTAACATGCATCTATACTTTTTCCCACTGCTTACTTCAAAGTCCAGTTGTACACGTGAGTTGCTTGTGTTCATTCACTGTTGGGTCTGTGACCCCAAGGTTTCATGTGCCGATCTAGTACATATACGAATAGGCCTTGAAGTATCTATGTAGGAACCCCTTTGAAGGCCTCAGTGTATGCTCTTACGGTAGATGGAGCCTCTGGACCACTTTCTGGCTCACGGCCCAGACCTTCCAAAACCCCTTAATTAAGAAATATGCCTTAAATTATAGTAGGATCCTTAATATGATTTAAGGTATATTCCTTAACTAAGGGATTTTGGAAGGTCTGGGGGTGGCGGGTGGGATTCCTGGCAGGCACACACGCCTCTGCTGGACCTGACGCCAGTGCCAGTGAAAGCTCTTCACAATCCGAATTTCGAGAGGCGCATTCGTAGAGATTGCAGGGCTTACTTGGAGGGGCAGGGGACTTAGTAAGTAGGTTATAAGTAGGGTTATAACTGGGGGGAACTCCATTTAGGGCACTTATAACTCTACTTATAACCTACTTACTAAGTCCCCTGCCCCTTCAAGTAGGTTTCAGGTGTGAATCGCCCTTAAGCCCCGAAGCCTTATACTAGGTCATCGACAGCCATTCTCGGGGAAGATTCCATAGCTCTTGTTGAGGTTCTTCACAATACCTAGATCCTACAACCTGGTGCGTTTGGGGGTTACCTATGCTATACTGTGTTTAGGGTTTAGGGTTTAATACTTCGGGTCTTAGGAAAGGAAAGTAAGGCGGCCATAAACGAGCAGGTGTCTAGGTATGCTGTCTACAGACTCTGAGACAAAAAGCCCTCGGCTCCGATCTCGTTTACCCTCAGGCTCCATGTACCCATATAGTAGGTAAGGCCTTAAAGGGGTCCCTATATGGGTACTTTAAGGCCTATGTACCTACTATATGGGTACGTGGAGCCTTTGGGTTAGTTTACAGACAGACTTGCGTCGTTCCTGCAGATATGACTTGTAAAGTGATTCAGCGATCTGCTAAGATGATAAACCTCCGGATGTTCGGCATTTCGTGTCTGCAAGAAGCACAAGCTAGATTGAAGCTTTCGTTAGGAAACGGAGTCAGCCTAATATTTTCTTCGGCACTCCCAGCCGTCCAATCTCTTCGAGAGCTATGGTGCCAACGGTTCAGGATGTAGATGTAGACTTGATAACTGATTAGAGCAGGGCTTGCTGGTATATGAGACCACAATTGTATTGGGAACCCTACGGAAGAGTATTAGTAACCCGAAGGTCCTGAGTGCCTATATAGTGGAATGTAAGGTCTCTATACTATAAAGTACTAGTATCCCTTCTTTCAAGGTGGGTCCAGCGTGTTTAGCCCATTCGCTGGCCATAATCCTACACATTCATGACCCGGGCATTTTCGCGAGTGAAGTTATCTTTGTTTTTCGCCAACGTAACCGACGTGAGGAAGTACGTTCGAGGCTATAGGTACGCCCGCAGAGACTCAATATCCCCTAGTCAAGAAATATACCTCATAAAAGTAGGATCCCTAATGTGAATACTCCTAGATTAAGGGATATTGGAGTCTCTGGACCCACTGGAAGTCGCGGCCTGCACTGGAGCTCTTAATTTTAAAGAGACGCACAAAATCCATGCACACCTTAAAGCCCAAACCTCTGAACTCACGAAGTTTCTTAAACCATAGTTGGTTTTAGAGTTAGCTAGGTTTAGGGAGCAAGCGCTTCTTCGTAAACCAAAGTCGGCGTAGATTGTAGGGACCTCATTTTGTCAAGGGCTCTCTCAGTGTCTTTGCAGGCTCTACAAGTTCACGCACTTCAATGCCATCCAAACTCAGGTGGGAATCTCAGAGATCCCAATATCTCATAAAAATAGTATTAATAATAATAATAAATATTATTATTATCATTAGTATTACTATATATCAAGCCTGTAAACTTTTTGGGTCTATATATTTTAATAGTAGTAATCGGAAAGTTTAACCCTTTATTTCCGTGGCTTATTGGGGAAGTAAGGGAATCTCCGGGTCCCTTATAAAAAAATGCCCCAAAGCCTTTTAAAACCGTTAGGGCCCTGATATTGCTTGTATACTTGTATATTGCATACCTGGGCCGTCAAGAGATCGTCGTCTGCATATGGCATGGTCTTTGGGCCCAAGGCCTTCATAGATGAGTCCTTAGCGCCTTAGGGTTCCATTTCCTTGGGCTACTGACGAGCTATGTAAAAGCTAGGTAGTATCATTAGGGAGACCCCTTGAAGGGTACCCCTTCTGAACCCTACTTCTGGCTTTCTTAAAAGGGGCCTTATTGAGAGGGTCTATATCCCCAAGGGTCCCCCTCATCCTAACTCCCAAAAGCCGTCCCGTCCGGGTTCAAGTCGACCGGGTTTGCGACCAGAGACAAGGTCCCTTGGTCTAGAAAGCCTGTCGATGGAGAGCCCGTAGGGTTTGGGGGTTTAGGGCTTGGCGGTGTAGGGTTCAGGGTTTGGGGCAGTTAGGCCTCCAGGGGTTTAGGGCTTGGGGGTTTTGGGGTTTAGGGCGGTTTGGGTTTTAAGGGGGTTTAGGGTTTAGACGTTCAGGGTTTTCGGCCGGTGTTCAGGGTTCAAGATTCTTGTCAGGTACTACTCCCAGCCTGTAACAGTCTATAGTAGGGGTCATAATATTTTCATAAGGCTATTATAAAAGCCAATAACCCGAAACCCTAAACCCCTAGATCCTAAACGAGAAAACCTTCAACCGTTATACCTAGGTATATTCTATAAGTATCATCCAGCAGCTGCAGTGCCGGGGTAGTACCGAACTCAAAGGGTTTCTGGTTGCACCTACAAACAATATACTCCAAAACCTTAATATTCTACTTACACCGGCTCCCATATAAAACTCCAAACTCCCCTCCTAAAGCTTAAGACCTGAACCTGGAATTCTACCACCTCAAACCCTTTATGCTTCCCCTTGACATGAT